TCTGTTCCTGAATATTCAAACCTGGGGGTGGTGTGGGGGTGCCCCACATGCAATAAAGCAACTTTTGAAAAATGAACTTTTCCGTCTTCACACTTTCCACTTCTCAAAGAATGGCAACACTGAACTTAATTTAAAAGCTAAGCCTACCTTATAATTTAAAGCTGACTCTACTGTACGGAACTATATATTGATTGATTTTTTAAAACATTTATCTAAAATTGGGATTTAGCCTAGATTTCTGGTTTACCATGTCCCCTCTAAACTTCACTGCTTGGGCAGAGATGAAAACTAGCTTAAGCCTCTTATAGAGACTTAACACCCCTAAGATTTAGCCCTAGCACATTGAGCTCTTGATTGATTGATTGATTGATTGATTGATTGATTAAATGGGTGGCATTAGTCTGTTTGACTGCTTAATAATTTGTTACCTTGATGCTATCACTGGGACCAAAATGTTTCATTAGATGGGACTCCTTTGCTAGGTTGTTCCACATTCATAGCCCTGGTTAGCTTCTTCCAGCTGTTAATGCAGCCAATTAGATCAGGTCTTTGTTTGAAGAAACACAACTAATCAAATCCCAGATTCAAACTGCTGCACTATGAAGATGATAGAACAGTTGAGGAAGTTACTTTCTCTCAACCTAATCTACCTCTCACCACTAAAATATCACTCCATATTTTTGGGAGGAATGACAGGATATAAATTGATAAATAAATGTAATGTTCCCTCGGTTAATTCCAAAACCTGTGTTCAGTATGCCTTACCAAATTTCAACCCTCACCATAACATGTATCGTGCATGTACAAATATTGCATACACATACAACATAGCAATCTTTTTCTTCAAGCTGAGGCTTAAGTCAGTAATGCATGCTGGGGAAATGAACACAGGAGATTCTGTATTTTGACCAGAAACTTTATTTCAAAAAGTGCTACTGGTGACTAAGGAACATTTGCTAGCAAGTGAAATGACAGATGATAAAACCATCACATTTTGGAGTATGTAAAATTTCCATCAAGAAAACCCTACTTTTATGTATATTAAGGAAACTTTCCAAATGAAGGTCAACTTTCTCAGTCTCCTTAGAAAAATAAGACTCAGGGATGAGAGGAAGCAATCGTGCAGCGTTTCCCAAATGTTTAAAATTTAACAGTACATTTTATGCTGTGCATGTTTTTTCAGAAATATGTCTCAGTAAGTTCAATTAATTTTATGCGGGTGTAGGGTTGCAGTCCGTCTTTCTAATGGGATCATCTCAATCAGAGTAATTTGATTTATAATTCTTCCCCAACCATTCTTCTCAGCTCTCTGCTGCAATCTATCCATCCCACTCTTATCCAACTGATTCTCAATCCCTCATTTGGGAATCACTGCAGTGATTTGGAGATCCACACTATCCCATTCATATCCTTAATGTAATATAGCAGTGTAGGAGCCAGGATAGTAAGGCTAATAGTAGTATCGGAGGCTTTATCTTCACAAGCATGTAACAAAAGAACTAGGACAGCAGATTCCTCAGCCTTTATTAGTTTTTTTTAGTTGGGAGGAGGGAGTTGTGTTTGGTTTTAGAGAGTGGAAAAGTATGCTTTATTGTCATCAGAGATTCATGAGAAATCAGTGTCCGAGGCAAGTCCTGCTGAGAGACATCTGTGTAGCAATCTGTACTCTTGTCCACTGCTGGAACAATCAGCAGAGAGGCTTCTGCACCAGATGTTAAGTTAGGTAGCCCATAGATATTTTCTGAGTCAGTGGTTCTCAAAGCGCAAGGCTGTCACCACACGACCATGCTGAGTTGCCAAGAATTCTCATATCCTCCCTGCATTTCCTTACATATTGACCTAGAATGTCATAACCATGCATCAAGTAAGGGCAGTAGTCCATGAAGCTGAGTGAAGCATCTCTCTTTGTGACTATTTGGCTATATGCAGACGTAATAGAAATCCTTTGTAAACCAACACTGGAAGCTGATTTGCAAACCACAGTTTGTACCAATTGTAATTTGCCCTTATGTCTGAATTCACAAACCGCTGACAAATCACTTAAGGACATTGCTCTATGGAGCACTATGGTGAAAGAAGCAAATTTGTGAAGTTTAGAAGCTGAGTGCAGAGTTGTACATTTGGAAGCTGAAACCATAGTGTGGGTTCTTAATTATGCTTAGCATAGATAATCGTGTGGTGTAGTATCTGGACTAAGACTATACAGTCCCTTCATTTATTTTAATGTCTCTTGCTTGTACCCTACATCCAGGGGAATGGTAATTTCTCATCTCTGTAGGAACACACATCTCCTTGTCTGAAAGTGGTTTACCATCTACAGTACTAGATGATCCAGTCCTCAAAATGGTAGACTTACAAAGAATTATTTTATGATAGCATGACATTGCATTAAATCAGAAGGTGACTCAAAAAGTTTTGTGAGGTCATTCTAACTGTTTAAAGAGTTTTACCGTCATTCAAAAGCTTGCATACTTCTCACACCAACAAAAGAAGCTGGTCCAGTAAAACATATCTCTAGTAATAATTAAGGATTGCTCCCTTTCCTCTATTTTTTCATACAACGAGTAGTGAAGCCAACAGGATTATAGCTCTATGCTAATTTTTAAATCCATGTGATTAAAGACTCAAGGTCTATCATCACTATTCCCACAAGCTTAATTCTAGATGTCATTGGAAAGTGCTCTGCTGGCTTCCTTTTGTCTACTTTGGAGTAGAGTTGGCCTGTAGTTTCATTTCTAACCGTTCCATCTTAAATGCTAACCAGTTAACAGTAGGTATTGAAATCATGGTATTTTGTGTGTTTGAAGGTGGCGCAAGAACAAAACCATTTTTCCTTGAATGCATTTTTCTCAGCCACCACCAGAGGCCAGTGTGGCTCCATGTATATAACAAAGATGAGTACAAACCTAACTCATTGTAGAGAGGAAATAGTGTATGTGTGTGTTAAATCTTAAACAAGTAAAAAAACTACAGCAAAAAAGATAATGACTAACTGCTCTCATAAACCCTAAGATAGGACAAAATGGAAGAAGCCTCTAATGATGGAAGAAGCCTCTAATGAAGGGGAAAAGAAAGCATGGAGTAAAATAAATAAATAGGGGAAGATGTAAAAGATCTCTAAAATCCTGAATGAGCTCTGTGCAGCAATATGACTGCATAGAATCCAAACCATGGAAAAGAATCAACTTTTAGAGAGAAAATGCAGTCCTGATATTCACATAAATTGAATATTTTAGTTGGAATTTGGCTAGGGAACTAATACTGTTGCCTAACATCTGAACAATTTTTTAAAAAGAATCCTAGCAATACTGTACGTAAGATTTATGCAGTATTTATATGTGAAATTAAACTGTGCTGACAAGATTGCTTTATGTCTTTGGGAGATCAGATTTCAGTGCTCAGAGAGAGCTACGGATTGGATGCTAACAGATTTCCATTACAAGTTCATCGGCAATCTCCATTAAATATACATGAATCTTTGTGTGTGATGGTTCTGTTAAAGAGCAAGTATTATTAATGGCAACTCGGTTGAGCCAGACAGGCAATCATAACAAGTTTTTGTGTCAGTCATTTTCCTTTTGAAGTGAGACAAGCCATGAGATGTTTGTAACGGAGTAACATTCTGGAGAAAAGGAAGCAAAAATATGTTGAGACCAGCCATCAGCACTGAAGATGGGAGGTTCTGCATATGCAAGTGCTTCTCAAAGAAGCCTGGGGCATTCTAGTTTGCCCAAGGCATGCTAACAAAGCATTCATATGGCAGCCCTTGAGCCTAGTTTTGATCCCAGAGGTATTACTGTACTAAGGTACTAACCTCATTTGTTTAAACTGACCTATTCCTGACATATAGCTGGGTAGATGAAATCAAAATTTACTCCACTGGTACAGAAGAGGACACTTAAGTTTTCCATCTGTTTCATTCAAGGTCAATCAAACAAGACTTGCGCAGCAATCCGCGTAGCTGTTATAGTAAGTGCATTAACTAAAGTGAAGGAGACTTCCCAGCTGGCTTCCCTGCCCACTGCCGCCCCAAAATTCTGATCTCTAATTGCCAGTCCAGGAAACTTGTGAAGGTGATAGCAGGAATTCATTCTGTATTAGAAAAATACTTTTCTGGATTCAGCTCAACCAAGCTAGATCAGTTCAGGGCATGGTCAAATTCTGTAGTTTCCACTAGGTTTGGATCCACAAAAGGTGCTGTTACTTTGAAATGTCATAGTAAGGGAAGGGGCAATGCAATATCCTGCTAGCACCTAAAATTAGGGCTCTGTCAGGTACCTGAGCAGAACAGATTTGTTCTGCCTAAATAGCAACCTTACAGAGTTTTTAAAATTACCAGCTCACACAATACATCTGTCAGCCCAGCACTTAACAGTTATGAACCACTTTGCAGCTTGAGTAGAAAATCCTGCTGGTCATTCACTAGAAGTTTCTCATGCTGGGCAACAAGGTGAGTGGTGAATTGCAAGACTGTCTTAATGCATCATATCCCAAGCCTAGACAAGAAATATGCCGTCTTTCCTTGCTGCCACTGCACCTTTTGAGACAGGTTGTGAACCTACTTTTTCCTGTGCGAAACTGGCCTACTGCCTCTGTGACGAATCCTTCAGTAAACACCACTCTGGGGCAATGCTAAGCCTTGATACCATTTATTTTTCAAACCTGGCCATCCTCCACTCCTACCAAAGAACGAGAGCAAGTGCATTTAAAAGTGATTAAACATTGGCGCTACTGACAGCAACACACAAACACGCCCCACCCCCCACCCCCTCTGCTCAGGGTGGCCCTTCTGACTCCAGGACTGTGATGGTGCCTCAGGACCGTGATGGGCAGATCCATTCCAAACCTGAAAAAATAAGTTCCTGAGGAGCCACCCTCACCAAATGGCCCTTAAGTCAAACAAGAGTGCAATCAGAAACACCCGACTCCACTTTTAAAGGTGTGTATCTTCCTCAAACACATCTCCCTCTTCGCCTGCCCGCTTGTTAATGAGGACATCCCAGCTCTCAGGTCCATTAACAGCTCCCCCACCATTCACACTTGGCTTCTTTTCTTGCATTTCTGATTGGCTGTCGCTGGCTACATCCAAGGTCGGATTGTCATGGCAGCCGTTCTCGACAAACCGTAGCTCCTCCCCATGTGACTGAAAAGAAATGGGACAAACAAGATGCGAGAGAAAACATTTATTTATTTATTTATCCATTCATTCATTCAAAAGCCTGACATTTAGGAAGGAAAGTAGGCAAATCAGGAAGCACTTCCTACAATCATTCTCCATCCTTCGAAGAATAAGAGTTCAAGCCAGATGCCACACTGGGACTCACCATGTTCTTCATTTTGGGCAAGCGCCTCTGCCAGCAGTTGTAAATCAGTCCTGTTATAATGATGATGACACAGATTGAGCCAATAATGACCAGCACCACAAAAAGCTTTCCATAGTCACTATGGGTCTGGCTGGGACGTGACTGGCAACTTGAAGTAGTTGTGTAGTTCTGAATTCCAATCTAAAAACAAAAATAGTTGCATTTCCAATCTGTTCTCAGGACTTTGTTGCATAAATTGCCTTCTTCAGAGGCAACTTGTTCTAGAAATCTTTAGACTAATGTTTTAAGTGAATCACTGCAGTAAGATGTGATATTTTATCCCCAAAGATGACTAAGTCAAAATGGATTGTGAATACTGCATACCACAATAAACTAAAATCTTTGGTTACTGAAAATAAGACTCTTGGCCTGAGCCCTAGCACAGCGTAGCCCTGGATGGGGACAATGAATGGAGGGCATATGTGTTTGGAGATGGAGGCAGTGTGTTGTAGGAGGAAATTCTGCTAGATTGTGGGGAATCAGGAGTCGGTAACAGAAGATGGGGTGCATATTATGTTGGCAAAGAAGGAAGAGGCAGTTCTTTTGATTTCTAAAAACAGGTTCTGAGGCTCAGGTCTGTGAGACAGATCATCCACCGGGGGCTCCTTTTAGCCTCTACCCTCCAATTTTGCTCCCAAAGAAGAGCCTTTCTAATGAGCCATCAGAATTGGCCGCCGTGGAATCAAGCAATAAGGCTTCTTGCTGAAGGGTTTTGGTGTTCAAAGAAACTGATCAAAGGGGAGCCATTCTTTTTTTGAGTCTGCTGCTTATGCATTCCTACAGTGTAGGCAGGCACATGTGGATCTCACCTGTAGTGAGTTCTGTGAACTCTGTAGGTAATTTCCAGCCCACAGATATCATTCCACTAGTCTCTGCCTTATACAGTGCAGAAGTAGTATGTCACATTTTCTGAACAATCAGAGCACAATACTGGGGGAAATGAATTCCTCCAGGCAGCAAGTCCATTGTTACTGTGATTATTGGGTGGAAAGTTACAGACATCAACTGATTGTGATTAAATTTGTTGCAAGTGGGAGCAAACCTCTTCTCAATGTCTAAAGCATTTTATGAGTCATTTCTTTTAGGGATATTTTTGTTTGTTCTTCCTTCAGTTCTTTTAAAGCTATGTTTATCTACTAACAAGATTTTTTTTTTTGTAAAGATGCAAACAGCAACACAACTATCCAAATACAGTGAGGTTATTTCACACAAAATATATAGGATATCACTTCGATATCACTAAGAAGTCACTTGGGAGAATATTACACATTGGCTGATGTGATCATGCAGAAAGGCCCTCAGCCAATTTCTAAGTTCTTGTGACCTTGATTAAACTTCTATAGAGCTTCACATTGTCCATGTAACATGGCACATTGGGTACAAAGCATGCCCAAGGACAATGTAAGGTCATATTTTCATTTGAACAGAGAATGAGATAAGCTTCCTAGACGACAAAGGCATTTCAGAGATCAAATGTGAAAGTTGAGCTGCTGCGAATAAGAAAACTATGAATCCCCGTGCACAGTGAATAGAAAAGATTTATAGGTTCACTAGGCCTTCAAAAGAACCCACAGGCAACACCTTCAGAAAGCTCCAAGTGATTTCTGGTGTGACAGATGCAGAAAATCATTTCTGCATTTCTCTATGCTCTTCAGCAAGGACAAGCAGGATCTCAAAAGACTATAATGGTAACTTTTTAAAAAGTGCACAGTGTAAACTGACAATCCACAGAATCAGTCATAGCTAACAGAAATTGGCATTTGATGACTCAGCAGTTACCAGACAGGAAAGAAGGGATTTCTGCACTGAATGCTGAGCTATCGCTATGCCTATTCCGGGCTCAGAGCCCAGCTATGCTAGAGCATGGGGCTAATTTTCAAGGTGGGCAATTTAACTGCATTGTCTGCTGTGTGACTGAACAAGGTCTTACCTCAGCTAAGCTCCTTCGCATGTCACCTAGTGCCAGGAGAACATCATTTGTTGGGACAACTCCTAGAGGATGAAACACATGGGGGGGGGATAGAAACATTAGTTCAATGTGCTCTTCTTTAACACACTTGCATTTCTGGAGAAGAAGACTACCTGTATTAAAGAATAATTTCCTGAGTATATAATAATACAGGATACACCTTTCAGAGCACTAGATCAATTTCAGAACTCAAGAGTATCAGCTACAATGTGTGTAAGCAGAGACAGATGAAGGAGAGGAATAAAGGAATCCAGAAAGCAGGAAATATAAAATGCCTCCCTCCGCAAATCAGTGCTTCCACTTCAAATCTGATCTGCTGAATCCACTCTTTCCCCACTGATTGTTCCACTGCCAAATCTGACAGTACCTCAACCATAGCTTATGATTCTCAGAAATGTGGGAGAGTATCCCAGTGAAAATGATGGATGGCTTATCAGCTTTGCTTTCTTCCCAGACTGGCAATATCTGTAGTAGTGACCACACAGTGAAATGTCTAGAAAACCATTTGTCAGCTCTTACATGGCTTTCTTGTCAAACATGGTTATTTTCCCAGTCAGTTGGGTATAAGCCAAGGAGAATGTGGACAAGAAGAAGTGTGTTGAACTTCATCTCTTTTTCTGCCTCTTTTATACCAACTGATTGTCAATTTGTGGAGATTACTTTAGTTCACAATATTGCTAAGGTCTATAATTTGACACATAGTCCCAGTTCAGGGAGCTGCCCAAATCACCAGTGATTACTACAGTGGCAAGCCCTTTTGATTACAGAGAAATGCCCTTGCCGAACGATTAATTTACATTCCATTGAAAATTCAATACCAACTGTATATGATTGGAAAAACAAACGGCTTCGTATCAATTGTGCAGAAAGTCATCATTTAATGAGGTAGCTTATTTGACAATGACTGTGACATACTTTTACGATCCTTTTTACCATTGGTAAATGTCTAGACTCAATCTTAGTGATTTGTATTAAAAAATGAAAAGTAAAATACCACATGATGTACAATTGTTTAAAAGTTGCTTCCCCCTTTTGTTTGTTTAAATAAAAAAATTTTAAAATAAGAAAGAAAGAAAGAAAGAAAGAAAGAAAGACAACAAATCTTCTTAGGCAAACAGATGAGACTATTCCAAGCTGCCCTGAGACAATTACCGTATTTTTCGCCCTATAGGACGCACCGTCCCATAAGGCGCACCTAGTTTTTTTGGGGGGGAAATAAAGGGGGGAAAATTATTTCCCCCCCAGGCTCGGGGCTGGGGGGGGGGGAAGCCGGAGCTTCCCCTGACCCCAGCCCCCAGAACAGGCAACTCTCCGCAAGCTGTGGGAGCCCGGCGCTGGGCTCCCCGCCTTGCGGAGAGCTGCGCGAAGCCTGGGCGTGCTTAGTTCAGCGCGCCCAGGCTTCAGCATGCAGGCAACTCTCCGCAAGCCGTGGGCGCCCAGCGTGGGCTCCCACGGCTTGCGGTGAGCTGCGCAAAGCCTGGAGAGCGAGAGGGGTCGGTGCGGTATTTTAGAATTCTAGAGATACTGCAACAGTTTTCTATCAAAGTTTTTTGCCACTTTCAGCAGCATAAGGAAAGCCACGCATGTTTCCAGGAAGAAGATTGCCCAGTTATAGACAAAAATTAATGGGGATCTAAACAACACTTCTCTTTTCCCTGAACTGCCTCAAGGCAGGGATGCAGGGCCTGTCTTGGCAGCCCAAGGCTAGTGTGTTTCAATATTACTACATATTGTTATATATCATACACAGATCACCTGCTGTATTTTCCTTTTTATGTTTTTATTTTCATGTAGATGTTATGTCTTTAGTATTTGTTGTATGCTGTCTCAAAATGGATGAAATGTTCTAATGAATAAAACAAAATAAACACCCTATGTCCTAGAGCATCCTAGGCTTATGGCAGCAAAGGAAGCACATTACTGTGTGTTGTTTCCATAGAGACCAAAGTGGACTGAGAAGCCCCAGGCCAAGAGGCATCGAGACACTATACAAGGATTCTCAGACTGAGTAGCAGCACTGGTGACCGCTTGGTCTCTCTCTGTACAAATCTCAAGAAAGGTAGCCACAGAGTGACTGAAATATTCTAAGTTGAGTAGCCTTGGAAGTAATCAACTTGGTGGGGGTAGCAAGGCAGAGAAGCTCTTCCTCTGCTCACTTAAATGGTTTCACAGAGACCCACCACTGTGACAGTTCCACTGAACCAAGACATTGCATTTGGTGTGGCAGTAATGGTGCCAGTTTTATTGAAATGTTGCCCATTGCAAATTTGAAATAATAAAGCATTAAGAATTATACATACATGCACACAGATACAGTGGTACCTCGGGTTACATACGCTTCAGGTTACAGACTCCGCTAACCCAGAAATAGTGCTTCAGGTTAAGAACTTTGCTTCAGGATGAGAACAGAAATTGTGTTCCGGTGGTGCAGCAGGAGCAGGAGGCCCCATTAGCTAAAGTGGTGCTTCAGGTTAAGAACAGTTTCAGGTTAAGTACGGACCTCCGGAACGAATTAAGTACTTAACCCGAGGTACCAATGTAGTTGCAGCTGCGTTTCAGTGGGGAAACACTGACATCATGTTCCACTGTTTTGCCCTACTAAAATGTTATGGGGGAGATTATAGAGAAAAAGTGACATGGGACACTGCTTGTGGTGCCACTCATATATTAACCATAACATGTTCCAAACTTGCATACCCAATTGTCACTGCTTTGAGAGCTAGCTATCTTCTCCCCGCTTGGATGCCTACTAGGCGTGAGCCTATCAATATGTCTTTGCAACTGGGTTTTTCTTAAAATAAGAAACTTCTTGCAACCACAGCACCATATAACTAAGGGAAGGGTGTTAGCTATCACATTCTAGAATCTGTTTTTGGCTAGCCACCCATAAACTGTTAGTTGTGAGAGTAGGTCATAGAATTGTAGAGCTGGAGGGAGCATGAGGGTCATCTAGTCCAACTTCCTGCAATGCAGGAATCTTTGCCCAACATGGGGCTCAAACCAACGACCTTCAGTCTCATGCTCTACCGACTGAGCCAAGGTGATTGCTTTAAGAATTTTAAAACTGTTTTTAAAAGGTTGTTTTTAACTGTTTTTATAATTTTTATTGTAATATTTTAGTACTGACAAATTTGCTCCTCTGGGCTCCTTTGGAGGAAAGGTGGTATAAAAACTGAATAAATAATCATTATCAGCATAATAATTTTCTCTCTAAAGAAGTGGTAGCTATTTTAAATGCATCGAGTAGAGTTCAGAAACTTGGATGGAAAGACAAAAGTGTTATCTGTGAATAGAACTTCACAGGTCTCCCTAGGGAAGGAAATAAGAAGCAAACATGGAGGAAGATTGAGAAATAGCACACAAAGATTGGAGCCATCAAAAGTACAGTGAGACATTCTTCAGCTCTTTTGCCCTTCCATAACAACTTACCATGTTCTCCAGCCAAGGTCATTAGCAGATGTTTGTCATTCTCATTGGGTTTGCTTAAGGAGATCAACCATTGGCCCTGCAATCCATTTTCATACCTGGAGAAAGCATCATCCACCAGTGCCAGCAACTGAAGGCCCCTCTCCACACGGAAGTCCTCCTGCAAAAAAGAACATTTGTCAGTCTCTTAAACAGAAGCCGATGCATCCCATTGAATGCAGAAACTCCTCCCACCCTACCAAACCTGTCAGCAGGGGAAAAAAGCCTGTGGGTTTGGGTGCAGGCTTTCAGGAAATGAGGCCTAGGTCAGTCTCAAGGCCAAGCCTATGGAGGATATCGGATAACAGCAATGACACTTTGCAGACCAAACCACTCCTTTACTACAATTCCCATTTTCTTCCTGCAAACACCTACTGTTCAAATATTTTCCTCTTGTGCTCCCTAATAATGCCCTCGCGTGGTATGTCCATCTTGGTTGCTGCCATTTTCAAAATGCAGATTTACTTGCAACCCAGTTTCATAGTCCTAATTTCACCAAAAATTCATTTAATTCATTTCATACTATCTGGTTGCATAATCTTGGCTTCCTGTATGAAGAGAATTTATCTCGTGAACCACCTTGAAGTTACATTTCAGGTGGCAATATCCCATTTTGATATAAAACCCATTTCTGTAATTGGAAAATTTAAACTCTTACTTACTTACTTACTTACTTATAATTTTAGTTTTCCAGTTGCAGAAATGGGTTTTATATCAAAATGGAACACTGTCACCTGAAATGTTGGGGAGAAGGAAAATCAAATAGAAAACCAACAACTTTCCTCTTTTTCTTTTTCAAAAAACACACAAAATCTTAAAAACTCAGCATCCACTATAAGGAAAGAAATAGCATCACAGTAAATGTATAAGAATCCAGAGGTGCCTGATGCTTTGAGGTAAACAAGCAGGGGTCAGAAATCACTTGGATCCCATGTACATCTCCCACCGAGCTCCTTGGAGGAACGGAAAGATACAAAGAATAATAAAAGTGTTTATAAAAGTCCAGGGGCCTCATCATTCAGCTCAGATTGTAGGTCAAATAGGAATGGTCCTTTTCTACTGACATGATGCACATCGCTTGGCAGCACCTCTCCCACTTCTCCCTTTCTATTCTTGTTCAGTTGCTGTGCCAACCTAAAGGCCACCCAGATTATTAATACGAGCTAGCAGTGCTGGTTGCTATGGCAACCTCAAGCGCTCAGGGCAGGCACAGGCCTAATTGGGAAAGACAAGAAGGAGTCAGGCCTGAGTCACAAAGACCCATCAGCACCGCACCTCACAAGGCGAAGGTTATGGACGCCAGCTGAGGAAAACGTATCTTGCCACGGCCAGGCAAATAACCTGTCAAAAGGGGAATGGAGAGAGGACATAGGTGTTGAGGCCCCTCAGGGGCAACAAGCTTGGGGCCACACAACTATAACCATAGCATAAATGATGCGTCTCCAAGCAGCCACCCAACAGACCAGAGTTCAGATTAACCATGAAAAGTTCTTTAGCATGAGTCAAGAAAATTTGCATTCAGGAAAATAGTCTTTCCATTCACATGAGTTGCACAAAAAGAAACGAGGGGAAAGAACCAGTGCTTTTATACATGTCGAATAATAATAATTAATAATAATAATTTACATTTTTATGCAACCCTTCACCCAAAGATCACAGGGCGAAACACAAAAATATATAACACAGCAATAAACAAAATCAGTAACCCCCACAGAAAAAGTTTAAAAGGCCTTGGGTTGTTTAATTAGCCAAAGACTTGGGAGAAGAGGAATATATCAGACAGCATGAGGATGGTGCTAAGAGCAGTTATATTCAGACAGCATAATGTACTTAGAAAGTAACTGAACAATTGTTCGATCGGATTTGGTGATCTTTAAAATGAAATTTCTATTGCCACTGGCTCCATATGACATGTACTGAAAAGATACAAATGCTCCATCTTTTAGACACCATCTTGATTTGAAGTTCATTCTGTTTTAGCCAGCAAGCCATGACTCCTTTCAGGTTATTCCATGTCTTTCCACCTCACCCCCTGGTTTTCCTTTTTCCCCTCCCCTCCAGCAGTCAAACAAATTTTGTTTAGCATATTCAGTTCTCCTTGGGCAGTTTTGGGAAGGGGGGCCAATTTCTACTTTTTCTCCACTTTTGCAAACCTTGGGCTTCTCCAAAACCTGCTGCTACCTCTCTCCTGTGTGTATATATGCACTCTATGAACTGAGTTTTCTATTAGGATTGAGATATGATAACTGAGAAATAAGATATTTCATTTCTATCAAGCAGCTCAAAATCGGCGGCAGCCACAACCTTGGCAGAAAAGGCAGTTTAAACAGGACGCGCACCAATCTATTCAAGCTATTCTTCACAACCATGAGAACAAGAACTTCCCTACTTTAAAAAAAACCTGAATATAGTCAGAGTTCTGTATATATGACTCAATTCTGTGGCAGGCTGCAAAATATGACATGCAGATTTCTAAGGCCCTTAAACACAGTAATAGTAGATTGCCAGGGAAAATAAAGCATGTCCACAATAAAATTGAAATAAATTTCTGCTCTAGAGTGGGTTAGATAAGGGGTGTTCTATTTTTAAAATTATGAAATACAGTTTTGACCTTCTCATTTTCACAATTTTTTAAAGGACTTCCTCACCGCTACTATAAAAAGAGAAAGGTTTCTCATAAACAGCTCCATCACACATTCTTATGAATGGAGATCTTTAACAGGAAAGAGACTTTAGATCATCAATTAACTGCAGCTTTATGGGATTGATGGAAGAGTAATGGATTAGAGGAATGTGTCTGGTTAACAGACACTAGATAGTAAACAAGATAACAGGGAAGCAAAAGAGGCACTTAAAGAAGATTTAGTGGCAGCAGGCTGGAACTCTGAACTACTCACACTGGGAATTGTTTGCTTTTATTTCTAGCATCATTGATGACAGAAGCAACAATAAAGGAATACCTTAACCCTTTGGCGCAGAAGTGTGAATGTGTAAAAAAGAACATTATCTGATTTTTCTGTAACTACCAGAGAAAAATAAGCCAGGTTTCTTTCTATAACTATTAGAACAAAATTAGCTAAGTCTTAATAAGTTTAATGAGCCAGTTATTACAACCAGCCAAGTAAATGCACATTTTCTCTCTGTCTCTCACTACAGATACCTGGTTATCCTTCCATCATGTGAATTTAAAATTATCAGAAATGCCTGCAGAAGTTTCCTATTTTTTCTGAATCAACAGTTGATCACTATTTATTTTCTCTAACTAAAACTCTGCAAAAATAGAGCTCTAAGTTAACATCTCCTTTGTGGTTTAATAGTTTAAATTTATATAAACTTCAAATACTAGGTATCTACATAACCAGCCCCAAATAGGAGAAACAACTTTAAAATAATAGAAAAGAATAATAACCATATTTTTTCTCCTTCTGGATGGTTCAGGAAAAAAAGTCTGCTTGCTATTTTTTTAAAAAATTATTATTATTATTATTATTATTATTATTATTATTTTGTTATTAGTGTTACTGTTGTTTATCATCATAGTGTTATTTTAGTAATGTAATTCCAGTGGCTTCTGCCTACGTGTAAGCCCAAACACATAAATTGCTGGTTTTCATACAGGAGGCAATCCACCATTATTAATAAAAACTTCACTAGCTGAATAAGCTTGTAGCCCACCTAGCTAACTGCCCACCAATCTAGCAGTTCTGTCAAGTCTTTTAAGATTGTCATCCAAAGCCTTGCTCCAGGTGCTGTCACCATCTGAGGTGTGGAAGTTGGTGACTCCTCACCATTAGAATACCCTTCCCAAGGCTTGTCTGTCACCTATATGACACCTTTTGGGCACAAACATATTTGTTTCCCAAGGCTTTTAAGAATCATTAAAACCTGAAATTTTAAATGGTTTTATCTGAACTGAATTCTTAACTGATATGTCCTTTGCTGTTTTTATTTTGTATGTTTTCATATTATGAATATTGCATTTTATTTTATTTTTAGTATTTGTGAGCTACTGTAGTAATGAAGCTGCAGAATAAAAAACCATAAAAGTAATAAATAAGCAAAGTAAGTTTAACTTGCTATGCCAGCTCAATCAGCCAGCAGTCGAGTTCATTCACTCACCAGTTATGCTTACCCACCACCACTTAGTCAGTGTCTTGCCTTCTGGTCCACCTATGCCAAGGCATTAAGATAACTGAACATGTCTAGGTACAGATGGAGACTGGAGCAAGGGCCATATATTATTGGTTCATCTGGCTTAGGGTGGCCAGTGTGGTGCCTTCTTTTTAATACTGGACCACGACTCCTCTCATTGGCCATGCTGATGAGGGTTGGAATCAAACAACATAAGGAAGGCACCACATTGGCTATCCCCAGAGCACCGGCACTTCTTTTTTTGTTTGACCATGGCAGCCATTTTGTGCTGGCACCCACAACACTTTTATCAGTATAGAAGTACAATCACCTCATTTTTAAATGACTTAAAAAAGCACTGGTTACCCCGATCCAGATCCTTGGGAGCTACTGTATAATAATGGTTAAGTCCAACCGTCCAGCCAGGACTGGTCAAATGTTTTCATGTGTATGTGTGTGAAAACACATGAAGATGAATTATGTCTTGTTTGTGTTTGCATTAAAACAAGAATATGCTTTTGTATGTTGCATGCCATTGTGCACAGGAAATACAAGATTCACAGATGGGCTTATTCCTCTTCTTAATATTCTGCTGTTGTATAAGAAGACTAAAGGCGAAGACAGAAATTCATTCTATGGGCACATAGAGACAGACATAAGAAACTGAAGTTGCTGTGCCCTGGAAGTATACTGACAGCACTGATGAAAGACAGACTTTCTCCCCTCCTGGTCAAAGCATAAGGTAAACCAGTTCTGTGGGGTTTGCAGCAGAGTTCATTTACACAGCATTTATTGGCTAACAGCTGTAGCCCTTCCTCCTGGGAGCTATTTAACAATGTTCTCAAATGGATTGTGCTTTTAAAAAAAGTGCCAGATGAACAGATAATTGTGTGAATTTTCAAGACGCACCTTTTTTAAAAAGAAAGAAAAGCACAATGTAGGTTTTTAACTGCTCCAGGGAGGGGTCAGAAGGGACTACAACTGTAAGCCAATCAGCACTGCATGCAGCCAGATCTGCAACTAATTGTACATATATTGTAAAGATGGGAATAATCTGCAGCAACTGTTATTTGCAGGCACATAAGCACCTTAAAGTTTGGAGTCCTGTGGTTTGGAGTTGGTATATCAACTATTCTACACATTATGTTTACTGGAATAAATGTTTGCTTTGCTTGACAAAAACAGAATCTTACTGCATATTAGCCTAAATTAGTTATCTGGTCACGCCTATCAAATATCTCCTCTGGCAGCATCAGGGTATTATTTTATACTCCCAGATGTGACATCATTGTAATTACCTAGAAAGACAAGTTGCAGGGTTGCTTCTCACAGAACTTCAAAAATACATGAGTGCTCCCTCTCAAGTCTCAGTTATGTGTCACGTATGAGATGTGAGAAAGCCAAGATCCACGTCTCTGTTTCAGAGACCTAATCAACATCAAAATTTCAAAAAGCCTGATCCATGTACAGTGGTGCCTCGCAAGACGAAATTAATTCATTCTGCGAGTTTCTTCGTCTTGCGAATTTTTTGTCTTGCGAAGCATGGTTTCCCATAGGAATGCATTTTAAATCCAAAAGGAAACAAACTTGCAAGACGTTTTCGTCTTGCAAAGCAAGCCCATAGGGAAATTCGTCTTGTGAAGCAACTCAAAAAACGAAAAACTCTTTCGTCTTGCGAGTTTTTCGTCTTGCAAGGCATTTGTCTTGCGAGGTACCACTGTATTCCCAGAGGCGTGTATTTGCCACTTCCTCAAGGCTGGATCCCATGCTACTCCAATAAGATACAGATGACTATGGCTGCAATCCTATGCACATTTATTTGGCAACAAAACCCTACTAAGTTAATGGGACTTCCTTCCATGTAAAAATTCACGTGGAGTTGCTAGTATCAATAACTTATTATTCTAGTACTTGTTTACAGTGCATTGAATGCTGGCCATCTGGATTTAGCTTTAAAGAAAAGAGGACATAAATGTAGTAAATAATGTTAATAAAAAAACAAGCCACTCACGCAGTCAATGTTGTCAGACATGTTCAAGATTATGTAATTTTTGCCTGCCAGGTTGCTCCAGTCCTTGCAGGTCACCTGAAAAACACACACAGAGAACTCCATGAATTTAGCAGGAAATTATTTGGGAAGTAGTATAAACCTGTGAACATATGAAACTGCCTTGTGCTTCTAGACCACTTCTCCAACTGGCAGCATAATTCCAAGGTCTCATGCTGAAACCATGAGGAGTCTAAGGCTATGTAACCACTAACCCATTTATAGCACAAAAATGTAGCTTTCCTCAATCCAGAATATTTCATGCTCATTCTCACAATGCTGCTTTCAATCTATATTGATACTTGTTTGAAAACATTCCATGCCTTTTCCTCCCAGCACATGTCCCAGGAGAATGAAGAAGTTATTGGGACCTTGGTAAACGGCCACTCAAAACATCATTGGGCAGGTGTCGATACACACACACACACTCCTTGCTTACATCTATTTTCAAATGGACACACTCTGCAGGGTAATGCTGAATCATTCTGCAATGAAATTTTGTTTTCAGAATGAAACCAGTTTCTCAAGAAGTGCTGCGGGGCGGGGAGGGGGAGGTCAACAGATGTAGATTTGGTGTGGACTATGTGGGGAAAAACAACTGCTTATTCTCCATTGTTTCTAGAATAAAATGTTGTGTGTACACAGCTTAAGAGTGAAGATAGATGTACAGTGGTACCTCGGGTTAAGTACTTAATTCGTTCCGGAGGTCCGTTCTTAACCTGAAACTGTTCTTAACCTGAAGTACCACTTTAGCTAATGGGGCCTCCTGCTGCCGCCGCGCCGCCGGAGCACTATTTCTGCTCTCATCCTGATGCAAAGTTCTTAACCCGAGGTATTTCTGGGTTAGCGGAGTCTGTAACCTGAAGTGTATGTAACCCGAGGTACCACTGTATGTTTGAACAGGGGCAGGTGTGGCTCCAGTGGGCTGCCAAATAAGCTGCACTCCCCCTTGCCTTCATTTCTGAAGACACTAGTACAGATTATGGATCAAATCATGGTTGTCCCTTCCTTTTTGCCCTTCCCACACATGCTTCAGTCAAGCTTACCCACTTCTTTCAAGTACCGGCATGTTTATCTGAGTGTTGTAGCCAAATTTTGGAATCACTCCCCATGACAAATCAGTGAGCAGCCCACAGGTTTCATGTCAAAGTTCTCCCTAATCTAGTAGAAGAGGCTACGAGTTTGAAATATAATGGTATTAGCTGACTATTTAAGTGCTCTCTTCAGGATCTCAAAGAATGAGCTAGGTTGCAAGAGCTATAACTAAGTGATGGTGCTGTCCAGGAGGGGTTAGGCATTTCTTCTGCTCCCCTCACCTGGCTGGTATGAGGGATTGGCTGATACTGGAGACAAACACACATCTGCTCTGTGTTGGATCTGTGACCTGGGAGCTTGTCTGAAAACTTAATGGAGAAGCAAGATCTGTTGGGGTGTTAATACTGTGAGACCCTTCATCCTATGCTCAGATTGTATATATGTATAAATAAAGACATATATCCTAAAGACACCACAGCCTCCACTTCATTCTAAGGAAACCAAACATTAGGTAAAGTGCAGGCACCTCTGGAATCTCTCACCACTCAGAGATTGGGGTAGCATGCAATAATATATTTGACAAGCGTTTGCTGGCATATAGGAAAGTAATCTTGTTTCCCAAAATCTTGGCCTAAATTCTGTGTAAAGAAGTGAGTTAAGGTCTATTCTTTCCCATGTTCAGCAGCATGCATTAAAAAGAAATGTCTAAAGAACCACCTTCTCCACACAAGCCTGCCTGAATGTTACACTCATCATCAGAGACCTTCTTCAGGTCCCCCTGCCTTGTAACGTTAAGGTTGTGATGACCAGGAAGAGGGACTTCTCAGTCAAAATGCATATTTTAAAAATTCCCTTCCTAGGGAAACTCCCTGGGGCCAAACCTCATGTCCTACCAGCACTGAGTGTGAGTGAAAATTATTTTATTTGTCCCGCTTTCCAGAACGTTATCCAGCATCTTTTAACACTGTGGGAATTTTTTTTTTTATTGATGCTGCTGGTTTTTAGCTGTATTGTATGAAACGCTTTTAATTTTTCTGCTGTTTTTATCCTATGGTTGCAATTATTGCTTCTGTGGCTATGAGCACCTAGGAGTTTTTTTAAAGTGAAGGGCAGCTTACAAATATTTAAAATAAATGCTTGTTTGTTAACAGGGAAAATGACACAATTCTTCATGGTCTCCAAAAGCAGAAAGCGTCCTCTGCTCCTTTCTTGTCATGAACATACACTTTAACTGAAAGACTGGAACTACCCCTTTGGGAAGGAGTATCACTTATTTCTGTAGCGCAACCTATCCTTGGTTGGCTCTACCGAACACAATAAGATGATGAGGCAGTTTGTGCTAATTGCCAGGGTGGCATTCCACCACCACCTCCTTTTCTTTTTTGACAGAGACAAATCTACTCTGCTATTTTCCAGATGGAACTAAATGCTAGGATGCCTTGCCTGATCACAGGAGTGGCCCATTTGAATGAATGCATTCTCACTATGGGGTCCTCAAAGACCCATCATAGAGCACTAATTGTTCTTATGCACAACTATGCACTTGAAGGCCACATTGCTCCAGTAGGGAAAACTTCTTCCACGCAATGCACCACAAGTGACTCATATTCATGGCATCTTCTTATTGTCTACCTTTTAGTACCAATTGACTTTCTCATTTTGCAGATTAGAATATTAGTTTCTGTATTAAAATAATAATACTGTGTGTTCACCAGAATTAATTCCCCTGAAACTAACTTCAAGGTTGAAATACAGCTGTTTGTCAGCACTATTTTTCTAACCTTTAACTATGGAATAAAATACGTTGACAATAACCGCATAGAATTTGTTTCGATGATTTAAAATGTATTAAAACGCAGCAAATCAAGGTTCATTTCCCACAGCTCAATGGAATAGAAAAACATTCCCTCTTGTTTAAATGAGGAGCCTTTAATACACAAGTACCATTTACTAGATATTGGATGAAACAGGAGTGTATGCTTTATAGAAGAAATCTGAAAAAGATCCAGTTGGAAGGAATCAATGAGGAAGAGGGGATGTCTTCTACAATTCAGGAACTGAAAATTCCTGGACTATAAAACCTGGACTCAAGAGCTGTTACTCCTAAACCTCAACACGGCTATACTTCTACAGCATTTCAGATTCATGTCTTTTATGTTGCTGCTTAAAAATTTAAAGGCCATTTCACACTCGTACTAGCATGAAGGAAATTTAAGTAAATGTATGCAAGTTGTTTGCCCTTGCCTTTGAAACACTGGATTATAACGGAAATATTCAACATGAACACAGACACACACACAGAGGAATATTACCTGTGTCAAACTCCAAGGCACTCCTGTGGACAGCACAGCCGTGTGGACATCTTCAGTTTGCAGTGCAAAGCTCCGTTCTGCTGCAGTAGTTGCTGCGACTGGCAGCTTTGTTCTATTCTGATTGGGAGTGGAAGTAGGAGCTGGGTTATCAGTCCAGTCCCAAAAACCCACTGAAGAGCTGGGGTTTGATGGGCTGCTAGAAGACCTAGAAAACGTCTCAGCAACAAGAGTGCTGTCCCCATGCGATCCTGCTCTTAGAAAATCATCTCCCGTCTTCTCCGCTGTAGCCATTTCTGGGGCCACTGTCCCTTCTATGGAATCTCTTTGTCCCATTTCAGCTCCTGCTATGGGCTTTTGCCTCTCCCCTCTTGTGGTTTCCACTTCTTTTACATCGGCTCCCACTGTACCTATTGTTGCTATGGGTTCTCTGAGTCCCACCCCTCCTCTTACTGTACCTTCTGAAGAAACCTCGACAGGGACCTCTGAGACAAGCTGAGGTCCTTTCGGAGTGGCTGACAAAATGGAGGACAGAGGCAAGAGGCTGGGTCCCATACTGCTCCCTAGATCAAAGCCTGAGGAAACATGTTCAGGAGCAGATTCTTCCTCTTGCTTGTCTGCAGCTGTTTCAGTCATTGGACCCATTCTGCTGGTTGTTGTGGAGAAAAGAATTGAGAACAATGAGTCCTGGCTAGGTGCTTCAGGAAAAGTGTCTGGTGTTTGGCTGCTCTGAGCAGGTCCCTTTGACTGGTTTATAGGAAGTAATCCTTCCTCTTCCTCAAGGACACTGGTGGAAGGAGCTTCAGAGTCAGGTTCAAGGGAATCAGATGGCTGATGGAGAGTGGATGTTTCCCAAGGATTTTTAGCTTGTGTCCCATTTCGTTTAGGCAGGGCCTTCTGGGAGGCTAGTGGAAAACTGTAATCTAAAGTGAGGAGGAGAAGAGGTTTCATGAACAAACAATCCAGGAAGACCGAGAAATAGGAAACACACTCCTGAAATCTTCTTCTACCTTATATGACACTGCATAGATGTCTAGTTAGCAACCAATTATTCTAGTTGATCTACCATCCTTATTCACCTGAAATTTTCCTTCTGTCTCAAAAGACTTCACCAATTTTCTCTCTCAGCTCCTTCAAGCTGAACTTCCCCAGGCAGCTTTATCCTCTCACTTTACTTCAAATTGCTCGTCAAAACCCATTTTCCCAGCAGAGCTACACAATGCTTAAAATCTTACATTCTCATGTAGATGGTACGTGCAAATTTCATTCACCCGCATTAGAAACATTCATTCTTTTCCCCTTGACATTTTTCTTCTTTGTTCAAAACACTCTCCAGAGTATGAAAAAAAACTCCATTTATGAAGCACAATGTACATTGGTCATAAACCCTTAAAAATGATTCATTGCCAATCATTCATGCTCAACAGGCTGAGTATCTAAATACAGACATTGATTATTTTGTTTTATTTATTTATTACTCACCTTCACCCTACAGTGAAATAAATATTCCATAGTCAGTTTAATTGCTCACTGGACACAACTTTTATTGATTATGGTAATAATCCAGGTGGTATAGCTTAGGTCAAGTATCCAGTTTTTGGACAGCCCAACTGCTGGATGATGAATCCCTCCCCAGCCCAGAGGCTGGGGGAATCAGAAGAGTTATATAGGCATCAGGGACCCACCCTGGCACAGGCCCCTGCCCACAACCTGTGTGCCTAATGATAACCCTCACTCAGTCCCATGAGCTTGAGCTTAGTCTTTGGAGCAACCTCACCTAAGATCCCCTATGTGGTTCCTCCATTTGACTACAGATCCTGCCCAATTCACCTCCCTTTCCAACAAATACAGTTATGGCAAAAGCTTATACTCAACTTACATAGCTCTACGATGAGGGTGAAAACCTCACTACATGACCACCAAGTTTTGCAAACAGTAAAGTTCCAGTCAACCAGTGGGCAAAAGAAGAAGCTTTTCACCCCAGCATCCATCCAAAGCCTTGTCACCCATGACTAGCTCCAGCCAGGCAACCCCTTGCAGTGCCCACATTGGCTCCTTCCCCCAATTGCACACACAGAAGAAGCACGTCCATTGTGAAAGGGTGATGAGTAAGGGGGTGGGTTGCATTTAATCAGCGTATCTAATCCCTGATGCACAGCCAATATTGATATACTATAAGTTCACACAGAAGATACAGAGAATCTCAAATGGCACTACATACTCATGGCGAAGGAACTCTGACACCATGGCGAATCCCACAGCATCTCTCTCTCTCTCTCTCTCTCTCTCTCTCTCTCTTACACACACTCACTCACTCACTCTCTCCCCTCAGCACTACTTTCCACATTCCAATTTTATGGAATTTTAGGAGGTAGGGTTTCTCCCCCAATCAAGTTGAATGCACATAGCCCAAGTGAATAAGAAAAAAGAAGAAGTGATGCAGCCAAACAGCTGCTCAAAGGGCAGCAGGGGGCTTGATTTAGTTTCCCCAACAACAGCTGATCAGCACTATCACTAAGTATCTGACCTGGGCTTAATTGCACATGTTGCTGGACTGCTGCCATGATGTCCAATTCATATCCCATAAGACAAAGTCTAGAATTCTGGGGTGTTGTTGTGTGGCAGTGAATACCACCTCCCTGGATAAAAAGACATGCACTCTGTAACAACATCATAATTAATACAAATGCTGCTGACTTGTGTTTATTGTGAATGCAGCTTTAGATACCTTAGAAGAGAATGGTTTCTATTCTGTTGGCTCCTATTTGTGGTCATTTGATCTCTCTAGACTATGTTAATATGCTGTATCTCTGCTGTTCTATTTGCAAACTCTAAACCAGCTTTAGTATCATATTTTGCCTTAAAAGCAGCTCCATTTGCACCAGAATCAAAATGTGTCACGTAAACACAACCTACCTTTGGGGTGTTTCAACATCTCGTTTAGTGCAAGCTACTGTCTTCACTTCAGTGCTGTTCACACGCCATACTTCCTTTTCCCCCTCAATGAGCTACACAGCTCACAGGCCCAGCATGTTAGTTTAGTCCTCTGAGCTGGCGGGCACACACACAAGCCTGCTGCTTTAGCCAAGGCTGCCCCTGCCAGTCTTCATTCAGATGGCCTACTAACTTCAGATGAAAATCTTAATCCAAACGGTGCTGGCCAGAGCACAAATGCGATTCATGAAGTAACTATCCTAACTCTGAGCCACAGATCATGAACTGAACATTATATGCTCTCCCTAAGGAAATGATGTACTCTGCTTTAAGGTCCTCAAGATGGACATTGGATAGCTTGCTGGAAAAAAACCAAAACATAACCTGTCCCCAGTGGGAAGGAAAGCCCTGCCTAAGGTAATGCAAAGACAATGATTTAAAGGGTAGGTGCAAGGAGATGATTTTGCTTGTGTTCCTTTTTGCAACTCATAATACATTTTATCTTTGAGTGAATGGAGATACTAAAACAAATGCATAAAGGGCAAAACAGGCTACCAGTTATTAGATCAAGTAGATCATAAGAGGAAAATTCACAAGGTACGACCAGCCATTTCTTGCTTTCTAATCTTCCTTAATAGTTTAAATATAAGAGGCACAAAACAGTGTCCCAATCTAATACCACTAAAGCCAAGAGTTTATTTCTTTAAAAAGGGAAAAGCCAGCCATACATATATTATGGCAACCAAGCAGCCACCTGGAACCCACCAAGAAACACTTCAGTGTAAAGTCTGTTCCATACAGGAGCTAAAAGGTGTTCAGAATCTGGTAAAAATGCAAACAATTGATCATAAATTGAAGTGTAGAAGTGATTCATGCTGGTAATCTCCTTGCCCAGCATGAGAATCAGGACAAAGGAAGCACTTTTTTTCCACACAGTGCATAATTAATTTATGGAAGTCACTGCGCAAACACATAATGATAGTCCTAGCTTAGATGGCTTTAAAAAGGGATTAGACAAAGTCATGGAGGATAGGCTATTCACGGCTATGAGTCACAATGACTATTGCAATCTTTAGGTTCAGAGGCATACTGATGGTGAGCAACAACAGGAGAGGGTTGGTGCCTTAATGTTCTGCTTCTGGGCTTTCCAGAAGTACCTAGTTTGACACTGTGGGAAAAGAATACTTAACTTAGAGAAACTTTGGTCTGATGCAGCAGTTCTCCTATGTTCAAGCTCCACCTATTTTGTCTGCAGTCGACACAAAGACTGCCCACATGGTAGTGCTAATCTAATAATTATTTTTTCCTAACCACCGATGTATATCTGTGGGTAAGTTTAAAACAAACAAACAAACAAACAAACAACAACAACAACAAAGCCATACTTGGAAAAGGGAGGGCCCACTGTCTTACTTTTAAGAGATGCAATCTGGCTGTAACGGATTTATCTGATTAAACAGAGGGAAATTATATTAACTAGCAATTGAATTACTGCTAAGTAGAAGCCATCTTATTAAAAAAAAAAAAAAGGTTTCTCTTGCTTTTCCATCAAGAGAACATTCATCTCTATTACGATCAGCTTCCGAAATGGTCCATCAACTTCATAAAACAATTCTAAAGTCAGTATGCCTACTTCTTAACACTTATCTGATTATAGAATCAAATAAGTACCAATGCCATTTATACTACACAAATGGAGGAGGAATGAGATCCATTTCATACATGACACTGCTGACACACAAACTATCTCCGTGTGGTGATGGTGTGGGGGGAGAATGTATACTGACACCTGTAAAGTACATCAGAAATATTCGTTTTGTGGTAAGCACACAATCCAGAAAGGTGTGCTTAATTCTTGGCACATCTGCTCATAGAATAATGCTGCTTGTGCTGTACTTCACAATTATTAACGCCAACAACAGTTTGTGTTCCATTCTTCACAGATTCCTATGTAGGAAAAATGCCACGTGTAAAGAGGCCTTGAAGACAGATGAGTGGATGATATTGAGGAAACAGAAAGCAATTATCAAAGTTGGAATTTGGCCAGAAAGCTAGTGCTCACACTCTAATCTTGTGTTATAGGATCTGTAATAGCAATGAGTGAGATTACCCACCTCTCATTTAGCAGGACCTCTGGAAGAAGCATCTATGTAATGAAACAAGTGTCCCATCAGCAACTGCAATTTTTGGTCATCAATGAACTTTAACCTTTAAATTGGACCATGCTGGCATAGGGAGAAAAAACCCAGCATAAGAATTATCTATTTAAAATGCCATTGTCCATTTAAACCCAGGGCACAAAAGAAACTACGGACACACACCAGCAGTTCCCAGGCAGAGTGCTGCTCAGCACTAAGCCTCTTAGGTGTTGTCTTTACAAGACACTTAATTTCATTAATGCTTGGCTAAAGATGAGATTAAAAGATGTAAATTTGTTGTCAGTCTGTGCACAGAAACCAGATGCTTTCAGTACAAGCTCAAGGGAAGGAGTGTTGCTGAAGGCACCTATTGGATAGTGCTCATGAGAAGTAATACGCTTTTCCTTCTGCTCAGAGCACATGCCCATGTATACATTCAGAAAACCTTTTATAAGGAGCAAGTTCAACATTCCCCTTTGGGAATGACATTGATTAGACCAGTGGCTATGTAGAATGTGATCTAGGCTGGATCTACACAGATCTGTAAAAACGCTATTAAAGGCTATTTAAAAAACCATGATAAATACCGTATTTTTCGCACCATAGGACGCACCGGCCCATAGGACGCATCACGTTTTTTGGGGGGAAAATAAAGAAAAAAAAATTATTTCCCCCCCAGGCGCTTGTGGGGCCGGCAGCGGGGAGAAGCGCTCTTCTCCCCGCCGCCCGCCTTCAGATCAGGTCCGGGGACAGCAGGAAGACGCGCTGCGCCTCCCAGCTGTCCCCGGAGCTTGCGGGGCAGGCAGCGGGGAGAAGCGCTCTTCTCCCTGCCGCCCGCCTTGAGATCAAGTCCGGGGACAGCGGGAAGACGCGCTGCGTCTCCCTGCTGTCCCCGGAGCTTGGGGGCAGGCAGCGGGGAGAAGCGCTCTCTCCCTGCCGCCCGCCTTGAGATCAGGTCCGGGGACAGCGGGAAGACGCGCTGCGCCTCCCAGCTGTCCCCGGAGCTTGTGGGGCAGGCAGCGGGGAGAAGCGCTCTTCTCCCCGCCGCCCGCCTTGAGATCAGGTCCGGGGACAGCGGGAAGACGCGCTGCGTCTCCCAGCTGTCCCCGGAGCTTGCGGGGCAGGCAGCGGGGAGAAGCGCTCTTCTCCCTGCCGCCCGCCTTGAGATCAAGTCCGGGGACAGCGGGAAGACGCGCTGCGGCTGTCCCCGGAGCTTGGGGGCAGGCAGCAAGGAGAAGCGCTCTTCTCCCTGCCGCCCGCCTTGAGATCAGGTCCGGGGACAGCGGGGAGACGCGCTGCGCCTCCCAGCTGTCCCCGGAGCTAGCGGGGCAGGCAGCGGGGAGAAGCGCTCTTCTCCCCGCCGCCCGCCTTCAGATCAGGTCCGGGGACAGCGGGGAGACGCGCTGCGCCTCCCAGCTGTCCCCGGAGCTTGCGGGGCCGGCGGCGGGGTCTCCCCGCCGTCAGCCTCCAAACCACTTCGGGAGACAGCGGGATGGCGGCGTTCCGCCTCCCTCTGTCCCCCGACCTTGTGGGGCTGGCGCTGGGGCTCTCCTGAAGCCTGGAGAGCGAGAGGGTCGGTGTGCACCGACCCTCTCGCTCTCCAGGCTTCAGTGAAAGCCTGCATTCGCACCACAGGACGCACACACATTTCCCCTTCATTTTTGGAGGGGAAAAAGTGCGTCCTATAGTGCGAAAAATACGGTAGCTCTCAATGCAATTTCCCATTGCCGACAGATCACTGCTCTGCGGCGGCCTCTGATGTCACATTTTTATAATGCATTTTTAACATTATAACCAACCAGTATAGATTCGCCCCTAGTCAATTTCAATGTTCCTTTAATGTATCTGGAACTAAGCAGAGAAAGTGGCTGCAATTAGCAACCAATGGCTTATCAGCAGCATCTCCAAATTCATCTTGTAGATTTCCTGTTCCTGCATTTTTGAAGTATGAACCACATGACATTTCCACTGCCTGGGTGACATTTCAGTTTTTTTTCTGGAGCTAAAACCTGTTTTTTCCTAACCAATAGTAACACAGAAAGGTTTTCTAAAATGATTACATGCCAATGTGCCGTGCAACATGCGTTTGCCATATCATAGTTTGGGGACTATCCCATTTCCCTCTGTCTCTTAGCTCCTCTTCTGTGCTGCTCCCCAAACCTCATCCCTCCTTGCCTCATTTCTTTTTCATTGTTGCTGCTGTTCCTTTCCAGGCAAACATTTCTCTCCTTTCTCGGTGGATTTACCTGGGAGGAAACCCCCTTACACTCAGTGGGGCTTACTTATGAGGAAGAGGCGACCCAGAGTGAGGGGTACAGGCAGGAAGGAACGAACACATTTACCTGAGAAGTCCCTTTGCACTCAATAGGGTTTACTGCTGAGTAGACGTGCCTGAACGGAAGGGACACGGGTGGCACTGTGGGTAAAACCTCAGCGCCTAGGACTTGCCGATCGTATGGTCGGCGGTTTGAATCCCCGCGGCGGGGTGAGCTCCCGTCGTTCGGTCCCAGCTCCTGCCCACCTAGCAGTTCGAAAGCACTCTTAAGTGCAAGTAGATAAATAGGTACCGCTTTATAGCGGGAAGGTAAATGGCGTTTCCATGTGCTGCGCTGGTGCTGGCTCGCCAGAGCAGCTTCGTCACGCTGGCCACGTGACCTGGAAGTGTCTCCGGACAGCGCTGGCCCACGGCCTGTTAAGTGAGATGGGCGCACAACCCTAGAGTCAGACAAGACTGGCCCGTATGGGCAGGGGTACATTTACTTTTAGACGTGCCTGAAACTGAGTTTGTTAGTTGTGTTAGTCAGTAAGCAACAAAGGCTGGATTTTCCTCTATTCACTGAGTGGGGGCTGTTGTGAGACACTCTTCCTTTCGAAACACACAATGTGCTATTCCTCTGTCTATGTATGCACTAAGAGCCATGGAGGGCTAAAACAAACAAAAATTGGAAAATGACAATTTTCAATAGCATTCTGGAAGAGCCCTTTGAAACACAAGCCTCTCCCACCAATTCTAGTCCATGACTAATGGCACTGCAGAGGTGGTTTTGCTGGGCGAAGTGTTGCTCTGTGCCCTCATATCCTTAGGTCATGTGGGGGGGGAGACAACAATCATTTTTTGTATAGTACTTCCTAAAAGAACTGTCATGTGGTTTGTTGGAAAAACACAGTTTATTGCTACAACACTGGCATATAGGCGGTGCTTAAAAACCTGTCTTGCTCTGCTTATGGAAGTCATTGTTACAAATTTCTGATTTAGAACCACTTATTATAATTCATTGCAAGATAATAAGCAGCAGGGTTTCTAATTAACTTTTAAACAGAAATCAGCACTCAACCTGTTGAATAATTCAATATGTTGTACAAACTAAGTAAATTAAATGCCATAAAGACATTGAGTTGGTTTAGGGGCCATGTTTCCAGTCCTCCAAATCATGGTGTAGACTGTACAGTAGAGGATCAAGAGCAAGATCTTTGCTAACATGCTCCCCTCACACTCCTCACGGGACCAGTTTAATGAACATTGGATCCTCCCGTAGTTTGTGTGAGCCCTCCAGACTTGGGCTGTAAATCACAGTTTGTTTGACCGGTTGGTTTGGTTTAGGGGCTTCCTGATAAAAGAATAACTTGTATGTGTGTGTTTAAGTGATCATATGAGGGAAAGTGTGATATAAGCATGTTGGGACTGGATATGTGATATCTGAAGCATCCAGGTGTGTGTGGATGTATAGGCATTTGGAAGAATGCAGCCCTTAACAAATGCTTCACAGTTAGAAAATAAAATGGGTATAGGTAGGAAATAATGCCCAAAATGGAGCACAATCGTGCAAGTATTTATGTACAAGTGGAAATGGAAAGCATGTACCTAGACATGTCCAAGTCTATTCAAAGCACATAAAGTTCTATTCAGTTTTCTACATGTATTTCTAGTAATATGCATATTTTTCAGTTACTGGGTTAGCATGCATGGCAAGAACTTGTCAAAATACTATGGCAGTTGCACGGAACACCAGAACAGGGAAGCTTTTTGTGGCGTTGCACATAAGAATCACAATTAAACTGCCCAAAGCTCCAACACCAGCACTGTCTAAATATCGTGACAGGAAACTTTTCTATCCCATTAGTAAATATGTAATACTAAATTAAAACACAGGGGAGATAACAAACATCTTGATAAATGCTGTATTTCACAGCTCATGATTCCTCACAGTTATGCCAGGACCTCCCTGCCCCCGCCACCCTCTCTCTTACACTAAGACTCGAGTGTTACACTTCGTAATATCCTACATTACAAAGCACATTACTATATTTTGAATGGTTTCTTCAAAAACTTAGGCCCATTATGAAAATCTTAGCTTCCCAGCTCAGGGATGCCTCTGCAAGAGTGTTCCTTTTTCTCTTCATCTTCTGACAAAGATGGTTGTTGAACTTTTATTTCTTTCATCCAAAGCTACCCAATGATTTATATGCCAAAGGTGCAGACACAAACAGCAGCAAGGAGGTTGTGAGACTGCTTCTAAACACTAGCGTTGTGCCACAGATGCACAGACTTGCACTGTTTCAGCTATCAACATCTACTATTGATACAAAGAACAGGCATGTGGAAAACACAACAGCTTATTTTCTATCTATCTATCTGTCTATCTATCTATCTATCTATCTATCTATCTATCTATCGGACTTATATACCGCCCTTCATCATAAGATCTCAGGGTGGTTCACAAGATCCCAAGGTAAAAGAACAAATAAATAGTTAAAACAAAAACAACAAACCAATAACCCTCCTCCCACAAAGGCATTTAAAAGGCTGTAGAGTATTAATCAGCCAAAGGCTAGAGAAGCATTTGGCAAAATTATAAAAGGCAGACTCAGAAGAAAACATGGATGATTGCAATGCATAAATAGCAGCTTCTTAGAAAGGGAAGAGGTTATGTTGGAGAGTCAGGGTTCTTTCCTTCTACCTCAGTCAGGTTCCTAAATATATGTGGATGAGAATGACATGAGCAAGAGGGAACTGTAAGATGGCTTGCTATTGATAATGTAGTCTTTATCCTAGCAGAAGGCTAAGGTTCTTTCCGGCAGGTGTCTATAGAAAGAGACATCTTGAAAGGATATAGTATTCTAGTAACAGACTAAACTCAAACTAGGCTGGTACCCACTGAGAGAAAAATGGAAGCACAGAAGGCAGTAGGGGTGGCAATAAAGGATGAAGGTCAACTTCTTGCATTGTGCTTAATATGCAATGCCTGAAAATCAGGTCAAGATTGCACAAGATAAACTCCTGAGCTTTGCAGAAAAACCAAATATGCTCACACCCTTTTTCACCTCATATCTCACTCAGCAGGCATATCAAAAGCACGCTCTTAAAATGGTGGGGTGTCTTTTTTTTGCAAAGGATATCTTTTGAAAAACGAGGCTTTGAGGAAAGGCAATATGGGGAGTGGGGAGAGGAGGAATAAGATTTTAGCAACTATTTCTGCCAAGTCCTAATGCAGCAGTAGCTTCCATGCATTAGTTATATCACTATGGTGTTATACTTGTACATAATATTGGTTGCAGACCTGCAGAATGTGCAGTGCTTATTTAACAAGAAACTCCTGTTCAGAAGCTGTCCCATAGGTCCCCCTGAGCTATCCAGCTTGCATGACAATGATCAGGAGCCTCAACAGCTCTACTCTTCCCACAACCTTCTAATCCCAAAGAGGCATCTGTTCCCTCATCCCAAACTTACCCAACTCAACCTACATGTTTCCCCACCGTGGATGCTTACTGTAGAATGGCCACATTTCACTCTTCATTTACATAGTGTTATTGCCAAATCGTTGTCCACCTGTGTCTTCCACATGCTACTTCTATCTCTCTTTTTTTCTTTTTACCACAGAAAACCTTCTGGTAAAGAATGGAACAGGAGAACAATATCCGCAGCTGATTGCTAATCTTCAGTCTTTTCCAAGAGGCATAGTTTTTACACGTGCAGTAATACCTTTGGCAGCAAATCTAGATACTTGGGTGCTCCTTCTCTAGTTCCTTTCCGGTTATCACCATTTTATCAATATTTTAAAATTTGTGATTTTTATTATTTATTAGCACTAACTATTAATGCACTAATAGTAAAACTGATTTTGGAAACACTTTGCTGCCACCATTTCAGCCATTTCTGAGTTTCAGATCTGTATTATAGCATGATACTTACACCCACACCTCTATACCTCCCAAAGTGTGGAAAGTCAATGGCAATTTTCCTTGTAGCTAACAGTGGAAGAGCAATTATTAGAAAGTCCTGGAATATGCCTGCCTGGAAGCACCCATGAGAGGATTCCATCTCATGGGACTCTTAAGCTTTGCACACACAACTCAATGGAAAGAGACGTGAAGTTAAAATGAATCCCATCTTTCTTCAGCCAAAATCACATCCATGTGAGAGAACAGAGGTGTTCCCAACAACTTACAAAGGGAAAAAAAAGGGGGGAAAGGGATAAAACAGACTACCTGATGACTGTCCCACATACAAGCTGGAATCATTTATGTCTCCGCCATCATCCCAAATATACTGGGACTGAAGGATCTTGGAATCTTCATTCTCCTCGCTGGAAAAGCCCGAACCAGGTGAGGCTAGCAGGGCATTGGGGACAAGGTCTGGCTCTGACACCTCCAAGTTTGGCTGTTCGCTCGTATCTAGAGACTCTAAGTGAGACATTGCTGAGAAATCCATGAAGGAGGTTGAAGTCAGTCCTTCAGTACCAGGATCTTCTGAAACTGCACAGTAGATGCACAAAGAACCTACAAACAAGAATGAGAGTAATAACAGTTTTAGTAATCATACTCAAAGGGGGGGGGAGTTATGGAGCTCTCTCTCTTCAAAAAAGGGCACCCAAAATGATCAAAGGTTTGGAGCAATGTTACAACATTTCAGGGAAAGACGAGTAAGGAGGGGAGATGATTGAGGTGTATAAAATTATGCATTTGGGGGAAAGGTAGATAATATTAAAACCTCTCTCATAATATTAGAACCAACGACCAGCCAATGAAGCAGAATTTTAGAAGACTCAGGACGGACTAAATGAAGCATTTCTTCACAAAGCACATAGTTGAACTATGGAATTAATTCCCGTAAGAGTTAGTAATGGGTATCAACTTGGATCATGGGCATAGCCAGGATTGGGGGGGGATAGGCCATTTGTTGGGGGGGGGGGCAGAACCTCAGTTAGAAATGTTTTTTTATTGATTTTTATTTATTGGGGAGGCAGCTGCCCTCCCCCATGGCTATGTCCATGACTTGGATGACTTTAAAAGAGGATTATACAATTCATGGAGGTGGGGGTTATCAATGGCCACCAGCCACGGTGGTTATGTTCTACCTCCAATGTCTGAAGCAGAATTATAATCTGGCAGAATACCAGTTGCTGGGGAGAGTGCTGTTGCATTCCAATGTCCTGTTTGCAGGCTTCCTGTAACCATGTAGTTAGTCACTGTGGGAACAGAATGCTGGACACATGGGCCTTTCGTCGGATCATGTGGGGTTGTCCATACATTCTCTCAAGAACAGTCACAGGCTTCTCTGCCTTCACAGCAACATTTTTACTCACTTTGGTATAAATACATTATCCACAGCAATCACACAAAAGTGATGAATATACTCTCTGGGGGAAGAACGTCATTTTCAGGTATGAAGACCACAATGCATCCAGTGCAGGGAAAATTAGATACTGCTGCAACTGAAGCAACCTGAAGGAACCCTTTTAAACTCTGCACAAACCAGTGGGTAACTATGCATGTATCTGCATTGAAAAGTGACTGCCTAGAAAGCCCTTAAGCCTTTTTGAGAGAAAAGCTGAAATACTGCAGATGAATGCATGAACAATCATCAGACGTCTCAGTGACAGAACCTAGTAGCTTCCCATTCTCATCTGCAAACAGAGCGGTGGGCTGGGGAATAGTCTGTTTTGCATATTCATTTCATAGCCATAGTGACCTCAGAAACAGATATATTTAATTCACTAAGGAAAAAAGGTACACCCTTGCAAATGCAGATAATTTCCCCTGCCTCAAATTCCTCCGGAGTCTGGGTCCTGGAGTCTAGCAGTGACTGAGACACCAATTCTGAGGCTACAGTACTATCAAGCTAAGGAGTCAAGTTGGGTTCCTGGCTCTGAGCACTATGTTGATGATTGAGGGACCACTGAACCTCAGGTTGACAGACAGGAGTCCACTAATCCAACTCTCACAGCACCAGAGTCCACAGAACTGGAGCTAGGACCCTCATGAGCACTTTCACCTAGGTTTGAGGAGCAAGTGCCCCCCATACCATACCTTGCCAGTTGAGTGCTGCTAGGAGCACAGCAGACAGAAAGTTATGATACACAGAACTGCCTACCTTTTGACCAAAAGGCTGGCCCTAGTCTTCCACAAGGGGACAAAGCCTAGGAGAGGTGGACTGGAGGCAGAGCCACAAAAGAGCTCAGTTCAATGCAACCCATGTTGTAGGAAGTTGCCCACTAAGAGCTGTCCTTGGTGCTGTAAAAACCGACTAGCCTTGCCCTATGCGTTGGTCCCTCAGTGAGAACAGGGCAGATTCTACATTGACCACAATTCTTTATCCTCCTTTACTGCATCTTCCTGTGAGATCTTTGGTTGGTCACTATGCTAATAGGAATTCTAAAATCCAGTTTCCGTTTTCCAAGTCACCCTGAGCAATTACACCCTCAGCAACTGCCCACTCACTGTTCATTACAACTTCAAAATATTCTAAAGAGAGATCCTTCATTATGAACGAGGGACTGTGTTTTCACTGCACTGCAAAAGAATTTGTCCCTTTGATAAGAAGGCTTTCCCTCATTTTGACATAACAAGTTTCTAGAGATGCATGTGCTTATCTCTGCAGGCCGAGACAGAATTAACTCTGTAAAATAAACTCTGTAGAACTAAGAATTGCACCCTGACCCATGACATTTAAATAGCTGTACTGTCTTGATTTCTCACAATCCTTTGTTTTGTTTGTTTTTGACGTGTCTACATTTAAGAGTTTATGTTAATTGAGTGGTCGGGAACCTATAGGCTGTGGGCCTAATGACACCCGACAAGCCTCAGAGGCTGGCCCATGAGGCCATTTTGGGCAAACCACTCCCACTTTTCCTGAGCCTGACATCATGCCAGGAATGGAAACTTCAAGCCGCAGCTAAAAGGAAGAATAACCTGGAGCGCTCCCAATTTTTCATTTGTGTCAAAGTCAGCACTTTTTGAAATGGGCATCTTTTTCTGTCACACTGCGCAGCAAACTGAGAGCACGCTTACCTGGCCAGATCTTATTCCCTGTGTTAAAACTATTTCAAACAGTAAAGCTTTGCTATTGCTCAATACACATTACTCATTAAAATAGGGAGAAAAAGTAGTGCTGTAGTTGGAAAGCCATGTGAATTAAGCAAGCAGGGTGTGCATGCACTACATCCATCTTACTCCTGGCTGTTTTGAATCTCCAGGAGACCATATCTGTCTAGATGTACAGAGTGTACAGAGGGGTGGGTTGGCAGCAGCTACCCAAGTTAGATTAGCATGTAAGCAAATGGGCAAGTTTGTACCCAGAGCAGTCTTTGGATTGGGACTCCATAAACATGAAAACAGAAGGGAGAATTTACACACTATTCATTCTAGAAACTTGAAATCAAAGGGAGTGCCTTTTTTGAGCCTTGGATAATGCTTGGTCTGCAAGAGCGTTTCCACAACTGATTCATTCTTATTTTTGGAGACTTTTTATTGCCCTATGTGCTTTCTCATTTTAGATCAATAAAACAAAATTAGCTAAAGGAGATCAACTAAGACAAAGGCAAATACCAGAGATAGCAAAAGTATGACAGGAGCAAACAGCATTGAAAAGAAGTGCATTGCAGCATAAAGCAGCCAACCAAGGCTTCTCTGGCCATCCCAAGGGATGGACAACTCTCACCAAGTGTTATTTGCACAGAGCTGAGTCAGTCAGTCACTAAAGCCAAAACATCCCAAAATATGCTCCATTATAGAGCATGCAGCATGCCTTTGCAGGTCAGATTATATCTTGCTTGAACACTCTCCTAGCTCAGTCTACAAGGAGAGAGAGATAGAACAGAATTGTGTCTAGGATTTTTATGCCTTCACACAGCAGCTGTCACTGAGCTATTATTAGCACTACAGCAGCATCTTGAGACCCCCAAAAGAGAGGGGTGTGTGTGTATGTATAAAAATTGTTGTGCTTGGACTATAAACATATGCAAGTGAGATAACAAACACACACTAGCTGCACTCAGAATAGACTAATCCTGTTTATCTGCTGTGGTGACAAATATGCAAGCTGCCATGACTGGCATGAGCCTTTGATTGTCAAATTGAGTAAAACCACCAGCCACTCCCAATTCATCCATGATCTCAACGTGACAAGAGACTCCAATGGGCCTGACAGGCAGCAGAATGTCATCAAACCCACCTCCCTATCCAAGCCATGTAACTGTTTGCCTATGCTGCACTGCTGGTGGTGCTAGAATCTAGTGCTGGCCTTGAAGGCCCTAGTACTAGGACCCTGTTGCCTAGTTGTGTTAATTTGCTTGTGTGCACAAGTTCATAGGATGGGATAGGTACAGAGGCACAAAGAAATGAAAGTGTAAAACTGGCAACCTTATATGCTATGCAGCCAAAGATGTATTTGCTACAATGCGTACATGTGACAAAGCTGTAGCAAACCACAGTGCCCTGGTGCATGTACCTGTAAGATACACATGGTTAAAAAGCACACATTTACTGCATACGTATGTAACAGTTTTATTAGTACATAAGCCCTCTTAGATCTGCTGTGCATATATCTGTTAAAAAAATGAAAGTGTGGATTGCTAAGACCATGTAAAAAATGCCTAACAGGGTAACGTCTTAGACACAAGATTCACCTTCTCTTTCCTTCTTGAGGAACTCCCATCAGTGTTACAAAGAAACCCAACACAGATTCCTGGGGGGGGGGGGGGGAGTAGCAAGGTTGCTTCATACTTCTTTATTAGGTAAATAATGTTCTGTTCCTTGAATGCTGAACTAGAGAGACACCAATTGGCCATATTGCATAACATAATGTATTCTATATTTAAACCAGTGGTTCTTTGGCTTTTACTGTAACAGCAGTCAATTTATTACCAGATTACACACAGCTACATTTACAATGCAACCCTAAGCATGTTTACTCTGAGAAATAAATTCTATGGAGTTCAACAGAAATGCAATAGTAAGTGCGTTTCGGATTGAAGCCTCAGCCAAGAAAGGTGAGGAGTGGTTTACTAACCTGGTTGAAACTCGAGGAGCATGAACTCTTACACATTGGGCAAGCCTTATACAGTTTCATGTGCCATCCATCAGTATACTGGATAGAAAAGTATATCTCCCTCAGTGAGAGAAGAGGGAGGGATACAAATAATTATTAACGTGATCTCATGAATCTTAATTTCCATTCATCCAATTCTTTGGCACCAATTCAAACTTTATGGGTTGGATGCAATGTTATTTCTACTCAGAGCAGACCCACTAAAGTAATGGACATTACTTCCCCAGCAGCCTAAGGCTCCTTCATCTTGTCTCTCTTTGTTCCACCTTCTTCGTTTCTCTGACTGTTCTGGGAGACCAGGGGGAAGGGGAGGGAGACTCCTTGGATTCTTCTGCATAATCTCTGTCTCCTGCCCACCCCCTTCCTGTCTCTGATTCTAGAATGTTATCTGCCCCAGCCTCTTCCTGCTCACCAAACCCTGTTGCTTCTTCAGCTTGACACCTCCTCCTCCCAGTCTGCTCTCTTTTCTCCCTCTGACCACTCATCGTCATCTCATCACCAATCCCCTTCTTCTTCTCTGGGGGTTCCCCAGCTGGAGCTTCCCATTACTACTCTGCATCCAGCCAGTCCATGACAGTTCTCTACTCAACTGTTGGGCGATCCTAATCATAAGGTTGGCAGTCCTCATGGCAGGGTGAGCTCCCATTGCTCTGTCCCAGCTCCTGCCAACCTAGCAGTTTGAAAGCATACCAGTGGGAGTAGATAAATAGGTACCACTGTGGCAGGCAGGTAAACGGCGTTTCTGTGCACTCTGGTTTCTGTCACGGTGTCCCATTGCGCTAGAAGCGGTTTAGTCATGCTGGCCACATGACCCAGAAAGCTGTCTGTGGACAAACGCTGGCTCCCTCAGCCTGAAAGCGGAGGTGAGTGCCACATCATGTAGACAAATTTGACTCGACTTAACTGTCCAGGGGTCCTTTACCTTATAAGGTTTGGGAATTAATACAATTCTTGATAGTTTCCAGGTTGGTGGCAATAAACCTCCAGCTAAGGTATCATTGTACAGTTTAGACATATATATGGGACCATTAAATCTCTAAATGTTTTATAAAATACTGTTGAAAAACCCACCTTTAGATTTTTATTTTTATTTTTTTTAAATCATATTTATTAAAGTTTCCAAAAATATAAAAATACAAAGAAAAAAGACAAAAGAAAGAAGATATTTAAAAACCTTACTTTCATTCCCTACTTTCTGGGACTCCCCCTCCCCCAATTGTATTCCCCTTTCCTTAATTTGGTTCTACAAGCTCTCACTCCCAATTTAAAGCTTAATTTGTTTAACCCACTATCCAGATTGAATTGTACAAATCTTACCACCGTCCCACATCATTAACAGAAAAAGAAAAAAGATTTTCCCCAAGATCCACCCCAGTTCCTTCCACAAATTCCCTTTTTTTTAAACACGTCCGATCAAAGTAAAATAACATGCGTAAGTTATGTAAAGAAATAGAAAATAAGAGATATAGAAAAATTCAAAACTGGTTACACAGCCTTTGGATTTCAAATCTCCCCCCTTCCCGGTTTGAATTCCCCATGTCCATCAGTCTATACATTATCAGCTTGGAAGTCTCATTTCATGACCAGATTTCTCCCGATTCCATCTTGCCGGTTTTCTTTTAGTTTATTAATTTAAATAATATTTGACTTCAAATGTCCAATCTAACAAAGGCCTTTAATTTCCTTGATCTTTACCACTCCTCCCGTTGTTCTTTCCGTGTCGTAATCAGTCCTTTATTCTTCTTATTCCTCACTTTCTCAGGTTTCTTGTCCTGTTCAGCTGCTAAAACTTTCTAATTCAGAAATCTAGTGTCTCTGCAGAGGTTTGTTATTCAGGAACAAAACTTACGTCCAGTCCCTTTCTTTCTTCAATAAAAATTCCATTGTCTTCCTCTGTAGACAAAATACTCTTTCAGTTTTGCAGCTTTCCCAGAAGATAACAAATCCTGTGCGAATCCCAGGGTATTTTTCCACTTACGACCGTTCTTGTAGTATCCCGAAACCCCTCTAGGGGGATTGTAATAACTTTGTATCCTCTAATCCAAAAGTCAAATTGTTGCTTATTTTCCAACAGTTTATATCCATATTATAGCAAATTGTAACAAAATTAACCAGCAAGGTCCTCATAACAAAGTCCTCTTTATATTCTCCAGCTTTGACAGCCACTTTGACAGCTGTCAAAGTCTCCGTCTCTCTTCACCAGGCTCCACGAATCGCCCCGGTTCCCAGGGGGGGGGTTGCATTTTCTTCTCACCCTCCACTCTTCTCCTCCAGCACATTTCTTATAATTTCCCATCGTGAAATTAATGATTTTTATCAGAGACATACTTCCCTTTGGACCTTGGTTACCCAGTCCTTGTTTTGGAATGCTTACAATAGGGGGGGGGATTGACTTCCTTTTAAATCGCCCCGCTCGTGCCAAATCCAAAATTTTGAACCCGGTTTCCCAATTACTCACGGGTTGTTGTTAATAGTCCAAATTTTCAATAGAAGAAGTCAGCGCTCTCCGTCGAATGGCATGCGGCTGCGCTCGGCAGGGAAAGCAGTGGACTCAAAGCACCACGCCACTCCCCGGCACCCGATCCGAAGCCTTTAAAAGGCTCCTTCACGAGTCGGGAGGGCGCTAATGGTGCAAGCCGAGTCACCCATGTCCACGGACTCCGTGCCCGTGGTTTTTAAGGGTCCCCGCGTCGCCGGCGCGGTAGGACCCAGCCCCTGCCGAGCAGACTCCCTCCGGAGCTCGGAGGGAGTCCGCCATTCGGCGATGGCGCTAACCCGGAAGTCCCCACCTTTAGATTTTTAAGTACAGTGGTACCTCGGGTTAAGAACTTAATTCGTTCTGGAGGTCCGTTCTTAACCTGAAACTGTTCTTAACCTGAAGCACCACTTTAGCTAATGGGGCCTCCTGCTGCCACCACGCCGCTGCCACGCAATTTCTGTTCTCACCCTGAAGCAAAGTTCTTAACCCGAGGTACTATTTCTGGGTTAGTGGAGTCTGTAACCTGAAGTGTCTGTAACCTGAAGAGTCTTTAACCCGAGGTACCACTGTACCTCTTTTTCCTCTTCTGTAATTGCCAGTGGGGACTACTTCCGAGTAAGCATATACAGGATTGTGCTGGAAACGTCTCTCATGTCTACTGCCTTCCCCACGCATTCTCTATAAAAGTCCTAAAGCTTAAAAATGCGGTCACCTGTGACGAGCCTGGCCTTCAGGGGAGCTAATCCCATTAGTGCAAGAGGTTGTTCCCAGCAATTTGTTTACCCTCATTTAACACTGAACTGTTTACCCAGTTTAAACCCTTTAAGATTCATGATCCGGTTTACCAGGCTGGGCTACTATCCTCAACCAAAGAAAAGAAATGCTAGCCAAAGCACAAGAATTAGCAGTTGTGAAAGTATCAGCAGTGGGCTCAGTCTGACGTTTACTTTCCTCTCTGAGTATGAACTTAACCCTGGGAATTTCAAGACCTCAGCTAAGTTGAGCTGCAGAAAATTTGCTTTTGCAAAACTTGGTGGATCTGAGAGCCAAGTTCTTGGATTTGCTTTGCGCTACTGTAACTCTAATTTGCACAGCAAACTTCCACCGATGCAAAACAAACTCAGCCCTGCCTTTTGGTATTTTATTGTTCAAATTGGTCCTGCAAGAAGTACATAGCTCTAACAAAACAGCACTAGCTATATGCAAGTATCAATGTGTAAAGATTATGCTTTACAATCTTCATTACCTGCCTTCAAATATTCTTCCCAGTTAGCAGGTTAAAGTACTAACAGATTGTGAGATGTCTAATGCTCACTGAGCAATGGTAATGGCAAAGCAGGGATTTGAACTCTGGTTCAGCTATATCATTGTCAACTAGGAGCCACACGAATTCTACAAAACCTCTGGTATACTACTAATACCATTGCCCTGAGCAATATCCACACATGTGTTGCCTACAACAAACCAAGTCCTTACAAAACACAAGTATAGGCCTGTATATGCGTACTTCAGCCTAGAGTGCGTCTCAGTCCTGCCAAGGACATATAAGACATGAGGCTTTATGAGAGGCGCCAGTGCAATTATACAGAGATATTTGTCTCTTTGGACTTGTTCAGGGAAGTTTTAAAGACAGATAGAAAACTGAGTGAAGACTCAGTGTACTGTTACCTTTTATTCTCCAAGAGAGATGGGAACAAGACAAAGATCTCCTGACTGTACCTACAATTATGATTGGGTCTACACATCATTTGCACTTACACAGCATATTTTAAAACAGGTTTGTTCCATTCTCAGAAATTAAAACCCAAGCAAATTCCTGGGTGCCAACATGAAAAGATCCAAGACACTGAGGATTTTCTAGGCCCTGGCCAGATCCTTTTTTGGATTCCACAAGAAGGAAAGACTCCTGACTAATTCTTCTGCATTGAGCCTGGCCTCCTGACTTCAGGCATCCAAGGAGTTTGCTCTAGTTTTCCCTTTCTTTAGACTCCCTGGTGCCTTTGTACAGGAGTAAAACACTCAGCCTTAGCATGTACAACAGCCATTCCCAATCTGACAGCAGCTCCTGGCACCCCTGACATCGACTGGGCTAATTGGAGTTGCAGTCAAAAATATCTAGAGAGCACCAGGTTGGGGAAGGCTGCTGTGTAGTCTCCAGTTTACTAGCAAGGAATGCTTCTTAACAGCTGCCACCAACATGTTATTACAGCCATCGAGACACCTGAAAATAAACACAAGCCTCAGGGAAATAACTGCATTAAGGCCCAAGACTTCTCTGCTCCAATCTGTGTTCTGAGCTTCCTCTGCTAATCTGGGCAGAATGTCCTTTTCTAAGAAAGCATTCAGCAGAGCAATCTAGACAGTCTCTTGCATAAAACACATTCTAGCTATCTAATAGATAAAACAATTTCGTTGCATCAAGTATTTAATACAGAGAAACGGCACAAAATTAGAACATGCTCTTTCTTCACTGCTTTGTTTGTGTGTAGTTTATAAATTCCCTGATCCTTTGTTCAGCATACCAAACAATCCAAAATGGCACCAGTTGTGTGGTTTCTAGACTAGCCCCAACACAGAGCGCCTCAAGCCTAGCCATATGCCCTTATGCAAGCATCAGTTATACTGCCGTACAGCGGACAAGAGAATTTTCTGGCCTCTTTCTGAAGCCTAAAATGCCAAGCAGATCAGACCTGTCTGCCTCCACAGCCCTGGGCCAAGCAGAACTGGGCAAGTCATGATAATCATCATGCGCTGGAATCGCACTATCACACCTCTGCCAGATGACAAAGTACATTAACATCAAATTTGCTCATATTCTCAGACCAGACAAAAATGGAATATGAAATTCACTTCCTTGGAAGGCCTAGTGAGTGAATTACAGGAATGACAAGCTATTCACTCAGTGGCAGACCAGGGAGGCTGGCCTGGCCCACTTTACTTTCAGGCCAGTTTAGACTACGGTTGCCATACGTCCGGAATTTCCCAGACATAGCCAACAATCGGCCATCAGAAGCAGTGTCCTGGCGGAAATCACTTAAATGTCTGGGAAAATTCAGATATATGGCAACCCCTTTTGGCAGTGTCGTTTTTGTCAATTTTCCTTAAAAATAGCTCAAAAACTTCAATTTTTTTTTAATTTTAAGATTTTGCAAAAAAATGCTCAACAACTTTGGCCCAAAGACCCCCACAAAAATTCAACAACTGTTCTGTCTGGATTTTCACATTCTGAAATATGGCAATCCTCGTTTAGACAGCTGTGATTTAACTGTAAATTGGAGAGAAATCTGGGGTGGGATTATGGATTTCATTAACTGAAACTTCCCCCCTCAATTTTTGAAGCACCATAGCTGGCAGAGTTAAACCAGACCAAACAGAATACAACACACACACAAACATATATATATATACAGTTGGATTGACCACAACATGGAGGGCTGTACCTTTACAATGGAACCAAGTAAAGTGAAGCTGGCCAAACCTTAACCATCATGGCCAGCATAGGCGAAGCTTATCGCAAGGCATGAAAAGGCGTGAATGTGTGACTCAAATTTCCTTCCAACTATTTAAAAGTCATATCACGGCACAGTTAGAGGGAAGAGGAGGAGACAGGAATGAGAGGAGCTTTATCACAGTTTTAGCGATTGTGGGAATCGCTCACAGAATTCAGCTGGCAAAGTGGGTGCAGCCGAGGTCAGTTCTTCTGTAAAAATAAGCTACCAGGGAATAAAAAGGAAATCAAAATTCTGCGAACAGCAGCAAGAAGACTACAGCGGTAGGATTGTAGCATACATTTTACACAGGATGGCTGTCAAAGAAAGGGAGACTTGTTCCTCAGATGAACAGCTGTGGCATGGTGGGGGGGAGCCCATTCCCAAAGGACAGCAGATGCAGGTTATCCCCAAAGCAGCGACACAGTTAACAGAGCAAAGGACAAAACTCCAAGGAAACACTAGGCCAGTTGTAAAGCCAAAAGGAAACCTATCAGGAGGAACCACCTGTCGGGCAGGGGGACTGAATGAGTCAGGAGGCTTAGTGTTGGAGCCATGTCAGGGGCCTGGTCTAGGCCGAGGAGGCAAAGTGAGATTAAGCTCAAGAATCCAGAAAAGGCATGGAAGAAAGTCCAGGGCATTGGGGGGACGACGACGACAAGTTGATTAAAAGCCTGTAGAAAGGATGCCAATAGGCTAGAAACTGAACATCATTAAGGGATATGTATGGGCAAAGGGCCTAGAAGTGTTATATAGTGTACAGGCCTACGCTGAAAAAGCCACGTGTTGCGCAGAACAAACACACTTGCCAGCACACCATGGCAGCCTCTTAAGGCCTAAGCACAGAGGGATGAAAACAGACCTGAGGTTGCCAATGCCTGTGTTAACTTTTCCATTTGAAATAATTAGGACTGTCCATGGCGTAACACTGAAGCAGAGCTAAAGAAGCAAACAAGCCAAGCCAAGCCAGGCAGCCAAAAGAGAGGGACTAATTGGTTTACAGCCTGCCATATGGCAACCCCAGAATGGGGAACACACTTCAGTGTAATGGAACGTGAGTGTCACTGGCTAGAATGTAAGAAATGAGGTTACACAAAGAACAACGCTGAAAAGCAGGAGAGCCTTTGACAAGTGAGTTTCCCTGCGAAATTATAAAGACAGACACACGCACAGGCATCTGGCACTGTATTCCTCTCTACAACTTTAGTATTCTTGCCCTGAAACCTCCTGGGCCCAGCTGTGCAAGTCCCCAACCTTCTTGAGATCGGGGGCCGCATCTGAAAATCTGTTACAGAAACCATGAAATATCTGTTTCTCGGAATGTACCCCAAAACAGGCAAAACGCCTATACCCTTCCCCCGCAAAAAAACCAAAAACAAATAAAATGCAGACAAAAAAGGTAGGCACTCTCCCAAAACAGGCAACCAACACCCCCCCTCCCAAAGCCTGCAATTAAATAAATAAAAAGAATCATAGAACTGTAGGGTTGGAAAGGACCCCAGGGGTCTTCTAATCCAATCCTGCCAATGGGGGTGTCTGAAAGCATCATTAAATCCACAGAGGCTATGTTGCGGCAGGGAGGACCCCAGCATTATTATCATGTGGCAGTGCCATCATAATCCTCTCCTCAAATTCCTCCTCTTAGCTGACTATCTTCATAGCCACCAACCAAGGCAATGGTACTCTCAGAACCAGCATCCAGGAGAAAACAAAACCCCACAGTATGGCATAATGGCTGAACCTCTTAACTAAAATACACCCCCAATACTGATTGCTTATATCCCAAATTTAGCTTCTCCCCCTAGCTTGCTGAATTCCCTGAGATGTGGGGCTAAGTTGGATTTCTCTTATATGGATTTTCTGTTTCCAAGTGAAATGTGTCATACAGCCATCAAAGTAATAACAAACAGGACCTGAGAAACGCAGGTTCCTTTTCCCACTCAGCTAGGAAGCTCACTCGGTGATCAGGCACTCACTCTCCCAGCCTGACCCAGGTTGTAGGACTGTTTTGAGGACGTAATGGAAATAAATAAATTATGCACCCCACCTTCAAGGAAAGGTGGATGTAATAATTAACAATGCATTAATAAACAATGAAAGGAGTCCTATAGTAAGCATATACTGAAGAGAATGCCACCACACACAACACACACTACCTCCAGCTATAATAATGTAAGGATGAAATGTGCTAACAATATGTCCTGGGTATGAGGGAAGCAGCAGGCATTTTAAAAAAATCTCATTTGGCCACGAGCCAGTGAGCAAGAGGGGGCAAGCTCCCTCCGAAAGTTTGGAATGAGGATAAGACAAGTCCTTTTCCTAGGGGAAGACGAGGGGTACTTTCACCTATAGTCTCCAACCTACAGCCACAGATGATGACCAGGAACAGAAATGCCTATGAGGTTGGAAGCCTTGAAACCATCTGCCTTCCTACTTTTCCCAGGGTCACACCAATAGGAAGAGAAGTAAAGCTCTTTTCCCACAAAACAAACAGACCAAAACCCACATGCACTGAGGTGGCTAGCCGCATCACCAACATCAACATCATCTGGCCATGCTTTCCAATCAGTTGGTGCAGGGTTCTTCTGACTGCAGAGAAGCTCCTCAACACACACACACACACACACACACACACACACACACACTTTTTTTGAGGGGTGTGGGGCTTCACATGTTCAACTGGATTCAAAGATATCAAGGTATGTCCAGAAGGGTGTGAGCTGACTTTTGGAGCTCTGTTAGTTGGTGCCATCTGCTCCCTGCTCAGTGAGCTCACTCAACACACACCATGCAGGGACTCCCATATACACTGAAAGAGTCAGATTGCAAGAGCTGCCAGTAATCTTAGGACTGCCTCTTACAAAGGATGAGAGTCTTCTGCTAATAGGAGTTCTGTTGATTAAGTGACTGAGAACAGAAGTGTTTTTTGCAAACTCATGGTCAGTAAGGGTACTTCTGAATCACACATTCATGGTGGGAGGGGGGGAAGATACCGGTACAGTGGTACCTTGGGTTAAGTACTTAATTCATTCCAGAGGTCCGTTCTTAAGCTGAAACTGTTCTTAACCTTCAGCTAATGGGGCCTCCTGCTGCTGCCGTGCCACTGGAGCACGATTTCTGTTCTCATCCTGAAGCAAAGTTCTTAACCTGAAGCACTATTTCTGGGTTAGCGGAGTCTGTAACCTGAAGCGTATGTAACCTGAAGCATATGTAACCCGAGGTAGCACTGTACCTGCTACATATAACAAAATGAGCAGGGAACATTTAGCTTATCTTAGGTGCAGAAAATGGGGATCCAAATATTATTTAAGCTACATTAGAACAGGGGTGAGGAACCTCCTCAGCATCCTTCCAGAGGAAAAGGTGGGTGGAGTAATGAAGGTAAATGTTACCTTTGTACAGCAGGGCCTTTTTCCAACACACACTCACACACCTCTGTCATCTTGCCATCTACGCAACCAAGAAGCATTATCAGAGCTCAAGAACACATTCCAGGCCAGCAAAAACACCCAAGGAAGATGCAAATAAGGAGTCATAGGAGATATGGCCGGGGAGGGTGTGTGGCCTGGCTTGGGGAGTTCCATTCAGCCCTCAGTTCTGAGATTCCCCACCCTTTTTTTTAGAATAAAAAGACTGACAAAGCAGCTTAGGATAATTGTGAGGTTCAAGTGGATAACATGGAGTCTACGATGTTTAGGAGGAAAGAAATATAACAAACAAAGGCTATATTAATGCCATTTTTAAAAAAAATCAAATAGGGGAGAGAGATAGGAATGCAATGGTTTGGAAGGAATGCCATCTGGAGTCTCAGAGATGAATGAGCAACACTGGATAAAAATTCTGGTGTAGGGGGAAAAGAAAAATAATATTGATTTATTAAAAAGGCTGGTGTGGAAGCACTTAAGCCTCTCTGCCCTTAGCCAGGAATTCAACACATCTTTACCAACTTAGCCTACGAACCAGAGCAACGTCAGAGCAGCAAGTGTAATTAAACTGCCCCAAATACAAATAATAAATAAGGAATTTCCTTCCAGAGTAAAAACATTGTCCTCTGGCAAATTCCTGCCACACAGAGATACACATTACAAAATAAAAGTCATTCTTTTAGGTTCACAAGACAAAGAGTTAGGAAAGGCAGAAGACGCAGGCCTCATTGTCTGAGTTTGACTGCCTGAGGAACAGCAGTTTTAATGAAGGTGATGGGAAACACAAATATTGGTCCACTCAGATTTTGACACAGTGACTGTCTCCTACATACATTAGTGAAGAATAAAAGTGGGGGCAGCAGGCGGTAACTACTGCCATACTTGAGTGTTATTGAGGGGCACAATTTTTTGTGTAAATGAACTCAAACAGCTATTCCGGTTCTTTATAGTACCTCAATATCTGCTGCTTGAGATAAAATACCTCATTCAGAACAAACTACAAGTGAAGATTTTGCCAACTGGGGAGTAGGACCTCATAGAAGGACCACATTCTAACCTGCTTCAGTTTATATCTAGCTTTCATTTGAGAGGCTTCCCAAATTTGTGCCCAAGCATTTGTCCAGCAGATGTTATTCAAAATAGGGAGCTCGGTCCAAAACGGTCATTTATTGATAATCACTTGAGACAGGGGAACAATGATCAGCTAAAAGAAGCATCTGACACTGATGTCCCCTGATGTACAGGCTACCGGTGGAAAAAGGCAGGCAGAGATCCCAAGGAACTTCTGTTACACATTGTCAGGGAGAAAATTTGAGGGCAGGATAGCAGTGAGTTAAGCTACAGTGGGGAAATAGTGAATCATTTATAGAAAATACAGTGGCTCCGCACGGATTAGGTGGAACTGGCAGGCAAAAAATACAGGAAAAATGGAACAAACTACTTATTCACGCAAATGTGTAATTGGCTTATGGAATCCATTAGCACAGGATGTTTAGATTTTTGCACCCACCCACTCCCCCAGGAGGATTAGGCAAGGTTGTGGAGGAAGGTCTGTCAATGGCTATCAGACATAATAACGAAGAATGGAACTTCCATGTCCAAAGGCAGTATAACTGATTACGAGAAGCTGGAAAGAAATGGGGTGGTTGAACCCATTGTGCTCTTATTTGTGAACGTTATGGTGGTATCTGGCCCCTGTTGCCCCACAACAGACAGATCTTTAGCACCATCAAGCAGAACAATTCTTACAGGCAGAAGGCTGCAAAACCAATCCAGAAGTAGGGCTAAAAACAAACATATTGCCAAGCCAGGATCATCTTTCGTACGCTATTATATGTGTTCTTTCATACAGAATGAGAGCAGATGTGGTTGAGAGTTTCATTTTATTCCCAACTGAGTAGAGGAGGAACATTTCTAATGGTTAGAAAGGAGAAAATCTGGCTACATGAAAGGTGAGGAGCTGCTTGTGGGCTTTACGATCCTTGCACCCTCTTCCGAGCTATTGTTCCCTGCAGTTTATCACAGCTTAACTATATATTTTTTAAATCCCTGAGTCGGCAGAAATGTTGTGCCATCGTGATTTGACACGCAGTCAAAAAAAGCAGGTGCCTGATGAGCCGTTTGTCTTGACAAAGAAATGGTGCAGTACGAGGCAACTCCACGCTTAAGCAGCTCCTGCAATCGTGTCCGTGGTGCTTATTGGGCTGACATCCTGCTGCTCCACGTTGGCGGTGCAGGGCGTAGTGCAGATTGCACGCACAACGTTGGAGGCTCACCAGGATTGCAGGTTTGCACCAAGAAAGCCACAATCTCAGTGGCTTCCGCCTGTGAACACAGAGAGAGCTCAGAGCCCAGACAGAGCCCTTTTGTCTATCTCCCCATGATTATTCCAAAGCATCTGACCCTGGTTCCTTCTCTATAGGAAATGAGTCCTGCACCCCTATATCTACAACCCCCCCGACTTTTGCTGCCAGTCTCTCATTTATTAGTAGAACATTCTGAATGCAGGATTAGGAAGCCCAGCAGAGCAATCACTTCTAATTAGGACTGCAGAAAACATAGGCGAGAGGTCAGCATTCCACTGGCACAGACCAAGCCGGGAGAGAGGCAGGCACCCCACAGAGATTCTAGCACACCCACATTCCCAGGAGCCCTGTATATTTTCTGGGCTAGTAGCAAAAAGCAGGGAAGCAAATGTCAGTTTAACGACCCATGATGTTGAGTAGGGTACATGGGAGTATTGACTAGTGGCACACAAGACTGTAAACCAGCAGATTGTTAGAATTGATTTTGCATTTTTTAAAAATCCTGGGTTTTTTTGAAATTATAATCCCACCTCTGTGTCAACCTATGGGAAGAAACTGCTAGCAGACCCCACCCCCCGCAGATTTTTCCATTGCAAGAGATAAAGGAGCACACTCATCTATTTGTTTCTAAGTAGGATGTCTATGCATGGATATCCCAAGAACCTAAAGATGAGTGAGGGCAGCAGAGATCCTGTACACTTGCAGGAAAATAGAGCATACGTAGATACATACATACATCATTTTATTTTTATCGCCACCTTTTCATAGTGAAAACCATGCTCAAAGCAGCTTACATGAAATAAATTACATAATTACAAATATAGCAGAAGTAGTCATCAGTAATAAATAAAACACATGAAAAAGTACACAACCAAATTGAACAATTTCCACATACATCAAAAGAAGCTCTAAAAATAGAGATACAAAAAATTAGTATCAGCAACAGTAACACCCCCCCCCAAATACCCCAACCCAAGAGTCTGCTCAGCAGCCTCAGCTTTTGCAACTGGGTGTCAGTCAGGACCTCACCAGGCCAGGCAGGGGCCTGCAAGGCCAGGGAGCAGGTCTTCCAGGACTCACAGCCAATGAGCAACCTCCACTAAAGGTCCAAAACTGCCCACAGAGGGTTGTGAGGGCACCTTTCCCTATTTCTGATGGAGAAGGACAATGCAATGGTCCTCTCCTAGACCTGCAGAGTAGTCGGTAGGAAAAGCGTTGGCTCGGTAGGCTGCTCAAACAACACAGGGAGCTATAGGGAAGGCAATAGTTCCAGCCACAACACAGTGTTTTTCTGGGTCCTCTTGCCCACTAGTTTCCTGTCAGATCATATGAAGGAGAGTTGGTGAAGAGAAAGTATTTGGATGCTTCTGCAAGTGAAAAGCACAATCCAGAAGCAGTAAGATACCCCTTGCCTCATGTGTGAATCCACCCAAGCTATATTCATGTAAATGAGATATGTTAGCCTTATTCTTTGGGGACGGCTCATTCAAATCACTGTACCATTGAGAATTGAGAGCAAATCGCATAGCCTCTGGGCTCTAGGAGACCATTTAGTTTTCCTTTTGGCCAATTTCAGTGCTCCCATTTTGCCTATTTATCCACAACATCCTACAAGGCTGTTCCTCATTTCAAGCACAAGGGAGGAATGTGTGCTCTAATTCATACTCTGTCACCTGGAGCTCTCCCTTGGAGTATGAATATAGTTATTTAAACCTTGGGTGCCTATAATTAAAGAAACGGTTCCTTAGAAAGATTGACTGCGTTGGATGTGTAGCCATCCCAATTTCCTGGAGTCGAGCAGATTAACTAACAAGGAATTAGTCAAGCAAGATAGCTGAAGGGAGGAAGATGCATTTAACACCCTCTGGAATCTCACAGCACTGTACACACAAAAGAACAGGGTGACCGAGGAAGGAAAAGAGATGTCCTTCTGTAGAAAGGTCTCATCTCTAGTGCTCATTCATCCAAACTGTGTAGTAAACATAATCAACTTCCATGTAGCTTAGCTGAGGAATGTCTGCTACTATGCCATCAGAGTGCCAGGCTTAAACACAGCCTGCAGCACATTTTTACCCTCAGTTTCCAATATAACTTTTCCAATAGCGGTGTAATTCCTGTTCCGCTAATTCCAGAAATAAACTTAAGTTCCCAGAGAAAACTTAAGGCTACCTATTGTGGCAACAGAACCCATCCTCACTATAGATCACATCCACACCATACATTTAAAGGACATTTAAAGCAATTCTGGGAACTGTAGTTTACCTCTTATAGTGCTACAATTACCAGGATTAGGAACTAGAGTTCCCAGGACTCTTTAAGGGGGGTAAAGTGGTCTAAATGTGTATTCAAAATGTGATATTGATGTGACCTCTGGTGAAATAAAATCCGTGTTCCCAGTAGCAGCAGGAAAATCAGTTCAAGCATTTGAACGGCCACAACCTTCACTGATTATTAATTAGGCTAAGAATTTAGTTAGCAGCAGATTGCATCTGCTACCTCTCATCACCATAAAATTATTTAGGAGCCATTATGTGAATGAGAACCCCAGGGAGTCTCAAGGACCGAGATCAATCTTGTGCCTGGCAGATGGAAGATCTCATTATGGGAAGTTACAGGCACTACTTTAAGGGAAGGGACTCTTACCTTTGCTGGGATGAACCTGGGCAAACCATCCTAGTGATTCATCCTAGTTATTCAGTAACATTGCAACAAAGTTCTAGCACTGTGCTATTACCCGGTTCAGCAAACTTTTTCAGCAGGGGGCTGGTCCCTCAGACCTTGTGGTGGGCTGGACTATATTGGGGGGGGGGGATGAACGAATTCCTATGCCCCACAAATAACCCAGAGATTCATTTTAAATAAAAACACACATTCTACTCATGTAAAAACACGCTGATTCCCAGACTGTCCATGGGCCGGATTTAGAAGGCGATTGGGCCGGATCTGGCCCACAGGCCTTAATTTGCCTACCCATGTCCTATTACATTCTAGAAGTGTTGGCCTGGAATTGCAGAGAAACTATGGGAAAATCCTATTTCCATTTACTTAAGAACAATTCCTATTGATCAAAGCTGATGAAAGTATTTCATTCACAACATGATCGTTGGGTGTCCCATCAACCAGGCACATTGCTTTTTCCTTTTCATGGTCAGAAGTAAGGGGGAAAAGGGGACTCAGTCCGGATGATATCTCTCAATTTAATAAACTGAAATATGAACGAGTCTTCTGCCCCTTCACACAAGCCACAATTAAACAAGGAAATATCTAATTAGCCAACCTGGAAAACTATGATCAGCAGCTTCAGAGCAAGCTGGGATATTAAAACCATGGCTCGAATATGGTATAATATCCCGTTTGTTCTGAACCTGGTAACCACATTATTGCTATGGATAGAAAATTCCTGATTTGATTGCTCATGTCACAAAGTGAGAAGTGAAGGAGCTGCATGGATGGGCAAAATACCTGTCAATATTGGCTTAATATCATTGTCCAAACACAGCTACAATTTCCCAATCGCTTATACATCTGGAGTCTTCAAACAACAGCTGCTGTGGAGTGCTTTATGACTTTTTAATTTGCTAAATTTAACAACCCTATTAAAAAGCAGGGCTAGTGTTTGCAAGGTTATTGCAATGCCTCTGTAGGCATTGAAAGGAATGAAGATTTTGGAGACGCTTATGGGGCGAGGCAGGAGAAATTACATGTCCTAACACTTAATGTCTGATGCACTCTTTCTACCATAATGTTACAATGGTCTTGTTCCTCCAGCCTGGCCGGGCTTCCGTTCCAGAAGGACGTGCCAATGTTTCCTAGTGAAAGCACTCCCTTCAGTATGACCACCATGTTCCAAGGATGGGAACAAGCTTTCCTCATCTCATTAACCCATAACTGTGGAGCTGAACTTAAAAGCAACCTCAAAACTATGTTAGATATTGAACTACACCTAAAATACCCAGTTGTTGCTTCAGTGAATCTCATATGTTAAAGGCAACCCCCCAACCTCTTAATAACTTAGGGACAGAAATGGTCTGTACCAATATTTCAGCCCCCCCCCCAATTTGCAATAAACAAACAAAGATTTGTGAAGGCCAAATTTATATACATGGGGGGGGGAGGATCTGTGGCTCTTCTGATGTGGATAGACTACAACAGCCATGATTCCTGACTATCAGCCATGCGGCTGGGGCTGATAGGAGTTCCACATCTGGAGGGCCACAAGATGACGGCATACAGGCATTAGTCCCAGCTGGTCACATTTGGCTGTTTAGAGTGGTTGAAATTAAGATGCAGTCCATCAACTCGCTTCCCTTCAGCCTCGCAGAAGCCCCCAAAGTTTCTTTGAGGCCACAGTGGAGAGAGAGGAAGCTCAGTCCTCCCTTTGGCTCCTACGCTACTGAAGAGCACAGAGTGCCTTATGGGCAAGAGATGAATGCAGCATGCCATATTGATCCCGAGTCCAAGGCAAAACTATGCATTTCAGGTCCAAATGGGAAAAGGAGTGAGCTCAAACCTTACAGTCTTGAAGCTAACATGGGGATTTAGGGATTAAGACAGTGAGATGAGCAGCATCATAAATTGGTAAGCAGATAAATAAATGTTTTATAATGCAGCAAGAGAGGGAGAACAAGGAAGGGTGGGAAGTCAACTTTTAAGTATGCATTAAATTCAAATTACAGTGTTACCTCGGGTTACATACGCTTCAGGTTACAGACTCTGCTAACCCAGAAATAGTACCTCGGGTTAAGAACTTTGCTTCAGGATGAGAACAGAAATCGCGCGGCGGCGGTGCAGCAGGAGCAGGAGGCCCCATTAGCTAAAGTGGTGCTTCAGGTTAAGAACAGTTTCAGGTTAAGAACAGACCTCCAGAACGAATTAAGTTCTTAACCCGAGGTACCACTGTAATTTGATGTGAACTTGTTAATTTTTTTGAAAAGCAATAAAAATTGGCCAAAAAAAAGAAGACAGTGAGAGGAAGGATAAGATGGAAAGCCCTTTCTCCCCTTTGCCCTGTCCTGCCCCCTCAGAGTTTCTTTGCCAGTCCACATTTATTATTTGCCTACTTGTGAAGTTAAGCAAGCTTTGGATAAATGTTAGAGCACTTAATTATAGCTGGACAGAGGTGAAGGAGATGAAAGGGCCTTTTCAGTAGTGGCACCCCAGTTGTGGAATGTCCCCCCAAGAGAAGTCTACTTGGCACCAACTTTGATTACTAATTCAGCTTCTTCTTTCCCAAGCTTCTTAAATCAGAGGCAGCAAGACTTTGGGGGGCTTCAAGGGACTCCATCCATACAGACTGGCTAAAGGGTAGTTATTGCCCCCTGTCCACTTACCTATATTGACAGTAGAGGGGGTGATTTCCATCCCCATCAGGGCAGAAAAATGTTACTGGTTGGGAGAATTAGGCCCATTGAACTAGGAGGTAACCATCCTTGCATTAAATCATTTAATTGAACTCTGCTGATTCCCCCTCCCCATTCTCAAATTTATTTTATCTACTTTTGAACTTATTTGATTTTGTTTTAATGCTGCATTTTGTCTTGCTGGATTTTTTATTATTTTGTTTTATCTTCATTTGTTTTATTTGACAAGCCTAAACTCACATAAATGAATGATAAAACAAATTAAGTATGCAAAACACAATTTTTAAAAATGGCTCTAATTTTCAGAAAAGGGGGGCTGTCTCAGAAAACTGGAAATGGTGCAGAGAAAGAAGTCAAGTATTATAACATGTAAATGGAGTGAATAGGGATGCATGAATACAAAGAGTAAGTGTGTGCATGCAAACAGAAAGCATTTGTGATTTTTTTTTGCAGGCTTCCACTTCTGCCTGTTTTTTAAAAATAATAATAGACTTTCACTAAATGAAAGAGGACTTGGCACAAGGATTGTATCAACAATTTTATAACTGGATTGCCCACCGAGTTTTCAAATCAGTCTTGTCTAGAACCTGCTGCCGTCTATGGAAAACATATACCCTATTTTTGGCACCATAACACTCACTTTTTTCCTCCTAAAAAGTAAGGGGAAATGTCTGTGTGTGTTATGGAGGGAATGCCTACGGGTGGCATGCCTACGGATTTTCCTCCTCTAAAAACTACATGCGTGTTATGGTCGGGTGCGTGTTATGGAGCGAAAAATACGGTATTTGTGTTTTGTTAGCCCATCTATCACCTGCGATGAGTTGCAGGAGGACTAAGAAATATGACAGTACACAACACAGCATCAAATGCCTTTGAGCAGTTTTGTTGATGTCCTGTCGCCACCCCTGTAGAAAAACACCTATTGGTAGGAACCAGTTAAACTTAGTTCATGTGGTGTTGCAACAAAGCCTTTAAATAACAGTTTGAGGTCCCAGAGTTCTATCACATTCTATGATCACACCAAGAAGCATGTGACAGAGACTATTTAGATAGAATTTGGATCCCAAATGGCTCCATTGGGTTCTATAAGACTTTACTGTAATGTTCTATAGGCTGTATTTTTATTTTTATTTTACAAAATCAAGGTATAGAAATATTTAAATAAATAGGTGGTTCAGAAACTGCAGCTAGAGCAGAATGTCTTCTAGTGTGTGCTTCAATATTACATTGGCCTTTCACTAACTGTGCTGCATTCCCATCTGTGACCAGAAAATTCAAGGTGTTGGTTCTTACCTATAAAGCCCTAAGTGACTGGGGAGAGAATTTATGAAATCCTTTTCCTGTATGAGCCTGCCTGTAGTATAATATCTGCTGCAAGGTCTTGCTGTATACTCCTCCTCCAAAAGAGGTTAGGCTGGTGGGAACATGGCCTTTTCTGTGGTGGTGCCATGCCTAAGGAACTCCTGCCCTAGTTTCTCGTCATTCTTCCTCCCCCCCCCCCCATCAAGGAACCTGTGTGCTTCATTAATGGATGGAGATAAACCTGGGTAACAGCCAGTTTTTTGTATTTTCAGAGATGGAGAATCAGCCAGTTATATTTCTTCTTCCCACTAGGCCTTGGTGAAGCCTGTTGCCTGCATAGCCCCTAGAAGTGCGTCATTTGAGTGGATGCTACCTTCTCCCATATTCTTTTTTAAAGCCATTACCAGTTGCAGACTTACGGTGTTACCACCAGCCAGGTTTTCTCTCCTTTCCCCCTTTTTTAAATAAACAATCTAGTCTGATAAAAGATTTCTGCAGGACTTTAAAGCTGGCATACTATTTTGTGATATTTTGAACAGCCTGAGAAAGATGTTGTTCTAACATGGATTATGGATTTTTTCCCCTTAGGGGCCAACATGGCTAGCATAACTTTACTTGTGTCTCTTTACAGAAGGATCTATTCTCAAAACTTAAGAGATGAAACACAATTTACAAGCAGAAGGGTGAACATGCTCTGCTCCAATCCCATCCCTGGCAGAATGACCAGATGGTCTTCATTCTTCCAGGCCGATTGCTGCCAAGTATTGATAAATTTTATATTTTTAAAGAAAACATTTAATGGTCTGTTACAAAGTTCCATTTTACTTTGTTCACTAAGATTACAAACTGAGCTTGTTCACTCACATTATTAAGAAAAATAGCCCCTTCCAACATTCTTCGTTTTATTTTTTTGAAAGGGGTCTCCGTCTTTAAATATCTCCAATGAGATTATACAAAATTAGAAGCACAGGCCTCCTACCTATTCTAATTATAATTACTTCTGTACTTAATCGGCTTTAATTAATACCCCACCCCCCTTTTCAAAATTTACAGATTAGGCTCTTTAGAACTAGAGTCTAATTTGGTATCAGGACTTCTCGACAGCATATTTTTGGTGAAAGAGAAACAATCAAATTACTCTAAGGGGAAAAAGGTGACAGGACAATGTTATGGGTTAAATGATTCTCAGTGCAGTACAAAGTAATTCTGGATGCAGTCCCTAGAGGAAAATACAGTATGCAGGAATCCTAACTCAGCTTTGGCACGCAGAAACTGTACTACATCAAGGCTATTTTCAACAATCTCTAGGGACGCTTTGTTCATCCCTTAAAAAAACCCCTAAAACAATAAACAACACTACTGAAACATACAAATCCATATTAACAACAATTCTCAGTAGATCAACATTCTGAATATCCAAACACATATTAGGTCCATTAAGTCACTGAAAGGAAACCATCTTCCCTCAAATGTCTCTACTTGCTGCCCATCTCTTAAACGGGTCTATGCAGTTAACTTTCTCATTTCAGCCAAATCTTCACTAGCCATTTTTTTTTTCAGTGAAAGGGTAATTGAATCACTACATTTCTTAACCACTATATTTATTTTTTTTGCTGACGTTAGTAAATTCCATCCTAATTCACAATGCTCATCAAAACTATGCCATGCAAATGTCCAAGTGAAATCTATAGTAATTCCCCAATCCTCCCTGAAATGGAGAGGAACAGCAGTGGAAAAATATCACCCACTGTTTGCAGTGTGGGCACCAAATAAATACATTTGATGTTCCACCCCCATCCCACCCCCCACCATGTGTTATACGGCTATAGGCTGCAGTGAATTTGCAGTTTCTTGTAGCTCCCTGCTGCTTGTAGCCACATGATATAACACCACTTCCCAATATGGTGTGTGAAGCAGCATTGAATTTCACAGCATTGAAACTTGGCTAGAACTCTCTGAATTGCAAAGTTTTGTTCCGTGACAAGAGAGTTCCAGGTTGCCTAGACTGACATACTCCCTGCTCCACCACACAAAGAAGCCATTATTTAGTGCCAGGGCAGGTGCTTCATGACTTTCCATGGCACCATAAAGTAAAACTTAAAATGGAATGGCAAAATGCTTACCTTTGAGACACTCTCACCAGGCAGTTTTCTACAGGTAAGTATTACATGGCCCAATATGACATAAACACTTTTCCTCATAGAAAGATACCGCACTGACTGAAACATCAATGGTGGTCAATAAGGGGTGACACATCGCCTTTAGAATGGCAACTAGCCTTGCTACAGGAAAAGGCACTTAAAATAAGAAGCACCTAAACTCCATTGAAGGAAAGGGAGGCAGAAAGCAATGTGGAAGGAAGGACATAAGCTGTACAGTATATACTTTACCATGGTGAATTGGAACAACAGCGGGAACTTCCAAGAATATAAATAACCCTCCCCCGCGCAAAGTGTACCTTTTCAAACACTGGCACTGGAAATAAAGTTAATACGAACCCCTCCCCCTTTATATGTGTATTTCTTCCCAGATTAAGAGGTTGCCAAGGTGTATGAGCATCTCCCTCTGCGGGACCTAGCCCCACCTCCAGGAAAACGGTTTCTATTTCCATTCTGCCCCCCACCTCAATCGCCCAAGCTGCTGTGTCGCACCCGTGCCTTAAACCAGGAAAAAACGCCCCCGAGTTAGGAACCCCGAGGCCACCACCATCCATCCCGGGCTGCTTCAGAGGACCAGATCCTCCGCCCCACCGATGCACCCCCAGCGTGGGGTTCCCCCACGGCGATCCCCACCCACGCTGCAGGCAGCCTCGGATCCCCAGCGGGGGGGGGGGTCCTTCCTTTGTCCGGGGCTGCCTTTGGGGACCGCAGGATCTGCGCTTCCCGATGCATCCCTCTCGGGTTCCTGGGAAAGGAAACGACTCACCGCAGGCCAGCAGGAGCAGCCTCGGCGCCCAGCGCGGGAAGAAGGGCGGCATGGTGCTTCTCCGTCCTCCTGCTCGCCTGCCTCTTTCTTCAGTCGCACCCGGCTTGTGCAGCTGCTGCTGCTTCTGCTTCTGCTTCTGCCGCCGCCGCCCGCGGGGCTCTGCCCCTCCCGGCCGCAGAAAGGACCTCTCCCCCCTGCGGCAGCTCGCGCTCAGAAGGCATCGCCCTCCCTCCCCGCCAGCGAGCGGCAACTTTCCCCGCAGCAGCAGCAGCAGCACCCCGCTCTCCGGGCGCCCCCTCCCTGCGGCCTCGCTTCAGGGGGGAAGGCGGGGGGCAGACGACGAGGAGGAGAGGCAGAGCTGCTTGCACTGCGCGGCCAGTCAGACGAGCGAGTGGCTCTGCTCCAAAACCAGCCAGAGCCCCCCACCCGCCCGAAGCGGCGGAGAGATGCTGCCTTGGCCGCTGCCCAGGCTCCCTCTGCAAACCCCGCCGCGTGCGCCTCTCCCGCCCCTCTCTCTCAGGGGTGTGCGCAAGGAGCAACACGCAGGCGGCGACCAATGCTTGGAGCAAAGGCTAATAATAATAATAATAATAATGGGAAGGGGGGCGGCGGGGGCGGCCGGCGTTCAGGTTCCAGCAACTGCAGCCGTTTTCATTCGCCTGCTGCTGTAGCAGCAGCAGCAGCTCCTGGGAGCCTTCGCCTCTCCACCACGCCCCCTCCCTCCCGCGCCAGGACCGGCGGCTGCCCCCGACCGAGGATCTCCCCGCTGCTGAATTAGAAATCGTGTGCATTGCGCAGTGGTCTGCATTCCGGCCGCGGCCGGGCTCCAGCTTCCGCCGGGGTCCTAGAGGGAGACGGAGCGGGTGCGCACCCCCCTATTCAGCGAGCAACCTGCGGGGAGGAACCTGCAGCAGCCCTAGGGCTCACGTCTCGCACTGAAGATTGCGGTGTCCGCAATGAAGGGCTTCAACTTTGCCCATTGACTCGGGAGGCCCAGCCCCACAGATATCTTATTGTGGGTGCCGATCCCCTGGAGTTGACTCCAGGGGCAGAAGCCTCTGTGTGTGCGTGGGCTTGGGCGGAAACTGGGATGGTTTTGGAAGATGAAGGCCATTGGAGAGGCGCTTCTCGCGCCCGTGGGCGATCCTACGATCGTGCCAGCGTCGTTATCTGAAGGGATAGCTCAGTCGGTAGACCACGCGACTTAGTGACGTGGGTTTGCACCTCCTATTGGGCAAAGGATTTCTGCTTTGCAGGGGGTTGGACTAGATGACCCTAAGGGTCCCTTCCCTCTCTACATTTGGTTCTATGATTCTGTGGCTTTAAGGTTTAGGGGACTGGAGCCTGCAAGAGAAGGGGATCTCCATCGGTTATTTGTGGGTCGCAGAAGTACAGTAGCTGGTTATCACTGAGGAGCTAGGACTTAGATTTGCACTAGGTAGTGCTTTTTTTCTGGGGGGACGCAGGAGTATGCATACCCCTAAATATTTTGTGAATCTAAGTTTGGCCTCATTGAGGGGCATTATTTCAATCTGAGTACAGTAGTAGTAGTAGTAGTAATAATAATAATAATAATAATTTATTATTTGCACGGCTGGGTCTCCCCAGCCACTCTGGGCTGCTTCCAACAAAAATTAAAAATACATTTAAAAGTAGGAAAATGAGAGTACCCCTAAACATTTTTTTTAGAAAAAAAGCAATGGCGCAAGGAATAACAAGGGCTCGCCTCCATAACCTAATTGCAGCTCCAAGGCGCAGCCCTGGAGGTTGAAATAATATTGGGGAAAATATCCATGCATTAGGGAATTAATCATCTTGGCCTCAACCAATTAAACAATTTACTAAATCTGCATATATATATATATATATATATATATGCAAGGGCTCCTTTGGGAGGAAGGGCAGGATATTAAACTTGATCAAAAAAGAAGTATTGCTAAAGATGGTCAAACATATTTTCTAGGGAGTAAGCCCCATTTATTCTCTTCATATGCTGCCGAACAACAGTTCTTCCTGCATGACATACAAGAGAACTTTAGAAGCCCATAAAAATTATCTTTAAATCAAAGTTGAACATAATGAACAAGAAAAAGAGTACAAGTCTGAGTTCTGATGAGTCTTGATTTATAAAGAGTACTACCTATTCAAAGGATGAAAAGAACCACAGGGCAGGCAAAAGATGGCTGAGGCTAAAGACTTGCATCAATTGGTTCATGTAGGAGAGAAAAAGGAAACCATCTTTCTAGACATTGGTCTTGAACCATTGTTCCCCCCAGTTTCTCTGCAGGGGCAGGTTTAATTCCTCAGGCAACACTACTTGCCAAACACTACCATACTGATACTGATTTAGTACCCCATGCTGGTTTTAGTCACCTCAGTGCTAGTAAGAACATTAGTTTCTTGCTGGGGAAAAAAAATCCATTTTGGGGGGGGGATTCTTAAATACAGAGGAGTGTGTCAGATTAATGTATCTGAGATTACTGCCAACACCTTTGTCCATAAATCATTCACAAATGGTCACCCAGCATAGAGGTAGAAAAGGACCTTGAATCTTACAACCTTTCCAATGTAAAAGGGACACAATTTGATTCCTCTGGTGGAGCTTCACCAGGATAAGCTGTCACCTGTGTTGTCATTTTAACAAGTGATTCCCAAATCCTGACTGAACTGGGCTTGCTTAGATCACACTGCATTCCAGTTTCCTTCTGCTCTGATGGCCCTCTTATCTGTCTCACTAACTGTGCAGATTCTATGTGGTGGAAGATAACCTTTTGTCCTGTTGACTAGAAGCATTGCAAAGGAACCTTTGCATCAACATGCTTCAAATTGCATCACACATCCCAATTATACATTTATGAGGACATTAGAAAGGCACCGTGTCCCTTGACCACAAAATTATAAAAACTACCACACTTTTAAGAGAGGAAGACCCTTGCAATAATTTATATTAATTTTGGACTCTGGCATATAATATTATTGGGAAGATTATTTGAAGGGCTGCATTTTGTTGGTGGGGCTAATGATTTTCATACAGAAGGTTCATGGTTCAGTCCTTTCCATCTCCAGGGAGGTCTGGAAGAGACCCCTGCTGAAAGAGTCATTGTTGACCGTGCTGAGCTTGATTGACCAGGGATCTGACTTAGTATAAGGCAGCTTCCTATGTTCTTCCTATACTGCAGTTGGCAGCAGCCCTCCAGGCTACTAAGAGGCATTTCCTAATAGGAGGTACTGATAACTGAACCTGAGACTATGCACATAAAGCACATACTCTGTCGTGTTATGGCTTTTTTATCTTGAGCTGAAGCAATTAAAACAGAGACACACTCCATGTAAGCAATAATATAGAGGAACCAGTTGCCACCTACTTCTAACAACATGGCAATTGTTCAAGTTTGACAATCTTGGCATAAATATTGGCAGCAGGGCCAGCCCAAGACATTTTTCAGCCCAAAGAGCTGCAATCGTACAACTGTAAGCCTTGGTGCATAACTTTGCAGGGGGAATCTTGAGTGCAGGCAACAATCTTGTTTGGGTGTTAATGCAAACCTCTGGTTCTGAAGCTGAGCCAGCAAATCCAGAGCTGTTCTTTTTCCAGTTTGCCTTCAGTGACTACAAAGTGCATGCATGTATGCATGCACTGGAAGAAAAGCATTTCCACTATGGCATCATGCATGGCAACACAGAGTCTTAGCTGTAATAATTAAGCTCCATGAGTGCTGTATAACTGTTACAGTGGTACCTCGGGTTAAGTACTTAATTAGTTCCGGAGGTCCGTTCTTAACCTGAAACTGTTCTTAACCTGAAGCACCACTTTAGCTAATGGGGCCTCCTTGCTACCGCCACACCGCGAGAGCACAATTTCTGTTCTCATCCTGAAGCAAAGTTCTTAACCTGAAGCACTATTTCTGGGTTAGCGGAGTCTGTAACCTGAAGCGTATGTAACCTGAAGCATATGTAACCTGAGGTACCACTGTATAGTACAGTAGCAAAAAGTTCCTGAATGGTTTTGGCCAAATTGGAGGAAAGACACTTCAGTAACACAACTTGCCGATACTGTCGTTCTCAACCATTTAGAAATATTCCAACATTATTTGCCAGCTGCACAAATACATTGAATCTGCAGCCAGAAGTCTTGCAAGGTGAACGGTAAGAAGATGGCCAGACATAACCTCTGTGGGTTTACTTAGCCAACATGCAGCTTCCTTGGTGTTGAGAGTGCAGCTCTGAGCTGAGCTCCCGATGGAGCTTGGGCTGTGCTGAAGCAGCAACACTGCAGAGAAGCTTTTGCTCAGCGTAATGGAGAGCTATTAAATCATGGCAGTAACAACTGCATAATTGAGAAAAGACACAGTGTGGGTCTTAACCACTCCGTGCCAATTTCTTGATAAAAGACTCGCTGCCATGAACTGGCAGGACAAAGGGGAGGATGAAGAGGATCCTGGTGAGGGGTGCAGCTGTGACTGGGACCCACTGGGGAAAGCTGGGGGTGGAAAAGGAGAGGTTGGGGTTGCAGAAAGTACACACAGGGATGACAGAGGAGGGCAAGGGGATGGGGGTCAGTGTGCAGGGACCAGAAGAGCAGGACCTCTCATCAGAACCAGAGAGACCCGTCTCCACAAACAAGGCAGGCTCCGAAGTGTTGGGCAGCAGTGATAGAACGCTCTGGGAAGCTGAGGCTGACCAGGTGGGGCTCACTAGCTCAGGGAGGAGGTGTGCAATTCCTCAGCTGGAGTAGGTTCAGAACAGGTGAGGGTCACAGCCTCATCAAGCCCAGATGCTGCAGTGAGCAGGCAAAGTGCAGACGGGAAGCAGAGCTAAAGTGCTGTGTCTGCCCACGTTGATGGACCTTGGCATGGATGTTCCAGGACTTCTATGGGACTGTTTCTTGACTGTTGAACTTTGTACTTGACATACTGTATATAGACATATATAAACAACTATCTGACTTTTAGAAGACATCTGAAGGCAGCCCTGCTTAGGGAGATGGGTGGGATATAATTTATTATTATTATTATTATTATTACCCCCCCACTGACACTCCCACAGGACACTCCCACTCAAAAAAAGGTGTGTGGGGGAAATAGTGAGAGGTTTGCTTTGAGTCCAGACCATGGTTGGGGAGATGGAATTGTGCCCAGTCTGCTCCAGGGACTGAAGAATTGTTGTTCCAATATTTTTCTTCTACTTAATACAGTGGTACCTTGGGTTACATACGCTTCAGGTTGCAGGCACTTCAGGTTACAGACTCCGCTGACCCAGAAATATTACCTCGGGTTAAGAACTTTGCTTCAGGATGAGAACAGAAATCATGCAGCAGCGGTGCAGAGACAGGAGGCCCCATTAGCTAAAGTGGTGCTTCATGTTAAGAACAGTTTCAGGTTAAGAACAGATCTCCAGAACAAATTCAAGTTCTTAACGCGAGGTACCGCTGTACCTGGAGCTGAGGCTCCAATACTTTGGCCACCTCGTGAGAAGAGAAGACTCCCTGGAAAAGACCCTGATGTTGGGAAAGATGGAGGGCACAAGGAGAAGGGGACGACAGAGGACGAGATGGTTGGACAGTGTTCTCGAAGCTACCAGCATGAGTTTGACCAAACTGCGGGAGGCAGTGGAAGACAGAAGTGCCTGGCATGCTCTGGTCCATGGGGTCACGAAGAGTCGGACACGACTAAACAACTAAACAACAACACTGTATAAATAAACCAGTTGATCAGACCCATTAAGAGCTGGCATCTTACATGATTACTGTGTCTAGCTTATAATTTGAAGTTGAAAAAACTGGGGGCGGGGGAGAGGATAACTCAAGCTTTACTCTCTTTGAGAGATTGGCTGGGCAAGATGGAGCAACTCTCCTGTGGGGAACGGTTGTGGGATCTTTTTAGTTTAGAGAAAAGGTATGTTGGAGGATGGCTTGGCTTTGCCTCCATCGGCAGAGGAAACGCTGCTTCTGAAAACCAGTTGCTGGAAACTGCAGGAGGGGAGGGGGCTCTTGTACAGACCCGAGTTTCTCTTTACCCAGAATTCCACCTGGCCCCTAATTTGGAAGATTTTAGGTATTTGTGGTCTCTTCAGTGTGTGCGGTATGCTAGACCTGGCTTTTATAGGCAGAAAGGAGTTTTTATGGTATTTTGGTTTTAACCTTCAATACTATTTTGTGAATCCCTTTGGATTACTTTTTGTGTACAAGAAAAATGACAAATCAGTGCAATAAAATCATCAAAACCTTAAGATAGCAGATCAAAGGTTTAACCACCACGATCGATATATGTATAGCACTATATTTATATATAACCAAGAAGGGGAGGGGGGCACAGAAGAGAGAGAATGCAAGGCTTCTAGCAAACATGCTAAGTATTTTCTTTTTAGTCAGCATCAGTAAGCCAAAAGCGAGCTTTAGTGTAGAGATGATTGCTGATATCCAGGACTGTGCTTCCATTCTTTCCAGAGAAAGCATTTGCCTATTGAAGCATAGAGCAGATATTCTATCGTTAAATATTTAATCAGCATGGGCAAGGCAACTTGCCATGCCAAGTACTCCAGAAGATAATGGTAGTTCTCTTGCCCTTCAATATTAAACATATTCAGAATAAACAGGGTACTAGATCCTGTATAGGCAGCGGGGTTCTTGTATAATTATGTTTAGAACTTTTTTGGTACAGTGGCCATATTGAAGAATATACAAGACAATATTTCAAGCAGCCATCTCAAAAGCTCCAGCTCATTTGTGCATATAAAACTTTATTCTATCATCAAACCAAATCTCAATAAGGTCAGTGAGTGGACAGAAGATCCTGACTAGAATATAAATAATCTCTGGCCAGGGAGTTTGTGGAGTAAAATATACAGGATACAAATGAAGGACTAACTGTGGACTGGCAAACTTGCAGAAGAGAACAAATTAACCTCTGGAGAATCAGGAAACATTACAAATAGACATTAAGGCACAAAGGTTGGCAAGGAAGGAAGGGGGCTGGCTCATGGCAGAGAAGACCAGACAAAGCAACATGTCCACTAAGTGGGAAGTGGCGATGGAAGAGCTGGCTGCATTTCCATGAACATTTGAGTCTAAGCTCTAGTTACTATCAGTATTGCCAGAACTAAGTATGGTACAGAAGCCCCACAGCCATCAATGTATTTAGATTATTCTTCCTGTCTTAAAAAGCTTAGAGTATGTAAAAGTCAGGCACTGAAAAATTGGCTTATAGCACATCCCTGTTATTCTTCTAGAAGTATATTTGCTTCTGGAAGAGGCCTAGGTTTGAATTTTCACGGACTAGTGCTCTGCTCTTTAACATTTTCATTCGGTGCACTAAAAATATGGTGGAAGAGAACACTAAAAAGCACTTACTGTCTATGAGCTGACCTAAGGAAGAAGAGGAGCAACCTCCAGCCAAAAACAGATATAAAACTGGCTCCGAAACATCTTTACGTAATGCAATGAGACACCCAGAAAAACACTCGGGGGGTTAAATAAAGAAGTCCAAATTACATAGTGTTGAAAATGTAATAGGGAGCAAGTCAGCCAGCTGTGAAGTGGTGGTTGTTGAGTTGGTTTGTTTTTTGCCACTAGTCAATGACTATGAAGGAGGTGCAGCTCTGTCTAGCTTAAATGTCTCCAATTCAGTCTTTGATGAGACAATAAGGGTCTCTAAGCTTGCCACAGGCAGGCTGAGTGGGCAGACAAACAATTTGCCAGAAAGCTCAGGCGGCAAGAGACCAGCAAATTCTCTCATTCCATGAAGAGCAGCACATGCAGTTGATGCACAGGGACTTAGGAATTTAATATTCTCTTACAGAAGCAAAAACCTTTTATTTTCTATTTCAAAACAAACTTCACAAAACCTGCCTCCTGCTAGACAAGTGCATAGCAGCCTTACAAAATGGGAAAGAAGTACTTCAAGATACACTGTAGTCTGAAGAGAAGTTCTAGTTTAAATCTGTCTCTGAACACGGAAATGATTTATAATGAATTGAAAAAGGTATTTAAATATACTTTCACTAAGAAACCAGAGGCTTTCCTTTTGGGTATTGTCAGCCAAGGGGTGGCAAAGAAGGACCAGACATTTTTTATGTACGCAACAACAGCAGCAAGGATACTACTCGCAAAACATTGGAAAACTCAAGATCTACCCACACTGGAAGAATGGCAGATGCAACTGATAGACTATATGCAACTGGCTGAAATGACTGGCAGAATCCGTGACCTGGGAGAAGAGAGAATCGAGGAGGATTGGAAGAAATTTAAGAACTATCTACAAAAACATTGTGATTTGACTGAATGCTGAATAAGATGCTAGACTAAATAACTGAGCACCACTTAACTTAGAAGTTTTTATGAAAGTAAGAAAAACTGTGAAAGTTTAACCCTTTATGAGAACTTTAAGATTATGAAATACCAAAGAGATATAAGAACTTAAATAAGATGATAAATTGCTGACAAAATGTTATAATGATGAAGGTGGGAGCGGGAGGTGTGAGGAAGTCCAAAGAAAATGTGAAATTATGTTAAGACGAATGTTATATTGTTTATTACACTTATTCTTATTGTAAAATCCAATAAATTGCTTTAAAAAAAAAAAAAAATAAATCTGTCTCTGAACACACCACTTGGGCTTTTCATACATACAATAGATCAGGAACTGTTAATTCAATGACAATTTATGAACGTTATCTATACGTTCAAATCAAGAGGGAAAATGCTTTGCCTGTTTGTTTTCATGTGTCTGAAGAGGGGTCTACACACCACTACCTTGTAGAAGATTAATGAGCCATCTTCATGTGCAGAAACAACACATTTCTTCAAGGTGTGAAAAGTTTGTGTGCTCAGCTTTGAACTGTATAATAAATGGAGAGAGATGGAGTACAACTTGCGCTTACGTTCCCTCTGCTTGTTTGGATAGCTTAAACAAAGTCATTCCCAGTTACAGAAGGGAGGAACCTTGCAACAAGGTTGGCTAGCCTGTGGCTCTCCCAATGTTGCCTTCCAATTCCCATCAGTCCCTGATAACACGGCTAATGGTCAGGGACTATGGGAGTTAGAATTCAACAGTGCCTGGTCACTGGGTGCCCAACCCCTACCCGATAAAGTTTAATCAATCTAGGAAGGTAATTTGAAGAAAAACCTGCCCAAGTGGAGTTAAATTTCAAAAACTTAGGGGGCAGCAGGAAACCATTCCTGCAACATTTCATCCAGCAAGCTCAGCTACAATTAAGCTTAGGAGTTTGAGTATTTGGCTCCATTCTATTCTATGCACAAGCCCTTCGTAGCAGATAATCCAGATCTTCCCTGTGATACTGCTTTGCAACAGCCTGTGTACCACTGCACCGCTGGAGGAAGCACAGTTCTAAATTCTTATTATCCGGAGCCACTCAGGAATTTGCTGGCCTCAGAATGCCTGCACAATCAGTTTCCGCTTCACGTCGCGGCTGAACCTGTTCATCTTGAACAATTCACTGTCGTAGAAGGCAGAAAGGTTGTGGATGTTGATCTGGCGAGCCTGGGAGGAGGGTGGGGGGCAGAGAGAGGAGAATAATTTAAAGAGATGTGTTTGCCAGACTTTTCCACAAGCTGCAAAGAGTTTAATCAAGAACAGATTAATCATAGATGCATATCTGTCTAGCAAAAAAACAACAACCAGGAGAACAGAAACGGAGATGACTGAACAGTTAAGGACACAATAACTGTATTTGCCTCATCTTTGAAGAGCAGCTCTGCTGGATCAAGCCAAAGGCCAATCTACACCAGCCTCCTGTTCTCACAGTGGCCAACCAAATGCCTATGGGAAGCCTGCAAGCAGGACATGAGTGCAACAGCGTTCTCCCCTCCTGTGGTTTCAAGCAACAGGCATTCAGAAGCATTGCTGTCTCCAGCAGTGGAGGGAGCAAACAGCCCACCAGGCTGGTAGCCACTAAGACTCTGCTTTACATTAAATTTGTTTCTGTGATCGCTACAGCTGTACCTGAAAGGGTGCAGACTTTTAGCTCCTCTCTCACAGGAACACCTGGTAGACTAGATGGACTTGGACATTTTATCCACGAGGATGTAATGCTACTAAATGAACGTGACACCTCTATAGTTTCCTTGATCTTTATCTCTACGCGTAGAGGTCCTTTTTCCAAGGACAGCTAGATTGCAACTTCTCTGACCACTGGGCAACACTTAACTGTGGCTGGTGGGAACCGTCGTTCAGAAACACCGTAGAGGGTCGCAGCTTCACCATCCCCTGCATTAAAGCTTCAAGACATGTGTGCAATGTCCAGAGAAGTTGTTGCAGAGGCTGAAGCCCAAAGGCTTGCCTGGTGCTACTGTATTATACTTCCCCTTGCAACAATTGATGCTCACAGCCCATTTGCCCAAAGCTTAGAAAGGAAACACAGAAGGGTATTTAGGCTCCCAAGAACAGCAAGTACGTTGGGGGAAAGTCACCCACATACCTTATCAACTAAATCTTTCTCCGGCACCTCAATGGTATCTTGCTGAGCCCCGTAGCGATTCCTCTGGTACATTGTCTGTTCCGACACCAACTGCTTCAAAATGAACAGCAAGAGCTCGTTGTTATCTCGCCTGAAGGCGAGGTACCTGGAGAAAGTCTGTGCAGGAAAAACAGGAAGCAAGGTTGGGAGAGTCATCAAGACCATCACACAGATTGAAAGGAGTGGGGGGGTACATTCCAGTGATGACGACATTTTAAGTAAAGGAATCATCCACTGACCACAGAAAAATACCTCAGAACAGGCTTTCTGAGGAAGAAAATGTTGGACTTTTTGGAGAAGGCTGGCTACTGAGTTTTTAAGGGGAGAGCCACTGACATTGGCTGACCTCCCACTCACCCTGAAAACCCTGCCACTAATCAAAAGGGTTCCACATTATGCTGCACTTAGCCCACCTATTTTCCGCCATTCTGGAATATCCTCCTATATCCACCAGTTGTGACATTAACACTCTGCTGTTAAGTCATTTGACTTGTCCTATCCCCTGGTGCTACCAAGAGAAAGCAACGTAAAAGGGGACTACAGTGGTACCTCCGGTTGCAGACAGGATCCGTTCCAGAGCTCCAGTCAGATCCCAAGGTTTTCGCAATTGGAGGTGCCTGTTCTGCCCATGCGCAGAAACCTGGAAAAATACTTCCGGGTTTGCCGCGTGCATAACCTGAAGGATACGTATCCAGAGGTGCACGCAACTAGAGGTACCACTGTATATATATCCTACTGCAAAGGAGAGTGAATGGAGAAAGTCACTTGCATGGGATCTCTTGTTCTTTTGTTTCATAGGCTCAGGCTACTGACACAGGAAATCAATGCATCTGCTCTAGGGGCTTTGACTTCTCAAAAAAAATAACGAGGGTCTTTAGTCTAACCACCCCTAGCTGTTTTCAGTCTGCCTAGTTAGTAGATCCAATGAGGCCAATATAAACATGTACAAAGAACTGAGCCACTGTTTGGGTCTAGTCCTGTACCCCAATTACACTGAAGTTCTGGAGCTGTCAGTTGTTGACCCCATATTCCTTTAAAAAGGAAAGAAAATGAGGACCTCCCATCTACGCAGCCCACAAGTGCAGCCTCACATACCTTCCGCATGCTCCTCATGACACTAAATTTCTGCGTGTCAATGAAGCTCTCCAGCATCACCCGGATGGCCATGTTGACATCGTCCTCCACTACGTAGTCCCGCAGGTGCATGCGGGCGTGGGCCTCGGCCATCCGGATCATGGACTCAATGTGACGCACGGTGATGGGGATGCTTCCTGTCGCCTGCAGGGAGAGAGAAGGAGCATCCCAACTTGCGAAGAGCTTGCTTCTGACCTCGTTGCCTATGTATGTCGGCAACGTATCAGTTAGTAAGCCCCTTTTGCCTGCTGTGAAGTAGTATATTGTAGAAGCTGGACAAACTCAGTTAAAACACAGTGAAAGACATATAAAGAGCACAGGGAGATTAGCAGAAATATAATGAATAAGGAGGATTAAAGCTTGGATCAAAACAAGCGTGTTCCACATCACTCTTGTCCATTCAGTCCCTCAGTTTGAGATTTTTTTTAAAACCCGCACAAAAAAACCCAGAAATAAAACCAGTAACACTAACTGTTTTATGAGATAACCAGAGGGCTGCCTTTCAAGCTGCCCTTGAGCTGCATGCTCAAAAATATTATTCATGTGCTGTAGATAAACTTCAGCGAAATTAAACTTCACACACACAACTTTTCAGTTCAAAAAATAATTTTTCCCTCACAATTGACAGCAGTGCCAAGCGAATAGAGAAGGCCAATGGTCACCACACAGGTGTGTCAAATGTGGCCCAGAAGTGACTCTGGGGCCAGTAATGCACTGTTCTCCCTGTTTTTCAAAACAGATGGCCAATTGCAGTAAATCCCACTTAAGAGATGGAAGGGGAAGAGGTCCTGGGAGGACAATTAGCCATCACTTGAGGCCCCACTTGGAAGGCCTCAGCAGAAATCATATCAGGCTTCCTAGCTGCTTGAAGCTGCTGTCACCTGCAAGGCGGGCAGGGAGACATTTAAACTTGAGAAGCAGCCCTTTGATCGCTGTGCAAAACTGTAAGCTGACAGAAGAAAAAAAGCTGGCAAAGTGTTGACTGAGCCGTAACACCCCATTCTACGAAGATCCTCTGGGAACAGGACTTTGATTAAAAACATGGAGCGAACGAATTCTTCCAGCACACCTCAGTTCAGTGCTTCCCAATTGTCCTACAGAGCCTCTGTGGCTGTTGGCTTTGGGGGGGGGGGCTATTTCTATGGTAGTTTTTTGTTATGTGAATGGAGCCGCAGACTGCCTAGGTGGGTTTTGTGGACACTGCCTTAGTTCAATGCTACCAACAACTAGATAGAGTGCACCATCTGCTGGCAGACAAACTGCAATGCGCAGAAGACGCGCAACCTCCTAGCTGGATGATTTAGCAGATAAAACTCTTCTAAAAAGACACAGGAGCTCCAGGGCTGCCTTGGAGCTGCTTCACTTGTCAGGTGAGAGGGGTATCATCTGCACAAGGCCCAACAATTCAGTTTCCTGCATCTTTAGGTAGCAGAGCAAGGCATGGAGGCGCCTCTGCCCTGTGTTATCGCCTTACTTCCTGCCATGTCTGCTTACCATGGATTCTTTCCTGAGTTCACTGTACATCCTGGCAACTTTGTCCTGGTCCATCTGGTTGAGTTTTGGGTGGACTTTTTCCTTTGCATAAATAATGTACTTCTTCAGGATCTCCTGCGGGATGGGTTCCACGCCATAAGTATTTGGGAGGACAATCTCTTGGGAGTCTCCGTTCGCAACGTCCTTGCTGTTGGGGTGATGTTTGATGTGACTGCCGACAACAAACCGAGCCAGCATCTCGTCCTGCAACGAGTCATTGAAGAGGGAACAGGCAATGAAATCACGTCTTTTAGAAGTCCCAAAAGATAAAAACCTACACCAAGCAACTTGCAACGTAGAGGAAAAGAGAAAGGGCAACCCTGGGCTGAAGATATGCAAGAGCTGGACCGTGTTACTAAGCAGCTGCGTTCATCCAAAGTGTCCTCAAGGGACAAGGCTGCTGGGATGCAGAATTTATCACTGCTCCTTCATAAAACTATGCCAGTTGGTAGCCCCTTGGCGAATCAGTCCTCAAGCCTTGCTCAGGTCATAAAGAACTTGCAAAGCCTCATACCTGTACAGGATCCACTGTGTCCCTGACCACACAGAGGATATCAAACCGAGATATGATGGGCTCAGTCAGATCCACATTTTCTGAGAAAGTCAAGGAAGGGTCATAGCGCCCACCTAGAAGGAAAGATAGCGAATTAGAAAGAGCTGCTGAACCCAAAGACCAATGCTTTCCCCCTTTCGTGGTACCGATTCATCTTTGCACCCCTGATTACAGTCACAGATTCCTTTCCCCCTCGCCAGACCTACAAACACGCAGCAGAACATCCAAAGAACAAGGCAGCTGTAAAGCCAACAGCGTGCGTCTTTTTGAGCAACTGTGGAATAGCAACAGCTTCCTACACCCCTGACTCATACCTATGGGGTTGGCAGCAGCAATGATGGTGCAGCGAGCTTGCAGAGATGTGACAATGCCAGCCTTGGAGATGGAGATGCTCTGCTGCTCCATGGCTTCATGGATGCTGGTCCTGTCCTGATCAGTCATCTGAAGAAAGACAAAGGCATTCACCTATCAAAGCAACTCAACCCCTGAATACTTATAATAAAGAGCGACATCACCAGAAGCCTCCAAGCAACTATGTTTAGCTATTTACCCATTTAGGAATTTTCTAGGACAGAAAACCCCATAGGACACTGGCTTATAGCAGACCAGGCTATCTGTTCATTGAGCACCATTGGTGGCTCTCCAGTCTCAGGCAGAAGGCCTTTCCTTTCAACTGCTACGTTAAAAAACAACAACCTGGAGAGGTCCATGGTCTGTACCTAGCACCTTCCATGTGCCCTGCCATTGCACTATATTCTCTTCCCAACTTCTCGAGAGAAGCATTTTCCCAGAGAGTCACAAATTCAAAAGCTAGTGCTACCTGTTTATATTTTACTTATTGTTCATATTTTTAAAATCTATCCCACCCTTACCCCATATATGCCCACTGACTGCTTCAATCTGCGGAACTGGCACTGTTCAGGTACCACATAAGAAACTGACAGCACCCACTCTTTGGAACTCCCTGCCTATTGACAACAGGATGGCACTTTCAATGTACACAGTACACCTGCTAAAAACATTTTTGTTTAGGCAAGGCTATCCAGACATGTCAAATGCTGACATGTGTTTCGATGTGGTTTTTCAGCTTATTGTTGATTTTAATCTCTATCTATCTATCTATCTATCTATCATTTTTATTAAGTCTCCAAAAATATTTCAAAGCATTTATCATAATAATACAACTTTTTTAACATACAAATTTTCTTCTTGACTTCCCACCACTTTCCTGATGTTTGTTTCTTTACTCTCCTTTTAATTAGCTCCTTTTAATTATCTAAACTCCGCTACCATTAAATCTTTCAGTAATCCATTGCTTATACGATTTTAATTTTTTTGGGGGGTGGGGTGGGGGAATAGTTGGTGTTTTAAATAGTTGGTGTTTACTGCTAATTTTATTGTTTTATTCTTTTTTTTTGTAAACCACTTTGAGGTTTTACTGCAATCAAGCAGCATATGAACCTTGCAAAATAAAAACAAACAAATAAGCTAAATGCTTTGCAGGAATGGTGTCTCCTTTGCTTCCAGGTCAAAGATCCGAGTCTGCAGCCTTGGGCAGGTTCACAGGCCTTGCACAGCCCAGGCAGCTTTATTCAAAATCTACCTTGGTCCTGGTGCCCAAATCAACGCTCACCTTGTCAAATTCATCTATCAAGCAAACCCCCCTGTCTGCCAGCACAAGGGCTCCTGCCTCGAGGGTCCACTCCTTGCTCACGGGGTGCCTCTGCACGTAAGCGGTCAGACCGACAGCGGAAGCTCCCTGGCCAGTGGTGAAGATCGCTCTGCTGGACGCTTTCTCCACATATTTGAGGAACTGAGACTTGGCCGTTCCAGGATCTCCGCAAAGCAAGACGTTGATGTCACCACGGACCTTATGTTTCCCTCCTAAAGCGTTTAACGACACACACAAAAAGCGAGTCTAACGAAAAGCTCATCGTTCATGTACAGTACTGTACACTAAAATGTGGAACTCAAGTGCTGCCCTCTAGAGGAGCAATGTAATACTGAAGGAGGTATTTCAACAATAAAAAGATAAAACAATGCAGAATGGTGTACTATGCTGGTATCCTTTCGCAAGGGCCATAAAACTGGGAAGGACAGACACCTGGAAATAAAAACCAGGCCACCAGGTAACTGGACAATGGACAGAAAAGTTCTGGGAACTTTAGAATCATGCCGTATATTGCAAACATTTTGGGCAGAAAGGTCTTCTGCAAAACGTTCAAAGTGGAGACTAACCAATTTCTTCTGATTGCAACGAGATGAGTGAACTGCACTGAAAATTAGGAGTCGCCTTTCAAAACTGTCAAGTCACACCTCTCCGGTGTAATTTCCTTGTAGCACTATAGAGATAACCTCTGCAGCAGTTAAGGTAATATTGATCAGACAGCTTCTTTGGGTAACAAGCTCTTTGACCTACCTGGATTTTTGGGTTCTCCTCCAAACAGGGCTAGAGCCAGGCCCCTTTTGATGTCTTCGTGTCCATAGATAGAAGGAGCAATGCTGGCAAAGATCTGCAAGGGAAGCAGCAGCTGTTTTCAGGACGTCATCTTGGATGACAAAGAGGTAGCAAGAGAAGCAGCCATGTTACAAGGAAAAGCTGCTTAAAGGCTCTAGAGGTGCAGCCCTTGTTCCACTTGCCTAGCAAGATCAGCCATATGCAGCGGTAAGAGAGAACAATGGTGCACATGACTGCATGTGTGGTGCTATGGTTTGAGACACTCAGCCAGCAAGCTCAAGGGATCACAGTCTCTCAGTCCAACCTATCTCACAGGGCTGTTGCGCGCATAAAATAGAGAAGAGGAGAACCATGCGCACTACCTTGAGATCCTTGAAGGAAAGGTGGGATATAAAATTGACAAATGTGCATATTTTTATGTGCTAATTTAGAAAGGGTTAGGGGACCCAGGTAACACTCAGCACCTTATAACTGCATATTGTGAGCATACCTTTTGATTTTGCGTAGTTTTTTGGGGAGAACCACAGTGGCTGCTCCAAAAGAGTTCTGTAGCAGGGAATTTATTTATTTATTTAACTTGAAGCCTGTGGGACTTTCTGTTCTTGGAATCAAAAAGCTGCTTGCCTTTGGATGAATAGCTAGACTATGGAAGTGAAGGGGTGGTAAAGCCTGCTACTAGGGGAGCGATAATTCTCCTACACACATGAAATACAAACACACCGTAGCTAAACGCTGGAGGAATAAATGGAGTGACAGAAAATATTTGGGGAGAGTGCAACCCACTGGAATCTTCTACATGCCAAGTTCCTCCATGCAGGTTCTGACTGGTTAACCCATTCCCTGTCCTCAAGTGGGAAACAAAAAACCCCAAGGTGAATTTGGGTTCCAAACTCACTTTCTCTCCAATCTGCTCATCCTTGGACAGGCCTACGATGACCTTCATGTCCTCATCTGTGAGCTCCCCAACAGCCACCTTATTATCCTTCTTGGCAATGTGATTAGCCAGGATCACTGTCGCAAAGACAGGAAAGCCATTGGCAGTGTTCAAAGATCCGTCATAATTATTATGGTATATTCCAGTTAGCTCCTGAAAGGCAAAAGGGGGGGGGGGTGAGGAGAGAGATTCTTTAGTCACTGTTACCAAGACAAATCCCTGCAACTGAAGGAGCCCCTGAAGATAATGAAAAGCCAAGCTGAGTAGATAGATGCATTTTGGCATCCTGGTGACATATTCGTGACTGAGCTGCTCTAGAAACAAGTTGCTAACTCTATTTGATGCTGTTCGAAGCATAGTTAAGTGTCTGAAGAAGTTTCCTCAGAGTGGCGTGGACACTATTGTTCTGTTTAATAGATGTGATGCATATGACATATTAACACAACATCTGCAACTTCTACCTGGAAAAAACCCATCATCATCTGTTTTCCTTTAAACTATTCTGCTGACAACAGCGCCTTCGCTTCTTTGAAGTTCTGCACAGCATGCCAAGAGTCTTAATTTCCAAGGAATCTAGATATAAACCTGAGTTGGCAGCCTACAAGCCTAGACAGGTGCGTGTGTCATCATGCAGATAAAAAAAGTATCTGCAAAAATATGGAAATGACCCAGGTCTTTATTTTCTGCTATTGAGTATAATGTACAAAACCACCAGGGGGGCGGGGGGCTTAAGAAGCCTTGAGTTAGCATTCTGACAGATTTAAGGCGCATGCTTCATACACACAGTACAATTTTAATCAAGATGACAAGCACCCCCTTCTCAAATTCTATACACAAGACCATTTTTAAAATGATTTTGTGAGTGCCATAGTCTCTCTGGGCTTCTCCCTCTCCTTCCTCTGGCATCATACTCACAATCTCGTCTCCTGGCTTGCAGCTGTCAACTAGGTCGGCAAGCAAGATGGCATCCTTGGAGCGAGGGAGCCTGCCCGCTGCTACTTTCCCTGGGCTCTCCTGGATTTTGATGCGCTGGTAGTTCTGGTAGACTGTCTGTGGGGAAACAATATTAATCAGCCAGCAGGTCAAAGGCAACAAAAAGGACACGGACACACACCCCAACCAACATTCCAGAATGGAAAGAAGGAAGCCACAATATCAAAAGAGGCATTGCAAACAGGCCTCTCTAGGTCATTTTTCCGTTATGTTTGCAAGCCCAAAGCCTTGTAAGGCTTGGCTCTATAGGGAAGGAAATGGTACAAATGTTTTCTATGTATCAGCACTGAATTTATGAGGACTAGTATGGAATTCTATGCTTTCATGCAAGGACAGGCCCCTTGCCCTTACAGCCACACAAGAAGCCTCCAGGAGAGTAGCCTTGTCAGTATGCAGCTGCAAAAAGACAGAGAATGTCTTGTATCTACTGCATTGTGAAGTGTCCACACAAGGCAGACTATCACTCCGCAAACCACCACTATACAAAGTTCCATTGACTTTAAACAAAAGCACCACCTTTCAAGGTGCCAACACATGCCAGATTCCCTGAAGAAGAAGAAGAGTTTGGATTTGATATCCAGTTTTATCACTACCCAAAGGAGTCTCAAAGTGGCTAACAATCTCCTTTCTCTTCCTCCCCCACAACAAACACTCTGTGAGGTGAGTGGGGCTGAGAGACTTCAGAGAAGTGTGACTAGCCCAAGGTCACCCAGCAGCTGCATGTAGAGGAGCGGGGAAGCAAACCCAGTTTACCAGATTACGAGTCCACTGCTCTTAACCACTACACCACACTGGCTAAGGTTACCGCTCTTTGGGAAGGTGATGGATAGGGTTGCCTGCAGCAGTGCAGTCTGGGTATACTGGACTAGGTCAAATGGAATATTATGACTTATCAGTCTCTCCTTAAATACCTCCAAGCAAAGCAGAAAGAGCTGAGTTCTGGGCTAATTTGTCCCAGCTATATATGACATATGCATGTTAAGACATAAAACAGCAGGAGCCAGACTCCTAAAATCACCCTAATCCTTGCTTACCTCTTCCATGTTAATTTCAAAGGGACCCACAGACTGACACTCTGGGCAGGATCCTGGCTTTACTTCCTGGTTCTGGGACTGTGTAAAAGGCCCTAGGATGAAGCTGCACTTGGTGCAGTTGTATTTGACCATGCTGAGCTGGGGCAGGACCCCTGTGCAGCTCGTCACAACTCCACTCGTCCGGATCAGCTGGTTCAAGTGCAGCTGCCTGAGAGGAAAAGCGAAATAAATAACTGTTGAGATAGATCCCGTACTTTAGGGAAGTGAAAAATAACCGCAGTCGTCTGCAGGCTATCATGGCAATCCAAATGCAATTAAAACAGGTTCACTGTCTTAGAATGGATTATTTTACGAAAACAAGTTCTTATTCATAGCAGCTCCCTAACGAAACACACACCACAACCATCAGAAGTCTTGCCACCCAAGGAGTGAGAAGGAAAGAATTGCAGCTACAACATCCCAGGCGGATACTAGAGCTGAGGAGGCAGCAGTCAACTAGTTGCTGGGCGTTTGGGAAGCGCCGTGCAAGACACTTTGCAAGCCTTGGGGCTCAGCTCTTCTGAAGCACAAAGCACAGGACTTATGGACCCCTTGCTCAGCACTTCCTAAATGCCCAACTGTCAGCTGACGTTTGGCCTTTTAGGAGGCACAGGTTTCAATCACCTATCACCATTAAGTCAGGTGACTGACCAGTGGGTGGTCCCTCCCACCTGTCAAAGGTGCCACACAGAGGTAGGGGGAGATAAAGGTATGATCCACTGGGTGTACAGAAAGCCATGAACTCCCTTCTCCATTGCAGCTGCCCAATTCCCTCCTTTCACAATCTTCCTGCCCCCAGTAGCCTGCTCTCTAGGCTGGGATTTTTCTGGAGCCTCTTTTTCTTCAGGGTTGCTCATGGTCTCCAAAGCATGGGAGAATGCAGGTCTTACAACAGGAGAAAGGAGCCAGCGGAGGCCCTCCAGGTTTTGCTGGGACTTCCACCTCCCAATCAAGACTGGAGCACAACTACATGTGGTCGACACAGGTTCTCAATCTCCTTAAATATTCTCCTAATTTGGGTGGGGGTACTTGAGTTTTCTGCACCACCTAGGTTTGGATTCAGACTTACTCAGGCTTAGAGTAGACCCACTGAAATCAGTGAGGCATCAGATGATCTAACTCGAGTCCCATTGATTTCAATGGGTCTACTCTAAAGCCTGGGTCCAATGCACTGGATCCAAACAATTTCTTTTTAAACACGCACAGAATCTGAAATTACAATTCTAATCCTAAACATTCATTTCAACATAAATCTGACTGAAAACAGTAAATCCTCTAAAGGAATATGTTACAGATTGGAGGAGTAACGTGAAAAGGAGAGGTTTGCTTCCGCTTAGGGAAGATTTAACAAACACAGAGCTTCCCCCAACCACTCAAATAACATTCTACCCTAATGCTGTCACTAAATGGTTACTTGTTGTGGTCACAGGGGATGAGGCAAGTAGCTGTTTGCAAGCCTGGCTGTCTGCACATCCTGGCCATTTATATTTCATTAAGGAGCTTATCCACCAGAAGTCTCAGCAGGACTGCTCCTCCCCCAAACCAAACCAATTGCTCACCTGAGTGATCTTAACTCCTCCACCAGAGGCAAATGGGAGATGCGGACGTGGATTTCCTTGGCAATCCGGTCATATTTGGGGTACATAGCTAGCACCACTTCCTTGGCTGCTTCATCAAAGATCTTCAACATTTCCGCTGGGGCTTCTGGAAGAAAATAGGCGAGGACGTGCTCCCGAGCAGCCAAATCTTCGTAATTCACCACCAGGCTCTCTCTGTTCTCTTTGGCACAAAGACACAAAGACAAGTACGTTTTTGACAAATGGTGGCTCAGTTTTTCCAACCCATCATAAAAAGTGTTAAATATCTTGTACAATAAGCACTACGATCTTACAAATCCTCTTCTACAACATATAAATGTATTGCATATCATGTTATCTAATAGCATATGAACCGTTCTGAATATCAGGTGTAACCTTCTACTCTTCCTCTTGTTATCTGATCACTTCTGAACTATAAATCTATAATATCTATACAGGTATGGCATAGGCTAGAAATTAAAGCTGCAGAAGCCCTATAGGTTAGTCACTTCACTAATCAGTTACACTGATGAAGATGCTGGGAATAATAATAAAAAAAACAGTGGGTACCAGATCAGAAAGGAGATGCATCTGAACATGATTTCAGTCATCGATGAAAACATTGAGGAAATGGGTGCTCTTCCCCATCCTCTCCCCATATTCCTACACAGCTGTACCTTTGCACATGTCACTGATCCTCTCCTTAAAGACATTGTGGCCATGGTCATCCACATGAGTCTTCAGGAAGTTCTTGAAACGGTGGTAGATCTCAAGCCGAGGTGCTACCATAGACACCCACTCCCTCACAGAGTGCCCTTTCATGTCTTCCAGGTTCTCAATGCTCTCGATCATGTCTTCATCTTCATCCTCGCCATCAGCAGCTCGCTCAGCCAGGCGCCTCTTCCGCAAAGGACGGTCCTCATCTTCATCATCGCTATCTGGAGTTTCCAAAGGGCGAAAAGTTTTGTTTTGTTTTTTAAAAAGGACATATCAGACATAAGGCTTTTGATGCTACCGGTTAATGTAGACAATTCTGGAGAGCCAATCTCTGTGACAAGATACAGCTCCAAGCCTAACGACCTCACATCCCGTTTTGGGATTAGAACCCATGCCTTGCATGCTTACAAAATGAGACACGCAATATTAACAGTGCAATCTTATGCACGTTTACATGGAAGTAAAAGATAAAAAGGTAAAGGTAAAGGACCCCTGGAAGGTTAAGTCCAGTCAAAGGCGATTATGGGGTTGCGGCGCTCATCTCGCTTTCAGGCCGAGGGAGCCGGTATTTGTCCACAGACAGTTTTCTGGGTCATGTGGCCAGCATGACTAAGGCGTGACTGGTGCACAGAGGACCGTGACGAGTGCCAGAGTGCACGGAAACACTGTTTACCTTCCCGCTGCAGCATTACCTATTTATCTACTTACACTGGCATGATTTCGAACTGCTAGGTTGGCAAAAGCTGGGACAGAGCAATGGGAGTTCACCTCATTGTGGGCATTCGAACTGCTGACCTTCCGATCAGCAAGCCCAAGAGGCTCAGTGGTTTAGACCACAGCGTCACCCGTTGTGGAAGTAAGTCTTGGTGCACTCAATAGGTTATGTGCACACTGGATTACAGCCTAAAATTGCTCTGCTATCGCTCAATATCTTGGAATTTTAAAGATCATTTTAAAAATGTTTCCTATCTGAAAGATCTAAATGCAAACTATTGCATGGCCTCCAGGAGAGGACACTGCAGCCACTTTGCTCCTTTCTCTGGTATTGCTGCTGCTGCATTACACTTGAACTGAGTCACTGTAAATCATTTTGAAAGCATTGCCGAAGGGCAACCTACAAATATTCTTAATATATAAATTTATACAAATAGAAGTGCCAGCCAGCTGCTCTTCAGAAGATGCATTGTACAGGTATAAGCTATCAAGCAAATAGAAACAAGCTTTATAGATGGTTTTCTTCCCCACCTCATAATGCTAAAACCTGGGGTCATCCGAACAAACTGAACGGTGGGTGATTTACAACAGAGAAAAGGAAGTACTTATTCAAACTGTACACAATGGAATGATAGACTTCACCACCACAAGATACAACAATGTGATGGCCACCCATCTGGATGACTTTAAAAGGGGATTAGACAGGTTCATAGAGGCCAACGGTATCAACAGCTACTAGGCACAATTACTCCTGAATGCCAGTTGCTGGGGAACCAATGGCAGCCATTGGCTCTTGCATCTGGCTGGCCACTATCAGAAAAGGGAACTGGAGCAGACGGGCATTTGCTCTGATCAAGCAGGACTTTCCTTATGCTATTAAGCTGCAAATACATACCATAAAGTATACCAACGTGCATGCGGCCAGGACCACGGCCCATCTCACGGTCCCTCTGCCGCATTGCTCTCTCTGCTGCTTCCCTTTGGCTGGCAGTCAGTTCCTCCACATCTTCATCATCCGTGGCCATGCCTTCAGGTACGTAGCGATCAAGCTCTGGAATAGGGCGGTAGTCCCTAGACACGCACATTCTTCAGTTAATCAATCTGCATAGCGTGCGTGACTCATCTGTATACCTCACTTAAATTTACAGCAGACACAAGCACCTGTTCACAAGCTCCTCTTAAAGGAGTCTGGTGCACAGCACCTACCCAGGAAAAACGCAAGGCACATAGGCACAAACTGTACGACATTTGCCATTTTTGCGTGGAATAACAACTGCAGGTGTATCACCTGAATTCCGCCACAACAGAAGATAAATCTCACAGGAGGATTTGGCCACCGGAGAGCGAGTCTCCTACCTTTCCATCCCTTCTCCAAACAGCTCTTCTCCATCATCTTCTTCTTCATCAGGGAGCTGCTCTGTTCCCAAGAGTCCTTCAGATTCATCCTCAAAGGGGGGCAGATCTCTCCCGGGACTGGAAGTGAAGGCTTCTCCCCTACGAGAGCTGTGCGCAGGGCTGGTTGCCACATTGGACTCTGAGGAATCCTAAGAAAACACATGGTGCCAAGCATAAAATTTACAATAAACAATATCCTTAAAAGCTGGGTTCTTGGGGTATGAAGGGATGTGCTTTAAACATATGGTATGTACACCATCCCACGTCAGGAAGCAGAATCCTTCCCCTGATCAAGTGCAGTGCAATCATACACATGCTTCATCAGAGGTAAACCCTTCAGAGTTCAGCAGGGCAGGCTTGCACTAAGCGTGCACAGGGTTACTTGTTTACACGCAGGGAATAGATTTTGAAAGGAAACTTAATTCCACACGCAAATTGCCCCTGCATTCTGAAGTGGTGCAGCCGGGACACAGATTCACCCCTTCCAAGCGAGGGCTGGGCTCGTGCGTAGGGTGAGGCGGGGTATTTTGCAGGCTGGCGTTGAACAAAAAGTCCACTTCCTTCCTTCCCCCCACCGCAGAACATAGTTGGGGTGTAGACGCCGTCAGCCTACAAACACCCTCCCAAGCAAATGGGTGGTTCTTTGAGTAAGATTCCTCCGCAGCACCCCAGGCCGGCCACAATGGGAGGAAGACAAAAGGCCCGAGGGAGGTCTCAGATGGGGGAAAGGAAACTCTTATCAGCGTCAACCGGGAGAACCATAGAATCAGTTGGAAGGGACTCCCAGGGTCATCTAGCCCAACCCCCCGCAATGCAATCGTGTGCAGCCCCCGAGTCCAGCGCCTACTCACCGCCATCTCTGCCGCTTTTCTTCACCGCTCCCCCTTTCCTGTTCACAGCGCCGGATGCAGCCCGAATTCCGCGCGAAATGGAATCACGTGACCAAAAAGCCCGCGAAAGCTCATGAATAATAAATAAGCTCATGAATATGCAGGAAAGTGGCGCCGCCTCCTTAGTGAGCGAATAGCGGAGAGCGTGCTGCGCCTATTAATCAGCTCCGAAGGAAATTGGGTGGAGCTTTTGCTCGGGAGGGAGGGAGGGCAGGAGGCATGCAGCCCGACGCTGTGCATTTTGGGCTGGGGGAGGGGACTTAATTGCCTTCAGTGAGATTTGATTTGGAGGAAATGTGCAGAAAATTAAATTAACTGGTTTTAATAAGATTAAGTGCTCCCTAACACATGGTTCAGGCCGGCGGGAGGAGGGGGAAATGGAGATGCTGGGCCGGGGGTGATGGTTCCGTTAATGCGGGGCATTCCCTCATCAAGATTTTTCGTCGGCTGGGTATAAAAACTCGTTTCCCATCTACTTAGCTCCATTCGCCCTATATGACGAATTGAAGGAAGAAGCAGCCAGTAGCGCGTTCTGTGACGTCCCATTCTTTTCCACTTTTTAATCTGTTGGAGGTTTATGTGGGAAACACCCTGTTCATGAACTTTGTTTATAGCGAGTTCAAAATACAGGGGCCTTGACTGCTCGCTGGGGCAGAATCTCACAGTTCTCACTGACATGTTCTCACCGACCCTTCTCGCTCTCCAGGCTTCAGCGAAAGCCTGTATTCGCCCCATAGGACGCACACACATTTCCCCTTCATTTCTGGAGGGGAAAAAGTGTGTCCTATAGGGCGAAAAATACGGTATCTAAGTTTATGGTGCTGATAATGGTCTACGAAGCCTTATAGGATCTTTGAGACATTGCTGACCCTTTAAATACCCAACTAAAACTTCCAGCACATACTATCTCATCAAGGAAGCCAGTTACCGGTAAGAATCGGACCTTTAATGTGGCAACACCACTACAACTCTCTGTCCCATTACACATCAGACAGTTCTCAACTTTACCGTCTTTTGAGTTAGGCTTACTGCCAAGCAAATTTACTTAGGAACGCAGCCATTAGTAGACCTGTCTTCCCTTCCCTGACCTGTCTCTCTCTGCCACTCTTTTGTACTGTCAATCACCTCTATGGATTAATTATGTAATAAATAAATGAATAAATAAATAATGGCATTATGTAAATGTTTAACTTGGGCCGATGCCTTTTTGCTTTGCTTTTCTCTTGCAGAACTGTAACATTTAAGGAACTCATCAGAGGATAGCATCATTCACATGGCATGCCAGCTTGTTACTGATCAGCTCATATAGTCCAAAGTACAGGGTGACCCGTAATACTTCCTACTACGCAAGCAAGTGAGCCAAGCCACACGCTAGGTGAAAAAGCAAAATAACCATGACTGCAAAACCCACACCAGCATTATGAAAGTACCAGATATTTTATTATTAAGTTGTGGGTGGACATAGCAGTCGACACAGAGATTTCTCCAAGTGGTTCTTTAAGCTGGAACTGAACTGAACTGCAAACAGCTCAGTTGGCCTGCTTTTATAGGCAGCCGGCTGTCAACATTGTAACAACAACCCAGAGTCCCGCCTAAATTAACTTACTGTATGTGGACCTGAGTGAAAACTATATACACAATACCCCTGGTGGCCAGGGTGAGAACTTCAATACAGTACAGTACATAACATTTATAGAGTTTATATGCAAGATCACCCCGGCTGAAATCCTATGCACGTTGACCTGAGAGTGAGTCTTAATGAACAAAGTAAGACATAGTTCCAAGTCAACACTCACAGAATTGCTCTGTCAGTACAGATTAGTCAACCTATTGTCAAAGTGGTTTAAAGGTCGGTCAGAGTGAATCGTTTTAGGAGACGAGAGTCCTTTGAAACACGTAGGACCGCATTTTGTGCTATTTACGAACGGACGTTGCCAAATGGATATTCATTCTTTCAAAGGGTTCCCCCCACCCCGCGCCTCCTCGCTGCTTAGCTGTCAAGCAATACGCTCCTTTAAGACCTTTCGCGTCCTGCCCTCTGCCCCCGCCCCTCCGCTTTGCTCATTGGCCCCTTCGGCCCTTTTGTTTCGCTTTTGAGTACTGCTTCTTTACTTAGGCGCTTCGCGATTGGCTGAAGGCCATGAGGCTTAGGGAACGACGCTCAATTCTCCCCCGCGAAGTGACGGCCGAAGAGTTTATTTGCCTTTTCCTCTCCCGCAGGGAACTGTTCGCCTTCGCCCCTTCGGCTGGAAGAGGCTGCTAAATCCGGGCGGGCTGCAAGGCTCCCCGCGACGCCGCAGAGCGCGGGGAAGTGACGGGTTTGGCGTTTTGCGGCTGTAGCTTCGCACGGTGCGCTAGCGACGTCTCCCCCCCCGCCGCCCGCCCTCTACACGCAGGCAGCCTCCTCCCCTTTTTTGGACCTGGGACAGGATCTCGGTGGCTTCGGGGACGGTCGGGCCGAAGTCCCGGGAATGAGCCACCGGCGCGAGGGAAAGCGGGAGAGGCCTCCTCCTCTTCCTCCCTCTGCCAGCGGGCGGGTGTAACCAGGAGGCGGCGGGCAGCGAGCGGCTGGAGAGAAGGGGGAAGAGAAGGAGACAGAGAAGGTAGGAGGAATCTCCCCCACCGCCTTCCGAAGAGCATCCCCGGTGGTCCCATATGGGAGAGTGGGGATCACCCGGGCACGGTTATTAGTGATGGCCAGGCTCCATTGGCGCGTGTCTCCAGTTGCTGTCCTCCTGGCCCTGCAAAGCGAAGCATCGCGGCTCCTTTTTCTGCTGCCCCGTTTTAAGATGCCGTGTCTTCCCCTCCCCTCGATCTATTAGCCACCATTCCCTGGCACGCAGTCCCACTTCTGTGTCAGATGTGGGATCCTTAAATGCATCCTCCTCCTCCCCCCTTTCCCAAACTAATGGGATGGGCAGATGTTTGTTTGCCTCTTAAAACATTAAGTCGCAGGATCGTTCTTCAGGATTCAGCTCTCCTCTTCCTCCTTTCTCTGAATACTGTAGTTTCCCCTGTCGTTGGTTTTGATCTATATGGTAGTTTCCTTTTCCTAATGGTATCGGGGTGCGCGCGTGCTCTCTTTCCTTAAAGAGGGCGACGGCACGGAGGGTTTGTTTCCACCACTCAGCCCAAGGCCCCTTTGCTGTCAGGCGTGGGCCTCGGACATAAAGGGGAAGGCTGCCGCTTCCAGCATCCTCCGAGCTTGTTTGCTTGGTGCCTATTCCCTGTTAGAAAACTCCTATCGCCCTCTGTGACTACTGACTACTCAACTGTTTTATAACTGGTAACTTCTGGTAGCTTGTGTGTATAGTAAATCCTGATTGTTCACTTCATGGGTTTTCTGTTAACGGCTTCTGGTATAAACACCTAATAATCAAGTGTTAACAATATAACCACTGAGCAGCTTGCCTGTGTATTTCGGAAGTGAGCCTTTTGGAAAGTTCAGTGGTGTATGAGTGCATGCAGAGCATGTCTTTAAATAAGGGAGATAGAGACACCGTTGTTAGCATGATGATTTATGATGATAAAGACTGTGTGGTTAAAATCTATAAGTAACCCAGCATAATGATGTGCAGTTCAGACCTCTGACATTGCAAGGACTGTCAGTCACAGATCCAAAGTTGCCCTTAGCTTTTGAACCTATGTGTTCCTACTTTCAACTCCTGCTGCATATTGGTATCATTGTATCTGTGGCTGAAATGACACACTTTTTCTCTCGTATGTGTGCACATACGCATTTCCTCCCCTCTTCCTGTTTCTTGGGACACAGTCTTCATTTTCCAAGGTAATGAGTGCTTTCTGGGCCTTTTCTTATTGGCTCTGTACTAGACACAGGACCTTATATGATTTAACCAAGACTGAATTTGTAGCTAAGGTTGGGTTATGAAGTGTGCAGAGGCGATTTGAGAGACTGAATCGAAATTGACCCAAGACATGTTGCTTCCTGAAGAACAGGATGATGTGATGAAGATCATTAAAATTTATATAATGCACTTTGTCAAAGACCACAGGGAAGTTTTCAGCACAGAACATAAAAAAGAATGCATAGCATAATATCCATGCAAAAAATGTGAACAGCTATATAAATACAATTCATAATAATAAGCAATGCATAGTAATCATACGCAGTAGTATATAATATGGAATGAACATAATTAATATCTACCAAGCAGCAATGTCAAATTATGCACAATGTCATCCCAAGCAATAAATTCCACAACTCAACCTCTGTAAAATAAAGAATTTTATTACCTGCTTATCTTGGGTGTAACCGTACAACATAATACCCCACTTTCTACATTCCAGTGTACTGACAGTTGAATTGTACTCCAAAATTGTTGATGTAACAACATCCTGCTGTACACCTGAGGCCTGCAGCCTAGCTCAGAGCGTCAGGGTAGGCTGCATAGTGCGCACAGCTATGTCCTCCAAATGCTTTGCTACTGTTCCCTGTCCCCAAGCATTTGCCATCCGAAATGGCTGTCTCACTCTGACCCCATTTGCACTATACAATTAACACAATATCATACCACTTTAAACAGTCAGTGCTTAAGTTCCAAAGAATCCTTGGAATTGTAGTTAAGGGTGCCAAGAGTGGTTAGGAGAACACTTCCCTTCACAGAGCTATAATTCTCAGAGTTCCATAGGAAGAGGAATTGACTGCTAAACTACTCTGATAATTGTAGTTCTGTGAGGAAAATAGTTGTCTCCTAACAACTCTCAACACTCTTAACAAACTACAGCTCCCAGGATTATTATTTTTTGCAAGGGGGGTGGGGAGCCATGCCTGCTTAAAGTGGTAGGGTACAAGGCCTCTAATGGCAGAGTCAACTCTGACCTGTCCAGACCAAATGTTGTTACCCTGACTAGTTTAAAGCTCGCTTCCTGGTGTTCTGTGTGACAAGAAGTTCAGTGATTATGACACCTCTGTTAGAGAGAGCTCGTAACATGACATATGCCATGATTATGTTGTTGACTGCGAGTGTTTCATGGTGCTGGTTTCATTGTAATCAAGCTAAAGGTATTCGTAATTATTAAGGCAAATCCTCTAAGCAAGTTATTGCTCAAGAGGGTGCTTGGCATGTGTCTCTTGGAGGAGATAAAGCTGAGGCTTTAAGGCATGACAAGTTGTTTGCCAACAGGTAGCATATGTGACAAGCTTGAGAGCTATGCACACTGCATTTTACTTTGTGGATTTTGCAGCTGGAGAATGTGACCTGGTATATTCAGAATGAGTTTTTGCAAAAGCCGCACATAATGTTGATGCCTGCCTGATTTCCCTGACAGACAATAGAATATGCACACTGATCCAGTTCTTAAATGCATATACTTTGAAATAAGTACCCTGTTGGCTCAGCTAGAATTGTGTTCTGACTGAGCAAGTGTGCTTACAATCAGTCTTAAAGTGCCTAAATGCTACAGTACTACTAAAATGGTATATCAAAATTCCCAAAGGCTACAATCCTAAAAGCATGTATTATGGAGTAAAACACAACTGATCCCAATATGTCTTCTGAGTACTGTGTATGTTCATATTATCAACAGCTGAATTAGATCCCTTGAGTTCTAGTTTTGTGTTGTTTACAAAAAAAGAAAGAAAAAGCTTAAGACTTTCAGCGGCCTAACAGCTTCTACTGCTACCTTTTCATACATATATTTGCTGTCCCTGTATGTGCTTGGGAGGGCAATGTAGTACAGGAGTTACCTGGGCTAAGAGAAGATATGAAGTGAGTCCAGTTAAAGGTCACTGTCATGGTAATGTTGGGGTGGGAAGATGAAACATACTGCTTGTCCATTGCTGCTTCGTTTTATAGCCCATAAAATCTTGCCCCAAATTTAAGGTTCTAGTGGCATAAATGAACTGAACAGATGTTTTATTGTAGTGCCGTTGAAAACCCTACTCTCACAAGCTTGTCCTTGGGTAAAATGAGAAAGTAAATATGAGAGGGTGGGGCAAGAATGTCTTGGCTGGATAAAAGGCCTCCCGCGCGCGCGTGCTCTCTCTCTCTATATATATATCTGGAGAGTGCTGATAAGTTAGTGAAAAATGCAGTCTCTTAAAACAAAGAATTGTTGTGTTTCTCAGAATAAGTTTTTCAGTCCAGGAAACTGAACTCTGTTAACTCTGTAATTTAAATTACTCCAACCATGGAAGTATAGAGAATGAAATATTTCCCAGCATTCCAAGACTCAAATTCTAATAGACTCTGCAAGGATTAGATTAGCTTTTGAATATTTTGTAAACTCTTTAGGATCCAGTTTTTGTCAGATGGTGGATATGGAATCTGATTTGTGGGCCGGGGCTTAGCTGTGGAGCATGTGAAGTACAATTGTGACAACGGTACTGAGCATGTGCAGAGTGCTGTGTTTTGACAAGCGGTTACAGCTCGTTTTTTGAAATATACAGCATCTATGAACTGAGATGGGACAAGAGTTTATAGAGCAGATTACATTAATTTCAACTAGGCTTGAGTTCAGGTTCCTGCATTCCTGGAAGCTAGCTGTGGAAGCTCTCATTTGTTTTGATTAAAGTGCATGTGTCATTTATAGGGCAAAGGATATAATGGATGCGTAGAATAAAGGAGATACCTTGGAAATACTGCTGAAGGATGTATGCAGGGAACCCAAGCAACTTGTTGATCTAGGTGTGTTTACGGTATAATACCTTTCATTAGGATCAACCAAAACATCAAAAAGCTCTAAGCTAGCTTTCAAATTTTATAGAACTTCATTCAAGCCTTGATTTTTAATTTTTTTTAAGAAAGATGGTTGACAGGGAGGAGAGAGAAATTAACGTTGTTGGTAGAAGCCTAGCCTGCAATATGTGACACCCTTTAACAATAAAATCCCATATACATAATTAGGTCCTATTGAGTTCAACAGGGATTGAGGAAGTATTTTGCAGATTTATTACATGATGCCTAGTGCAAAAGGTCATAGTTTGCAACAGATATGCAGTGCTAGTCTTGGACAGAGAAGCAATTCTCTCCCTGTATCTCTTTATAAAAAAACATACAAGCCAGCATTCTAGTTCAGCCTTCTGCAACCTGGTATCTTCCAGATGTTTGGGGCTATAACTCCCACTAGTCCAGCCAACATAGGCAATTGTCAGGGTTGATGGGAGTTCTGGAGGGTCCCAGGATGAGAGGGCTATTATAATCTGTATTTATTTATGCCAGGAGGTTGTACCCTGCTTTCCAGCAGCCTCCCAGGCTGCCTTATAAGGAGTCAACTTTACCATAAAAACAAATGTACAAACATTAGAGTCTAGCTCTAATTGAAATTAACACGTGCCACATGCATAATCACTGTATTTCATATAGATGTAACTGAAAAACATAGTTAAAACTTACTCCTTTTGTTTCTGATTTTCAACTCCAGTGTTTCTTTTCACTCTAAAAAACAAGCTTGCATGTGCTGTTTGGTCCTACATGGCTTATTGTTATAATGTGCTTGAGGAGTGTCCTTCAGTCTTTGTCCCTACAAGGGCTGCGGTGTGAACTGCAGACACAGGACAAAGTTTATTTGTCTAAAGGAGCCGATTGCAAGAGGAGTGGTTCTCTTGGGTAAGGCTTCTGTGTGTTTGTTCAGCCAGAGATGCTGTATTCTACCACAGCTGTATCTGCTCAAGGCTTGGCTTTTCCCTTCACTTATAGCACAGTCGTGAGCACATACAAGTTGCCTTATACTAGGTAGCCCAGTATGAACACACATATCTAGATTTAATAAGCTCAGATATGCACGAGACTTGGTGCTTGTGCAATTCTTCTTTGTGCACCTCTTTTCTTATTGGTGCATTGTGAGAGGTCAGGAAGTCTCAAATTGACCATAGTTTCCTGTTTTGTCCAAACCAGGGAACTGGCCCCTACATTTGAAACAAGCCAGGATCAATAATACACACACATGCACACACAGTGCTTATTTCTGGGGGTATGCAGGGGTACACATACCCCTAAACATTTTGTGAATCTAAGTTTGGCCTATGGAGCAGTAAGTAGGTACTAAACATATAGGGAGGAAGCTTTCCTCTGTGTGTACTACACACACACACACACACACACACACACACACATCCATATACATAGTCACGCACAAAGCGGATTTTATGTTTAACTGGTGTCGTGGCCCCAGTGTGTTGTTCCAGGTTGGTGATGTTCACGAGAGTTCAGATTTGCGTCAGTATTCGCTACGATGTGAGACGGACAGTCAGCATGGCTCCTGGCCCTATGGAAAAGTGTTACATGTGCCTGGGGCACTTGTCGCTATGTTAATTTTGCCTGGAAGGCCCAGTTGTAGTCGATTATGTGTAATGATTGCCATTGTGACTAAAGATTTGGCCTTAATAGGATATATATCAAAAATACTATGCAAGAAATGTATTTTCCCATTAATAAATGAAAATATTAAATTCATACATCTATGCATATCATTATTTGTATTGATACGTCTTAAGAATACCACATGTGTTTAGAAAACATTGTGCAAATGTTTTCTGTCTTAAAGAGAGAGTGCACTATTATACACAATAATTATTTAGTACTATGTAAACTTTATTTTACTTTGGCTTTTCTAATAATGTGCATGTTGGGTCTTACAACTATGGATTGAAACACCTCCCCTCCCCTCACCCCACCCCCTTTTTTAGTAGTAGGAGTGGAGGCCCCAAAAGTGCCCTGCTGGCAAACACTTTTACCACAGATGTCAGTCCTTTTGCCTTCCTCTCTTTTGTCTAGTTTGCCAATATGGGTGACCAGGAAACATTCCTTAGGAGGGTGAATTAGGTCTTTTGGCCTCCAGTCACTGAATTCTCATGTAAATTTATATTGACACATGTTGTTTAAAGACTTTTGGTTTCTATGCTTTGAATGCATTGAAACACTTTAAAAGGCTTTGCTCCAAAGGCATGGGTGGAGAACCTTTGGTCCTCTGGATGATGCTGAACTACGGTTTTCATCATCCTTGGCTGTTGACCATGCTGAAGCACACAGCTCCTGAAGCAAATCTAGAGCACCTGCTTCAGAGCTGTCTGGTGGTGACTTTATTTTGGCAGGAGATGGGGAGATAATTAGCTGTTAAGCTAAAAAACCCCTGAAGGCATTTCCGATGCTACTTGGCTGCATTCTAGCACTGTGGGCCTTCAACAAATGCATTCTGTGGTGGCTTTATAGAGCATTCTTGGTGACAAATTTTTAGAGCCTAGAAAGCCAGAACTTCACGTGTAATAGATGAGCGGCATGATAATATGTTCTAACTTGTGGTGTGTCATGTTTTGCAGAAGTGATAATTGGGTGTACACAGGGAGAAAACCCTGGCCAACACACCTAGAAGCTTCCAGTAAAACTCTGATAACCTGCTATGCATGCAGAAGGTCCCAGGTTCCACTTTCTGCCAGTGTAGGAAATTCTGAGCTAGCTGGACCCATAGATGGACTTTATATAAGCAAGTTTCTCATATGTTTCTACCTTCCTAACTATTTAGTACTGTGTGCTTATAATGGGAAATGAGCAGCTGAAAGTTTTTTGTCGTAATAAAAGAACTAATAAAAGCAGAGGAGGCAGCCTTCCTCAGCATCTGAAGTTTCTGAATACACTTCCAATGGTAGGGCCACATAGAATGCTTTGTAATAGTCTGTCCCAAGAGGTTACGGGTCTGGGTGATAACTTTGAGGCTCTTGGCCTCCATTTGTGTGTGTAAAGTACTTGGTGTTGCTGCTACTTCCTACTTGAGCAGCTAAGGACAAAGCTAAATCTAAAATAAAGCCAGACTGCAAACTTGATTTACTACAGGAAAAGGAGCACAATTAGGTAATAAATAGTGCCTTCTCCCCTAGTTTCTGGGACCCAAAATGAGGATTTACTTCAATAATAGAGTATTGGAATAGGCAAGAGGCATTCTAGGTGTGAGTTTCCTCATGAAGAGTGCCCTTTTGATGTGTGTGTATCTATTTCCTAATGATGATGCTGCCCTTTTCTCTCACTTTCTTTCCCCCCAGAGCTGTGGCAGGATGTCTTCTATAGTGACACCTCTAGTGAGGTTCTCTACATACGACAATGCCACCTATCCACCTTCTACCACATTAGTGGCGGCGTTGGATAATGTAACTTCTGCACCCCTGACAACTGCACGGGCTGACGTCAACATTACTGTGCCACACAAGTGCTTGTTGTTGTTGTATGAAGACATTGGGACATCCAGGTGAGATGCTGTTTTGTGTAGGTGTGTGTGGCTTTTGTTCTCCTTCCTCTTCCTCTTCTCCTCCTTCCTCCACTTCCTGCATTTTAAAAACTGTTTTATCTTTTGTGCCTTATTTCTAGGGTCCGTTACTGGGACCTTCTGCTGCTGGTTCCCAATGTGCTTTTCTTTGCGTTTCTCCTCTGGAAGCTGCCCTCTGCCAAGGCCAAAATCCATGCCACCTCCAGTCCCATCTTCACCACCTTTTACATACTGGTGAGTACAGGTCATTCTGTTTTAGTTTTTTTAAAAGCAGGCCAGTGGGAAATTGGCCCACTTGGTCTTGCCTCCCTTAAGCTGAAGAACCTAGTGGCATGTTCACTAATGACACCCCGGGGAAAATCTGTGCATCAGGGGTGCTTCCACAATACAAGCACCTCTCTCCATTTAAACTGCATCACTGTGTTTTAGAATCAGGCATGTGTTCAAATGAATCTTCTCCTTAGGGTGGAGTGAGGGGTAGTTGCTGCTTCTGTCTCTGCTGCCTCTAAAGTCCGCCCTCCTTCCCAACAGCTTAGCCCACCCTGAGCCACTCATTGACAGCAGTCCGAGCCCACCCCCAACCCCCAATGCAACAGTTGTCCACAGAAATGTATTTGAAAGAGGATTAGAGACAAAGTTAAAGGAAGGGTTCTAGGTCAGGATCTAGCAGTGGTTAGACTTTTTTTTAAAAAAAAAATATCATTTACTTGTGCAATTTCATTGTATTTTCATAATTACTTCGTTTGGGGGCGGGGCAGACTTGAAGCCATTTATAAACAATAGTTGTAAGGAGTTCTGAAAAAGCAGATGTGTGAGGAGAAGAGTGTCTCCTTATGCCTTAAGTCAGCTGATTATCAGTATCTTTGTGGAGATTGCCTCCTCCAGCCTACTGTGTGTGTGCATTGTGGGTGGTTGTTGTTGTTTTTATAAATAAAAACCTCTGCTTGTTTTTTAAATCTCCGCTGTGCTGTCATTTGCACCCACTTCCACTTTCATTGCCTCTTCTCAGTTATTGCATGAGCAAAAGGGCTTCTTCTGAAAGGAGTGAGGAAGGAAGGGAATTGTTCCCAGGAGGCGGAGGACTGTGGCAGCAGCCCTGGGCAGCACATGGTGGTGCCATGATTTCTGCCAATGGGTGACTCAGCCTGGGCTGACTCTCAGGCTGGGAGCAGGAGATGGGTGCAGAGTGCAGCATGCCGGCAATAGAGGAAGTTGGACGTTGTGGGGTTGTTGTTGTTTTTTTCTAAAAAAGAAGATGTTATGTCCTGTGCAGGCTTTCTTGTGTATTGCATTGTCAGATGTATGACTGTCTGTTGCACAGAAGTCATTGGTATAGCCTCAGTGCAGGGAGTTCCTGGCTCTCCAGAAACAAGTTTTTCCCCTTGAGGCCGAGGCGGCTGACATGAACAAGCCGAGCGAGGTTGGTGGATGAGGTCTTCGGGGACGTCACAGCTGTGAACTTGACAGACTCCAAGTGAAGCCTGATATGCTCCCAGACCATGCCCAGCACCAGTGGCAGATGTTTGAGTCTGCTGTAAGAGCCCTTTCTCCTGCAGAGAGTCATTGCTCTCAAGAAGCTCTTTGCTTTAGCCAAACAGTGACATTGGTTTCTCAGGCGTACAGTCTATCATCCCATGCATGGGTTTGGCCCTTCTAGTGCCCATGTGAATGTTGCCCTGGTCTCATTTATAACTACAGGCAACAAGCATTTCCCATGGGGATTACGTTCCTGACCCCTGTGTGTGTCGGCAGAGCGAGCATAACCCTGCCCCATTCCACCCCTGCCCCACCCCCTTTTCCAGCCCCTTCTGGGTTGCGGTGATGCTCGTGATCGTGCACATATTGAAAGCGTGTACAGTGGTCATTGCTTTTACAGAAACCCATTCCCTTCCCCTGAGGGCTGAAATGTTTGAAGCAGCAGGGGATAAAATCTTTCTGCCTGCAGTGTAACAAGTCCTACAATGTTAGGCTGAGGTGTGCATGTGCATCTTACATTTGAGGCCTTCCACTATGCAAATAGCAATTCTGGATGCATTGCGTTCCACAGGGCACGCTTGAGGGAATAATGTAATGAATCAATGTTTGTTTTTTGTTCTGTTGTAAGTGGCGGCTCCTGCCATATTGGGGTTGGTGCAAAGTGCAGTGGCAATAGCACTGCTTAGCTCCCAAGCACGTTAAATAATATTTATGAAGGCAGGAAAGAAACTGGTTATTTCAGGAGCTTTATCTTGGAGAGGAAGTAGATATATTTTACAGATGCAGCATAGGAGGGTGGTAACAGGATGCACAGGGAACTGTCCCAGAGGGCTGCTACAATGCAGGACATCCACAAACAAATACAGTACTGCAAATGCTCATTCACTTTTCTCGACAGGCTAAGAGGAAATCTGCAAGGTGGTGCTAAAACCTGGTTCAGTCTTGCTGAAATCATTGTGTGGTGTTGTTGAGTGTGGCATCTGAAGTCCTGTTTACTCCGGCCTTCTGGTCCCGGTCTCCTTACAGCATCTGTCAGTGGGATTAATATATGTCAGCTGTATAGAGCCCAGCATGTAGCAGATTAGAATATGTGTGACCTCTGGAAAAGGGAGACAATGAATATTTGTGTTCTTAATATCAGTCATAAGGAGGCTTCTGAATATGGCACACTTCAAACAAAACAAAAATCAATAGTTCCTGAAGGGGCTGAAGTGTTGTTGTTAAATGAAGTTTAGCGTTTCAAAAGGCAAGTTTTGTGGCCAGTAGTGGTAGGGTTGTAGCAATGTACATTGCATGTAGCACTGAGCTGAACAAATGCTGGCAAAAATTACTGTAGCTCCTTGTAGGTCATTTATTTTAAACAAAATATGCTAAAGATAGGGAATACAACTCTGCTTCATTTGAGGTAGGATAACCAGTTAGTGTATTGACATGTTTTGCATCTTTTCCAGCTAGAACTGGAAACTGTGTACAGTATCCCTAATGTTCCTGTGCCAAGGATTTTGAAAGACTTTATATTTCAGAATCTTCTGAGCTGATTTCCTGCCTTAAGCATTTTTTACTGTGTTCCCCACCCCCACCCCCTTGCTGCCGCTGCTTCAGCAAATGAATTGTGGAGTCTTTCCCAGATCTGAGGCTCCTTAATTGATATCCTGTGGTGTTGGCTGCCTGTTTATTTAAAATTCTATGTGCACCAGGCAGGCACCAATAGAATATGAAGTGATTATGATACTAAAATCAGAGAATGGAGGAGCTAATAAGGATCAATATTTCAAGCCTTGAAAACCTTTAGTCCAGATGTTGCCAGACTTCCAACTCACATCACCCCTGATTACTGGCTGTGCAGTAACATCTGGAGGGCCTCAGGTTCCCCATTTCTGAGGTGGGTCTTGCATGGCAAATTCTGTAGCATTTCTTTGCTGAGGTGACCTGGCTGAAGTTTCTTGTTCCTTCTCTGCCTTAAAAAGAGGGAAAACTATTTCCCCCTCTTTTTCTTCTGTTCCTCTGTAACTCATCCTGTTACAAAAACAAAATAAAATGTTAAAGGGGGACCTTGTTGATTGGTCTCCCATCCCTGAAGCCCATCATGCATTTTCTCTTCTGCCTTAATTTGTAACAATTGCCATTGTCTTCTAGGTGTTTGTGGTAGCTGTGGTTGGGATTGCTCGAGCAGTTGTCTCCATGACAGTCAGCGCTTCCACTGCCGCTACGGTTACTGACAAGGTGAGTGTGGGTTTGATACCAGAGGCGATGGTGGCTTGGGCCCCTTCTTCACCTTTTCTGGGGCAGGAATGCAAAAAGATTTGAGCTCCATTTAGTCATCAGCTACAATAATGCATGGAATTCATTGTACCACTAACTGGGGTACGTGTGCATGGAACAAGGTCTGCTTGTGCAACCCCCTGGACTCCTCCCCATATTTTGGGGTTTTGTGGTAGATCAGCAAGGGTTTCTGATGCCCCAGTTGTTCAACAATAGCAACAAGGAAAAGGCTTCTTCTATCTCTCCCCTCCTCACCCCCAAACTTAGGCTGCTCAACAAAGAAATCTTGAGGAGAAAACCAGAAGTGGAGTTTTGGGTGGAAGGACTGTGAGCTCAGTTCAGTCCCTGAGAACAAAATCTTGGACCAAGCATGTGCTCAGAGACATCCTCTTCCTTCATTCTAAATGTACCTTGGCTGCTTCCTCCCCACCCTCACCTGAACCACTATTTTGCACCTGGCTGTCTGGTAGATTGGAGGGTGTGGTTCCCTTTTAACTCTTTGAACAGTATTGACTTTTGGCCCTGCCATCCTCCCATGCTTTGCTTGGCTCAATGCTAAATCCCTTTCTAGTCTCTAATCCTACTCAAACAAATGTTTTTATTGTCTAATTGTTTTTCAGTTTTGCATTTCTTTCTTTTTTGCAAGCCGTATTTGGTTGCATTTACATCGAGACAGCCAGTCTCAGGATTTGTATAAAACAATGTGGCTCTTCATTTAGGCAAATGAAGAACAGCAGAGTCAATCGCCAAAAGAATGATGGCCCTTAACTAGATGTTTTGATGCCAAGATGAGTATTTGCTGTTGACAAGTAACTTGAGGCCTATCTCCCATGGTGCTTTCTTATGCCAGGGGATTGTGCTGTGCACCTGGTTGCAAGGAGACATCACCTGTGTCACTTAAGTACACCTTATGCATCTGGGTTAGATTTGGTGTCCAAAAGAGCACTAAGCATTTGGACCAATCAGAACACTTGAGATAGGCTTTGCCAAGGGTCAATATTGACAAACGGGGGGCAGACAGTAGTTGTAATCTACAGCTCTTTAAGCCAGCATGGTTTTGGAGTGAGGTCAACTGGGCTCTGGATTGGAACAACAGAGGAAACAAGATGATTGGAACGGAATTGAAGGATGAAACCCCCTGCGATGAAGTAACAAGATAGTTGAGATTTTGTGCACAATGCCAAACGAACAAACAGTTGTGTAAGACTCGTAGCCTGAGATGCAACTAATTCTGTAAATTCAAGTGAGCACCCTGCATTAGCCAGTGAGGGAGATGTCAGGATGGTATTTTTTATTTTATTTTCATGGATGGAAGGAACGATGGGAGGAAAACCTTTGGGCAAGCTTCTCTTTTAGGACCTATTCCGTTTGCTCCTTGATCTTGATTTTGTGGCATGTACTGTCTTCTCTAGATCCTGTGGGAAATCACAAGATTCTTCCTTCTGGCTATTGAGCTGAGCATGGTGATTCTGGGCCTTGCATTTGGTAAGGATTCCTCCTTAGCGTTGCTTGGTGCACTTAACCTTTTTCCTTGACAAGACCATTGGAGCGTGGTGAATGTGCCCTGCTCTCGGTAGAAAAGAGCAAATCTTACCAAGCACAAATAGGACTTCAGCCAGATACATGTAATGCTCGCGCTGGAGGCGAAAGCTTGCATTTATTGTAGGCCCCTTATTTACACCCTCCATCTGCTTTCACTGTGTACGCAGTAGGATACTTTTGTCTGAGTGAAGAAAGGAAGCTTGATACATTAATAATAATTATTATTATTATTATTATTATTATTAATGGCATTTCCAACCCACTTTCCAGTGTTAAAGGTGCAGTTGTTACCCATTTGTTGCATAGGATTCAGTTGCATTTCCTCAAGGCAGCCTTTCTGCGATGGAGGTATCTCATTTTCCCAGCACCCATGAAGCAGGTGCTTGTAAGCATCTATTCAATAATAGCTCTCACCAGTGGACACAACTCCTCTGTATTTTTGTGTGCATGTGTCCCATTTCATGACTTTTAAAACAAACAAATCTATTAAATAATTCAGTGAATTCTCCTCCACTGTATTTTATTCTACTAAAATCCTACCCTTCCTTCATGATGCTCTCATTGTCCTCCCTGGATATACTGAGAATCTTCTGCATGCAAAGCTGCCACTGTTTCTCAGACTGGGACTATTTCTTTCTTTAAGCTTCCCAGCCCACCTTCCTACGGTGCAGCATATTTTAAGTGGTTTCTAGTTCTCAGGACAAGAGTTTTACTCTCAACTGCAACCTCAGTCGAGAGGTTTTGCCTTTCTCTTAAAAGAAATTTGGCTTTGTTAGTCTGTCGCAACTTGGACAGGAATGGCATTAGGCAGGACCTCGAACATAGGCGAGACCCCTATATGAGGTCTTGAGTCAGTGCATCAGATTTTCAACCAAGATGTCTGGTCTGACATCAATAATCTCAGGTTACTGACAGCAGAATCTTAGATGCGCATGGCCTGTTGCATGATGGGTCTTTTATGCTGGTTAACTCCTAACGGCATTCCCGAGCATGCATAGGTTGGTCAGGAGCAGGCAATTATATTTCTAGCCTTTAGTCACCTGACAGAAGACCAGCCATTTTCACTTGTCAAAGAAATGACCCCTGGTATGTTTCCCACCCCATTCAGGTCGTTTGGAGAGCAAATCCAGTGTTAAGCGGGTATTGGCTATCACCACGGTGCTGTCATTGGCCTACTCTGTCACCCAGGTAAGTGTTGGTGAAACAGGACAGTTGCACAGAGTAAGGCAAATTCAATTCAACTGTTTCCTCCTGAACTGAAAGCAGCTGCTCCTCAAGAGGTTCTGAGTTACTTTTAACAGCTCAGTGTAGTAACTCACTCTGAACAGTGCAGCATTTGTTAAGTTTAAGCATGTTCTCCTTTTCTATAGTGGTAGCATTATGCCTTGTTTTGGTTTGGGAAGCCCCAGTATTAAACAGGGACATCATTGTCCACTCTTCAGGCATCTTCTTAAAAAAATCAGATGCAGTGAACTTATAGGTACTGCATGTGAGTTTTGTTATGTATTTATTTACACTTTGGTTGGTTTTAATCCTGCTCTTCAGGCAAAAAAGGCTCCTAGAGCAGCTTGTGAAGACAGTCCCTTCCCTCAGACTTACAATCTGAAAAGGCACAACACAAAAGGAAAATGGGTGGGGAGGGTTGAGGAAATAAGCAAACTCAAGTACAAGTTCTTAGTTACAAATTCTTATAATAGTCATTTGAGGTAGAAAAACTCGAGGAAAGGAGGCACCAAAGGTTGCTGATCTCTCAGCTATGCCTTTGGACATAACGGGCTGCTGTTGGAAGTGTAGTGCATTGGGATATGGGAGGAACCATGTAGATCAGGAGGGTAGTTGGCAGAAGTTTTAGGTCAGGTATTAAGCATGTGGGGAGGGATAGGGATAGCACCAGTAGGTTGGCAGGAGGCCGGGAGAGGAGGAAAGGTGCCATTTTTTTGTAACCTGCCTCCACTCTCAGGCTCAGAGCTAAATCCCGAGACCATCTGGCACATCTTTCCTCCTGCACTTAGGGCAATTTGTTATCCTTTGCTAAATCACAGTTTATGGACTGGATAGGGGATCTTGTTGTGTAACGATGGAAAGGGCTGGTTTCCAAGTGAGACCGAGTGCCTTTTCCTCAGCTTCTCATGCAGGAAACAAAGGCACCATTGTAAGCAGTTCATACCCTGATGACCCTCTTGCACTGTTCCTCACCAATCTTTCAGGGAACTCTGGAGATCAGTTATCCTGATGCCAGGCTCTCTGCAGAAGACTTCAATATCTATGGTCATGGAGGAAGGCACTTTTGGCTTGCAAGCTCCTGTTTCTTCTTTCTGGTAAGTGTGATAAATATCCGTCTTGCTTGATCTGAATACCGTGAGTTTAAAACACTGGCGGTTCTTCCTTGATGATTTTCCATTCTCTTCATTTCAATGTGCTTCCTGGCATCTTCTAAACACAGCAACGAAAGCCAGGATTGTTACTGTTTTCCACCACCTGCCCTCAGCAACCTCTGGCCCTATAACTCACCTGCTGCTTTCTTCCTTAACAGGTTTATTCAATGGTGGTGATGCTTCCCAAAACTCCCTTGAAAGATCGTATTTCCCTGCCTTGTAAGTGACTCGCCTCTCCCTTTCAAACTAATACAATTTTCTCACAGGCATTAAAAGCCAAGCCACTTGGAATATTCCAGATAGACAAAAGAAAGTCCTTCTTCGCATAGTTAAGCTGTGGAATTCATTCCCACAAAGAGGTAGCAATTGACGGCCAACAGCCAATTGCCCCTGAGAGGGCAGCAAGTGCAACTCCTCTCTCCCTATTCAGAGGCATACTGCCTCCAAGAGTGGATCTGCAACGTAGCCATAGCCTGACATAGCCATGGATAGCCATATCCTCCATGAATTTGTCCAGTCCCCTTTTCAAAGTCATCCAGATTGGTGACCCTCTCTATGTATAGTGGGAGTGAGTTCAACAGCTTATGACTGGGGTGGGGAAACTCATGCCTCGGGGCCAATTGTGGCCCTCCAGGCTTCTCTCTCTGGCCCTCAGGATTCTTCTCTGGCCACGCCCACCCTCCAACCACACCTTTCACCAGCCCTGCTTTGCACCTCCTTTTTTTTGCCTGGTTGGAATGTGCCCTTGAATTCTGATAATGCCTGTATAGGGGACAGAGGGACGTGTGACGGTGTGTCTAGAAACTGGCCTATGGGAGATTTACCGTACATTAGTTGCTTTTGCCTCTAGTTCCGCCTGCACCTGGAAAGTTGTGCAGAAGGAAATTTGGCCCTCAGCCTGGAAAAGGTTCCCCACCCCTGTAAGAGGCACCTGTTAGGAAGAAGGGAGAGTGGAGGGTTTGCTTAAGTTACATAACGGCTAGGTGGAAGGCCATCGCTGGAGACTGTTCTGCAATAAGTAGCTCTCGAGCATCTTTCTTCTCCCTGTAATACTGTTTTTTCCCGGGTCTCCAAAGTGGCTTTTCCAACAAATGGTTTGTAGTGTAGGAAGTACCTGTGATTACATTTGACCCCAGTGTCTTTGCCTCTCTTTTTCAGCAAGGAAGAGTTTCTACATCTATGCTGGGATTCTTGCTGTGCTGAACCTGGTGCAGGGCATTGGTAGTGGTCTGCTCTGTGCGGGTATCATAGAAGGACTATGGTACGTATCCCTGTGGCTGGATAGCTCTGCTCAACTTCTTCCTGGTGCTGTCACCGAGTCCTTTGAGAAGGAAGCACAAAGAGCTTCCAACGCATTTGGACCAAAGCAAACTTGCTAAGGGGTACTGCTGTTGACGGCTGCTGAATTTGCAGCTCCACTGCACCCATCATGCTGTGTTTCCATCCATTATACCACATCTGCCTCCAGATGCCTTTCTGGATATTCCACCTGAGACTGGTGATCTCATTACTCCTTGAGAAATACAGACTCAGTGCCTATCTCCTGACATTTCCCCTCTCCAGTGGGGAAGGCAGCAGGGAGGGGATGCCTTCTGCTTAGCGAATTGGGAATGGTTGTTCTGGTCCAACTCTTAGTCCTTATTGCCTGCATCTCTTTCCCTGCTTTTGATCCTTTTCTTTTTAAAGGAGTCAGTAGGACACAGTTGCTCAGAGTAGCATTCTGCTTGGCGAAGCTGGGCCTTCTACTCCAGGGAGGAACAGCTTTTGGGGTGGGGTAGGGAACTGCTTTTCTTGGTGGGAGTCACCACTGGTGGTGAGTACATTCTAACTTTCCCTGTTCCCTTTTGAGAATGATAACTATGGGTCCTTGTATAGAAGGAAGTTCTGTCCACCTTGGTGCCTTCCCACCAAGGGACACAGCTGCATGGGTTATAAATGCCATTGGACAGTAAAGCAGCTGGAAGAGAAGAGGTGTGCAGAGACCAAGGAAAGAAGTGCAAATGGATGGAGTGTCCTGTCTGCCATCCTTTGGACCAGGCATAGGCAAACTCCGCCCCCCCCGATGTTTGGGACTGCAATTCCCATCATCCCTGACCACTGGTCCTGTTAGCTAGGGATGATGGGAGTTGTAGTCCCAAACATCTGGAGGGCTGGAGTTTGCCTTTCCCTTCTTTGGACGCCCTAGGATGTTCACCAGTCCAAACCTGCTGTAGCTGGGAACCGGGTGTGTGAAGAGCAGCTGAATGGGGATACAGATGTGGGCAGCTTGAGGAAGCTTAATTCATTGGTGCTAAGGCTGGGCAGAAAAAAGCAGGTTTTCAGGGGAAAGTACTTCCCAAGGATGGAAAGAAAAAAAGGCTCATAAAAGGGCAGAAAGAAAAAGCACTCAGACACGATGCCTTAAAGCACAGACCTGTGCTGAGAAACACAGTGCAAAAGGAAGTCTGGATGAGCCCCTGGAGTGAGAGACTAAGGTGTTGTTAGCAGGTTCCAGGAACCCTCTTTGTTGTGAGATTTTGGGGTTGGTCTGTGAGTTTGTTTGGGCCCTGGGTGAGAACCAGGGAGGATGGGGGGAGTCCTGGGTAAGAGCCAGTAGACTGAGAGGTGTGGAGTGAGGAGATGTGTCAGAAGGAGAAGGAACGTATCTATATATGCTTATTAGGAAGTCTGCATTAATGATTTTATTGTGCATTTTTGTAACATTTGTTTTTAGTTTTCTGTACACTGCTTAGAGTGATTATTCACTGTATTTGTGGGAATCTAATGCACCATTGAATCTAACGTGCACCTCAATTTTAAAAATGAAACCAACAAAGTATTTGCTGGCGCCATCAAATCTAGTGCGCATCAAATCTAATTTTCACAATGTAATTTGGCCAAGAAAGGTCTGTGTTACATTCTAGTAAATATAGATACAGTCGCACCTTGGTTGTCGAATGCCTTGGTACTCGTCTGTTTTGGCTCCCGAACGCCGCAGACCCTGAATTGAGTGTTTTGGTTTGCAAACGTTTTTTGGAAGCCGAATATCCAACGCGGCTTCCACGGTTTCCAATTGAGTGCAGGAAGCTCCTGCAGCCAATCGGAAACCGCTCCTTGGTTGTTGAACATTTTCAGAAGTTGAACAGACTTCTGGAATGGATTCCATTCGACAACCAAGGTACAACTGTATATATTAAGCAGTGTAGAAAATGTATTAATAATTATTATATAATTATATTTATTATATAATACATATTATTAGTATATAATAATGATGATAAGAAACTGTAGTCCAAAAACATCTGAATTGGCCAGGAACAGATTCCAAATGACTTGTGTCTTTCTCTTCTGTCTTGACAGCTGTGTCGATGCCACCACCTTCCTCTATTTCAGCTTCTTTGCTCCACTCATTTATGTGGCGTTCCTGAAAAGTTTCTTTGGGTGAGCATCCAAGGTTGTAGCCTGCAGCACAGTCCCAGGGCATTTTACAACAACAATAATAAGAAAAAGTTTTAAGATAGACAAGAGCAACAATTCTATAACAGCAGATTGAGACTATTTAAGTTAAGAAGTGTGAGAAAACAAAAGGGCCTGGCGTTGAAAGAACATCAATATAAGTGCTAGGCGGGCCTCCCTATGGAGAGCATTTCAGAGCTTTAAATCATGTAGGCGTTGCAAGCAAAGGTCACTTGAAGCACAATACTTGCCTCCCACTGGGATATTAATGCAATTATTTTATAGCAAAACAAACATCAGCCTTTAAATAAACAGTAAGTAACCACAACAAAAATGCCCAGGGTGACCTTCAGGATTAATAACATAATTAAAATAGAAGTAAAACGGCAGCAAAAGTACAAAATGGTATAAAGTGCGACGAGGCAGTAGGCTGGTTCTCCTCACATCTAGGCCGGAAAGACTCAGAAGTGGGTGGTCTCAGGTGAGGCCTACAAAGAGGCTAACTCTTCCACACATTCTCTCTGTGTGCTTCGTTATGATTTGTTTGTTTTTTTTAATCAATTCAGTGACTCTTGTTCTTCCATCTGTGAAATGAAGATGGTATTTGACTTCATCACAGGGATTCAGGAAGATTAGACTCCTAATATCTGCGCAAAGCCTCATTAAATTCTGAGCTACTGTTTAGAGTTTTTTTCTGGATTAGTGACAAAATGATTAATGTGAAATGCTGTGGAGGCCAAGCTTGTATTAGGTAGATAGGTCCCCCCCCCCTTTTAATGCTCTTGAGTTTTAAGAAGGGGCTTAAATACATTGCCCAGCAGTTGAGCAAAGCGTGTAAACCAGCCTTCCTGAACCTATTGCCATCCAGATGTTATTGGACTACAGTTCCCATCTTCCCTGACCATGCTGACTGGGTTGTAGTTCAAAACATCTGAACGGCACCAGGTTGGGGGAGGCTGGCCTAACTTTGCAGCTCAGGAATTGCATTCCTTTTGAGTAACCACTTCCATTTTTACTGTTCTGACTACGTAATTTTTTCAGCTTTGAGTGCCACCGTGTGGCCATGCAGTGGAAATACCCATTCTAATTGAGGAATAGTTGCTGCAATTAATTCAGATGGATTTCAACCGTAATTGTGAGGGACTAGCCACCTCACATTTTATATTTGATATAAAAGCAGCAAAGCTATAACAAGCAGTAAACAAATAGTCTCCCAAATGCCAATATCAAATTGTGCATGCTCAAAAATGACTTGTTTTATTTCTAACTTCCTTCATCACTGATTCCAAATGGAACTGACCGTGTGTGTGTGTGTGTGTGTGTGTGTGTGAGTGTGTGTGTAGATATATACGTAGTGCTTTTTTCTGGGGGAGATGCAGGGGTACACATACCCCTAAACATTTTGTGAATCTTTGTACTTTTGTCCATTTACTATATTTATTTCCCCCGATTTGAACTATAAAATGGTGATTTTCTTGAGTCAAAATGAGAGTACCCCTAAACATTTTTTAAAGAAAAAAAGCACTGTATATATGAGAGAGATAATGAATGAGACACACACACACACACACAAGCCCCCATACCTACCTTCCACACCTCCTAAAAGCATTTAGGTGTCATGGCTAATTTTTGAACACAGTGGCTCTTCTTACTTGCCCTGCTTTTCTTCTTTTGAGTCCCATCATTGTGAATGAAGCAAAGCAAAAGGTTGGGTCTTAATCCACAGAGTTTTCAATCCAAGGTCAGGCAGTGCAGGATAGGGTAAGAGAACAAAGGGAAGAGGTAAAGGCCAATCATAGACAAACATGACAGTATATCTTGGGCTACGTTTAGTTCCGGTTTCCTACAGATGATGACAGCCTGGACGGCCTGAACTAAAAGAACAGCATTGCTGGCTGCTTTTTATTTCGGGAACTGTCTGCCATGTTCTGAATTGAACCTTCTTTACTGGGAAATGGGATGGAGGGAGTTATGCTTGGAGCAAAGCATCTGCTATGCATGCAGGAGGTTTCAGGTGGTTGACATGGAATGCCAGTCCCTGCAGACAGTACTGAGCTACACGGACCAGTGTTCTGACTCGGTATCAGGCAGCTTCCCGTGTTTCAAGAAAGTAACTCTTTTGAAAAAAATTCCCCTTGTCTCTTTAATAATTTCCAGGTCCGAGCCAAAGATCCTCTTCTCCTACAAATGCCAGGTGGATGAGCCCGAGGACGTTGATGTGCACCTCCCGCATGCCTATGGTGTGGCCAAGAAAGAAGGCCTGGATTCCAGCTTTTACTCCAGCACTCAGATCGACACTGCAGCGTACTTGGATGACATTGCTTCCATGCCTTACCACGTGGGCAGCATCAACAGCATTGACAGTGACCGCTGGAAAGCCATCAACTCCTAAAGGCGATCCTTTGGAAAGATGGGTCTCTCTTGCAGCCTTGCAGCTCCATCACCAGTTCCCCTTTTGGGGCGCTTCAGTGTGTCGCCTTCTCTTTCCTTCAAGTTTTTTTTCCTTTTTTTTAAAAAAAAAAATTAAATCTTGAACGGAGCATAAAAATCAGTCTTCCCAGGACAATAGCTCTTACCTTTGTAGGAGAACAAACTAGATCAGCTTCTAAATGCTGAATCTTTGCGTCCTTGAGCGTTCCATGTGCACATGGTTGGACATGACTGCAACATTTTCTTGGTGATAAGCCACACATGCAGCTAGGAAGCCTTGGCTGCTCTTGTATAGCATTATATACAGATAGCTATATAATACATTTTTTGCATTCTATTTTTATTTTATGTTTTGGCTTCCGAGAACTAGAGGAACTAGAGGAAGGTGGGACTGCTCCCCACGCCTTCAGCAGCTCCAGTTTGGTGGGAATTGTAGGGTGAGAGAACTCCACAGGCTTCCTGATAGAAAGAACACTTAAGAATGAACTGCTAAATGTTTCTAGAATTCTTCGCAGGGAATCTGGGAGCAAGTGTGCGCTTGTGTGTGTGTGTGTGTGTTTGCGTGTGTGCATTGTAATATATATATATATGCTGACTTTCGAAGAAGAGGGCAGGAAAGTAGGCAGCTGGGAAATGCTTTGGTGGAACTTGTTGCTGTGCAACTAAACTACTGTGACTGGCTGAGAAGGAGCTGTGAGTTGCATACACTGTATATGGTATGAGTTTTTAGAATGAAAACTTAGCCAAGCAAAGAGCTTATAGAATGAGGATCTGCTTATGTGATAGTAGCAGAACTCCAGAGTAAATGGGTCCTGAGGAGCAGTGGAGGAGGTGTGTTGAGAACTGTGGTTCAAATGGGCAGTTCCAAAAATTCTGGTCCATGGGATAGGACAAGGCAGAAGATGAATGGGAAATGATCTGGTAGTCTGTGTGTGAGAAATTGTGAGTGATGCTTGGGATGGCACCAAAGTGGAAAACAGGGTTGGATGTCCAGTGTGAAGGAGGGCTGTTGGATTCTGTGCCTTGCGATTCAAGCTCTGTCCAGTATACCTTTAAGACCAGGTGATACTTCCTTGAACTTAGCATGAGGTTCATTCATCTCTTCTGCACTGAAGAGAACGTCATGCCGAAGACATAGCTGGCTATTCCCCTGACAGCGGTGGTAGTAGCTGATCTTCAGGGTCTTCCGAGATCAGTGAAAGAGGTTTATCCCAGGCATAGGCACACTTGGCCCTCCAGATGTTTTGGGACTACAACTCCTATCATCCCTGACCACTGGTCCTGTTAGCTAGGGATGATGGGAGTTGTAGTCCCAAAACATCTGGTGGGCTGAGTTTGCCTATGCCTGGATTATTCATCATTAGGAATAGTGAGGGTGTTCTTTGCAGGAGGCAGACCCATTCTAATGCAAGAAGTTGGCTTCACCTTGTAAGACAAAATGGGAGAATTGGAAAACGATAAAAACTGCTTTTGAAGCACGCACATTTTGTGTGCATAGCTTATATTGGAATCAATGTTTTCTCATTTTCATGCTTTTATTACTAAATGCAAAAATGGGGACACTTACCCTTGTGCAAAATGCTGGAACATTTGCTTGAACAGAGGTTGATCCAGGAGGCAAATGTAGTTACAGTCAATAAAATCCCAAATTCTAAGGCTGAGAAAGCAAGAACACCTGAAAAATGAGGTTTCTTTACTTTCATTTGCTGCTACCATTTTGGGATTAATTTTAGCACCCAATGTGCAAGGTGCAGATGATCAAGGCATATAAGCACACATCCTTGGAGGAAAGTTGCTTTGCAATTAATAGGACATGCTTTCAAGTAAACCTCTCTAGAATGGAGGTGCAAGCAGGAAAAATGCACTCGGCTTTCTTCTTGTTGATAAAACATCCCTTCCTCCTCATGGCTTGAAACTTGCGCTGTTTGTGATTTTTCTGCTGCCGAGCCACATCAGGATTTAAAAGGCAACAAGATCCTTGACTTCACTTTTAAGACTTTTAAAACTACTTTTAAAGAAATACATGTTTAATTATATCTCTGTTTTGGATGAGTTGTGAATGCAGATCAAGAATTGTTGTGGTAGAGACCTGCACTTTGCCTTTAGTTTTTGTCTACCGCCCAGGTTAACCTTTTCTGAGTGTTGTTTGAATTTGATGACACAATCATTCATTCAGACTTGCTGCTGTTAGCTGCATAGACATCTCACCATGGAGGTAACAAATGTACTGTGTAGTTTAGGCTTCCGTAATGCTTATGGCGCTAGTCATACCCCAACATACGATGCCCCAAATTCGACAAAGAGGCAGTCGTGGGAGCTGTGATGTGACCTTAATGTTATCCAATCTGTCGAAATAACATGCTTGGGTGGTGCTGTAGCTTCTTTGCTTTCTGTGAAAGGCGAGAAAGGCAATCCCAATTGGCTGCAGGGCAAATGCTGGCGAAGATGTCATATAAGATGTCATACAATTAATGCTGCCCCCCCCCAAAAAAATATTTACTCAGCTGGAATTATAGATGCTGTCTGCATGATGGTTAAATACTGCTAACCAGCCAAAGTAGGGACCCTTGGAAACGAACATGTCTTGTAATTTCCATGGATCCCCTACAGTTTCGTTTAAAAATTGTGCTGTACACCTAGTCCATCAAATTAAAAAAACACCTGAACATGGGCTCCTTTGATGATGTGAATCAGGATGAGGCTGTATTGGAGTTACTGTGTTTACTGTATTAGCTATCTATATCAAATGCTGGCCAGTCAGTGAGCTGTGATCAGATCTTCCATGACAGAATGGTCCCTGCCCCCTTTTCACTGACATTTTAAGCACCTCCTCTGTACAACCCGCATTGTACTTTGCTGCTGAGGAGTATCTGCACTAAGTGAAGGAACTGCCTCCTTACAAGCCTTGCGATCTATATGTGTGTGTGTGTGTGTGTGTGTGTGTATATATATATATATATATATATATATGCCTCCCTTTTGAGCACACAGTATTGTCCATGAGCAGACAAACGTTTGTGTGTCCCTGGGTACACACAGCATGAACCATGTGATGTTGGAACAGAGATTAAAAATAGAGTAATGTATATTTTTGTCTGTAAAATAAATGAACTTTGACATAAATTAAGGTATCCTTTCTCTCACGATAGAGGCTGTGTATATGTGTTCTTACATTTTTGCACTATTTGTTTTCTCCAGAGTTAAAGAAGAACCTGATCAATAACAAAATGCTCAGATTCTGAGGGAAAGCAAAGAACTGTTGTGTTTTTTCCTTTATCTGGCTAGGTCTTAGAAGAGCAGAAGTGATAAGGATCCCCCCCCCCCGCAAGTAGTTCAGCATAACTGAGGTAGCAGTCATACACCCACTTACCTTACTTCTGAGTAGGCAGGTATAGGATTTTGCTGTTAAGTCACCTGATTTAAGTTGTTGACTTTGAAGGATGATTTGTAAGGAAGTAAATTTTATAAATATTATAATTATTAATAAAGTTATGGAACCTCCTTTATTTGTAGCTCCAAGATGTATCTTGGCTTTTTTTTTTTGTAGCCTTCAGGTTTGCTCTTTGTTGCTATCCTATGACTATTGGAATAAAACAGTGTTGCCACTGCCATTTACTGAGATAGAACCCATTGATTTGACTATTACCGTACCCCCATAAATCACATGAATTACATTTGCTGAGTGTGAAATTCAGTGGCAGGTCAGAGCAAATGCCAGTCTTCGGAGGTTTTTATCAGGAATGGTATCCAAGTCTCAGCAGGTTGCTGTGATGACATTACATCATCCAGAAACAATGCATTAATCGGGGCTTGGTGTAAATTGGGGGTCCACAGTCCCACTTGTCACACTCATAGCCAGTATTCTGCCCTTCCATCCCCTCTTGCAAGCCTGGCAAGCTGCAAGTGTCCTAGCGATAAGAAGAAGAAGAAGAGTTTGGATTTGATATACCGCTTTATCACTACCATAAGGAGTCTCAAAGCGGCTAACAATCTCCTTTCCCTTCCTCCCCCACAACAAGCACTCTGTGAGGTGAGTGGGGCTGAGAGACTTCAGAGAAGTGTGACTAGCCCAAGGTCACCCAGCAGCCGCATGTGGAGGAGCGGGGAAGCGAACCCGGTTCACCAGATTACGAGTCCACTGCTCTTAACCACTACACCACACTGGCTAAGGTTAGGACTTGTTTTCATGCTGTGCTTCTGAAGCACATGGAGCACCATAGAACCCGCAGCACAATCCCAGGAATTATCTCTGCCCTGCACCATGTTTGGAGCTGGAAAAAAGGATTGTGCTTTTTGGAGGTGCCCATTGAGTGGGGGCCCCGAATCAAGTTTTGAGTTGCCTAAGTGCTTCTCAGGCAATTTGGGGAAAATTGAACTGGGAGGTGATCTGAACTACTTGGTAGATTATTTGGGGGAATAAATCAAGGTGAATTTTTTGAGATATGATTCGGGGTAATGAATTCAGACACCTGAAGAGGGGCACTGAACTGATTTGAAACAAGATCTGTTGGAAAATTAGCTGGGCACTGCTGAATTGAAAAGGAACTGATTAGGGAAAGGATACAAATTAAAGAATTTATCAAAGGTGATTTAGATGGGAAATTAGTTGGCTTGCTGCTTTGGACATTCATATTCTAAATCCGTAGCTATACATCTAAATAAACTCATTTAAATCTGTTGTGATATGCCCATGCCCCAGATTTTTTAAGCTCCTGGCAGCACCACTCAGGTGTTCCATTATATATGATCCAACAGAACAGTCTTTTATTATGGGAGAAATTTATATTTAAAAAATGTACGATTGACCAAAAGGACAGGATTTTTTCCCATTTCATGTAGGGATAATTACTAGGCAACAACAATCAATATCTGCTTTTGGAAAGTTCTGGGCTCAAAGTCCCAAATCCAAAGTTTTGCTTTAGGCTTGACCTAAACCAGGATTTCCCAAACCTGGGTCTCCAG